GTTGTTGTCGTGGATTTTTTATATGAAGGGTTCAGATTTCGGGCTCGTAGTGGACTTTTTCTTCCCTGTTGTGTGTCAATTGTGGTCAGGTCAAATAACACAAGATGTATTGACATTTTGACTCTTATTGAAAGGAAATTGATAAAAAAAAAAATATTCCAAGTTTGAATTTGCTTTACGAATTATGTGCATATATTATATTCACAATCACAACAAATCACCATATGAATTGTCAAAATGGTTGTCAACTTTATTGAGAAAAAAATCACTCCTCAATTTTCAATTAATTATCAATGATGCGCAAACAAAATTTTATACATCCTACCTTCGCAAACAAGCCCACACTGATTAGTAACAAAAACTTTTACGGATCATTTCTACTATATAAAAAAAAATTGTGGAAAAAAAAGAAGCTTTTATAGTAGAAACGAATTAAATGATCCGTTGGATAATGTGGGACGACAAGTGGCTCCCATGTACCTTTCTCTTCTTCTTCTTCTTCTCTCTGTGTTTCTTTCTACACAAATCTTTCACAACCTTTTAGTTCCCCGAGAAAACATACTGTTCCATTGTGCAAGCAAAGCATGCTTCACAAGAATAATAAATAGGAAAATGATCGCCAAAAAAAAAACAATATCCAAAAATTAGTTGTAAAAATTTAATGACTTGTCTTCAAAGTAGGGGTGGATATTTGGTAGGTTCGATTTTGATCGAACCAAAATTATGCATATCGAGTCCCCAAATTCTACCAAAACTTGAATAGAATTCGAACTGAATTATACTATAACATTCGGTTTCGGTTGCCCACCCCTACTTCAAGGGTTCGGGCATCACATACTTTTATTGGCTATACTATAATCGAGGTGGGGTTTCTCTCCACGTTTAATTTTTCGAATAAAGGTTGTATGCTAGCTGGATTTTAACCTGATACTTTAATTTTATAGACAAGTTTGACGCTTTAATCGTTCGAACTATGATCATATCGGTCCAACCATTGTGCGAGGTGATGAAAAATAACACGATCCCACTAGTACCTCTAACAAATAGCATTCTCCGCCGTAGCAGTGGCAGAGCCAGCTTGCAATAGAGTGGGTCTCGGGACCCACTTTGGCTCTAGATTAAGACACCAACAATAACAATACTTGTAACAATCTATAACATTCGAATCTAGTACCTCATATTAGCTGGTTTTACGTGTCTACCAACAAAATGTAGAAAATTTGTTGACACACATTAACCTTGCATATCATATAAATAACTCTAAATTTTACATAAAATTGTGTCTCTAATTGTTTATTATGAGTTTAATCAATTTTTTTTTCTAATTTTCCATCCTCAAACGAAAATGTATCCACAAACTATGAAATAAGTGTATTTACTATTGTGCCAACTCGATATATAGAGAGAGCTTAGCTTTTTCCCCCTCCCTCATTTGGGTGGTGGGAATCATGTTTAGGGGAGATGACATTTGTCACGGGTTTGTTCTCATGGTACGTAAACGTAATTTATATAAACGCTTTACATTGAAAATGAAAGTTCCACAAGAGATTTGAGGAAGGTAAGATGAACGTTGGTTTCCGGTCTCTTTCCACAACATATGATATGATCCTGTCTGATGTCGATCGTATCATTCTGTTTGTAAAAGCCACAAAATATTGTTACGTTTCACATAAGTTAGCTATAGCTAGCTAGCAACATACTTTGTCTTGTACGATCCAATAGTAAGGTGACTAGCATTTGCAATGAATCGTTTCCATCGATCCCAATAGAAGAAGAAAAAAAAAAGAGTAGAACAAGGGGTAGTGTCCGATCCAGAAATTAGATCGAGGTTATTCAATGATAAATCAAAATTATCAAGAATTGCCAAATAATCTTGAATTCAAATGTTATCGTCACTAAAAATAAAGAAATTTTAGCAAACGCAAATTCTACAAGTTTGATAATTATACACTATAGGACCATGTTAAGACCTGAACTCTAGTGTGTGTGAGTGTCTTCGATTGAGATTCGAAGCCAACATCTAGACAACAACCATGATTGATGGTTAGTCCAAACTTCAAGCATTAGTAATTGATACAGTTGTATAAGATATTAAATTTGGGTATTTGATAGACAAATGAAAACCTATAGCGGGACTTCATGAACCGCCAAAATGAAAATGAGTGGAGTTTAGAGAATCTAATCATCACGAGGGATATGATATGTGTCAAGTTTCAAATGGGTTGAACAAATTGTCGAATAATAAAGTATCTCTACTAAGAAATTCTAACTAGGGTGTCCTAATATGAAAAACATCACCGGATGAGAGTTGTCCAAACATGAGAATCATGAATTGATATATATTGTATAAGATAATAAATTCGAATGTTTTGGTTAATAAATCTTGACATAAGATTCTAAATGAGCCATGTTTAATCTTAGTGCGTGATTTATTATTAGAGAATCGATACAGAACAAGTGATTGTGCTAAATATTGAGAATATTCAATATAGACATATACTGCGTACTCATTTAAGAATAAAAAACATAAAAAAAATTATAAGATGCAAAATAGTTTAGACATATAAATAAATTAGTTAATATAAATGATAAAATAAAACTCTCCACCTCATCTCAAAATTAATTATTTTGATTAGAACTAAAATCAAATGTTTTGAATTACTAGTAAGTTGAAACTTGGGAGAATCCTTACCCATTCTCAAGTATAAGCATCCCAAATAAATTATTAACAGAATCCAGCAATAGTGCACCGTTATCACCACGGAACCGTGTGAAGCATATAAAATCAAAAGTCTCAAGTCCAAAAAGACACTTTTCCTTTCGCCTTGGCATGAACCAAATCCCATTATATTCTTTTGCTAGAAAAATAGAACCTAAACTTAAGAGCACACTGGCCGTATAAAAAATAAAAAGCCTTTAGTTAAGGGAAAGAGGAAGAGCGAATGTGGCATAAAACTTATCCAATTCTCTTCCTCTTAAATTTATTCTCATGATTTAGAGTACTTAGGAGGTTTAGAGGTGATAAAAGGAAGTGAATTTATGAATTAGAATAAATGAATTTGTGAATTTAAGTGGCATTTAAGTTTGGTTTAATACACTTGTATATCCAAAACTTTCACGATTGTGCCAATAATATCCAAATTTTCCAAAATACCACTTATATCCATGTTTTAAAGTTGTTATTTGCCAAATCTATCAATTTCCCAATATATTTTTGGTTAAATACACTTGTATATCCAAAAACACCGTTAAAGAATGTGAAGGAATTGGATATAAGTGGTATTTCGGGAAAAAACGTAGGTACCAAAATGTAATTTTGGTATTACATTTTTTATTCGAAAATATGAGTTTAACCATCGAATTATAAAATAAAATATGCACTAAATTGAAATTTTTGAACAATCCATAAATCTACCAATAAGCCAAATTTGATTGATTGAATATGAATTTAAATAAATTAGAATAGTAGATTTTTTATGAATAGATTGATGGATTAAATTCAAATTGTCGCACATGTTTAAAATGAAGGACTTATATTTTTAATTTTTATTGATCACCACGAAAAAAATGCTCATAATCTATTATCGTTCTCTTCCTCTCAATCCTCTTTAGTTAATAAACAAAAGAGAAGATATTGTTTGGAAAATCTTTCTTTTTTAGTTTCTTCTCATCAATCAACTATTGAAAAGAAGAGAAAAGTCACCAAGAAATGCTAATTGTCTATCAGATTGAGTGGTCCATGGACAATCTATGGGAGCCTTACTATGTTCAACAAATGTCAATATGGGAGCTTATTTCCTTTTTCCTATGATTAGGACCATTTCATTTTTCTCTCTTATCTCTTTTTCTCAAAATGTTTTCACTGCCCAATCCTCAAAATTACGTGGAGGATAGGCTAGCTGAACAAGGCTGACAGCCACATGGTCGGCTAGATGTCAGAAAGAAGTTATGGGTTTCTTTCCTTATCTAAGCACTGTCGTAGGTCTTAGCTTGGGACTTTCTTCTGCTTACAATATTTCACCCTGATTCGATTATGATGCTCACTATATATATGTGAGAATGTGTTCATATGATTGGATCGAAAATCAAATCTTTCACAACCGTTGGATAGATGTCATGATACTGTATTTGATTGTCATGATGTCCATTTAGTGGTGGTGAAGGACATACGCTCGATTCAATGATACCCAACGCCTGTGAGTACATCCTCGCAGTTGGGACTACGAGGAGGATAACAAAATTGTTTCAACTCCTATTCACTGGTCAAGACGAAAGAGGAGAATTGGATAACAAATACGATTAGAGAAGACACGCCCTTGATTGAATCTATAAAAAGGAGTTTCGATGTAGATGTGTTAATACCATGATGCTTGAAGTTAGCATTTGAAAGTACAATCTTTAGAAATGTGGTGTTGTAAAGTTGTTCAACATGAATCATCTATTAATTGAACTACTCTTTAGGAGTTAGCTCGGGTCCTTTCACTCAGTGGAAAATATATCATCTCGATTGATATTATGGACTAAACTGAACCACACAGTTTGATTTAGAAAACAGGTTGTTAAGAATGGTATGGTCTCTGGTGTGCATTATGATTTATGAGTTGTTTGCTACTGGTCTGATCTAGTCCATACCGTGGTTTACTAGACCAGACAATGTAGAATGTACCAAACTCACTTCATAATCCATGTTAGCAGCTCACTCTGCCACTCACTCCACTCTCCAATGAAATCCAAGTCTCAACTCTAATTTACAACTCTCATCCCACCTTTCTCCATAGACCACCCTTCACAAGTAGAGAGACGACCACGTCTCCAAATGATATTATATTAATGTTTAAGACAATATGATGAAAGTTAGGTTGTTCTAACTTTGTGCATGTTATTGCTCGGATTTAGTTTATTAACATTATACATGCATGTTGGCATCTGATTTCCAAAGAAAAGGAAAACTAGCAGTTTTTTCCCCTATATTGATTCGACTATTAATTTGATTGATCGAACACATTATTCATTTTTTACTCAACATAGTTTGTTTGATTCGACCCAAACCATACAATCATCGTCTTTCCTCCTAAATAAGCTTTCATCAACCCACGACGAGATCATCAAACAGTAGCTTAACAAAGACTCCAACATAAACTATTCTTCAGACCAATCAACTTGGTAAAACCAAGATTGATTCCACCTTGCAAGTCAATTCGACTCACAGTCACAAACCAACTAACTGGAAACCGACCGCCAATCCGATCGAGGGATTTCGAGGTATTCTGATTCCCATCATCCACAGCCTTGCTAGTAGAATATAAAGGCAAGGTTAAGCTAAGCGTCATGAATTATGTAGAAGAGCAAGAACAAGGAAATGAGAGGATGCCTCTGAAAAAGTGGGTGCAAGTATATCTTTAGAACTTGAGGAGTCTTGATTGAGGAAATTTTGTATATTACAAGAATGTGTTTATCAAGATTATGTGTATACCAACAATGTGTGAGTTCTAAGAATTCATTGTTTGGAAAACCGGAAAACATAAAAGAAATGCATGAATTCTACATTAAGTGAACTATGGATACTAAATCTCATAAAAAATATGAGATTAAGTATACATCATTTTCTATGTATTATGAATTAATCATATATTCTCAATACATTCCTTCTGCTTACAAATCAAGTAAAAAAACGTTGTTATCTAAAATACATGCATGCTTTAAATACACAGTTAGAATCGGAGATACTGATCCAAGTGGAAGCAACGTAATTGCTGTATGTAACACTCACAAGACTTTATAAGGAGTTGACTCCATGAGTTGAACCGAACTCATGCTTAGCTCATATCTAACCATATGGGGCAAGAAACGACATCACATATAATTCTGACCTGGAAAGATGATTATGGGGTGTACCAATCACACTTTTCTTCTTTCCACCATTTGCACCAATTTTGTGTTCAAAGTGGAGGCCCTCCTTGCACGCCCTGCAATCATCAAGATAATCATCATTATGACTTCCTCCAATGGTTATTTATCAACCCAATATCGTGTGTTTCCTATTTAGGACAGAAAAACATCTAATTGTGGGATTTGCTATAGATCCAACTTGAGACCAATGTCTGCCTTGATATATTGTTAATTGAATGATGATCTAAACTTTTAGCACATAATGCAGTGGGAGGTCTCTATTAGCCAATGGTATGCGTTCAATGAGGTAGGATCCAAAGAAGCACCACTTTGGCTTTCTTCTTCCCACTGCTGGTTGCAAAATACACTGTATACATATCAGATTTTCAAATCTCGCACCTTTTACCATTATTGTCATGAATACATGATGAAATTTACCTCGGAGTTATCCATTTCAATAGATCTCCAAACGCAACCTAAGAGAATGATGGTATAGACAAAGAAGAAAACACAGAGAAATTAAACAAAGAGTGGACATCTTTATTATTCAAGGACTCTTCATTGAAACTAAGTTGAATCCCAATCACTATGATCACGGATGTCATCATAGGTGGAGGTGATTCGAGACGAATTGTCTTATCGGTATTCCTCATAAGTGATATATTCTCTACAATATCGCGACAATAAAATTTTGATGAACCTGCAGAGCTCTACTTGTTAAAATTTAATGCCTTTTAGCATAACCATCATCAACAAGAAAGGGACATTGGCACTAGAAACAGGAAGAATATATTGGAGGTGAGCAGTGAATGATAAATAATTGGTCTCATCATGGTTCTAAAAGCTAATACCCTCAGACCACTATTTTAGGAACTTTTACCATCAAAAGGGTAAAAAGAAAGAGACCAACAAGCCAGATTAAAAAAAAATACCAAAGTCGTGATCCACGCTGACATTATAAAAGTCCTAATAATTTTACCATCCATCACATACGCATCGAATTGCCAATCAAAAGTGGCCTATTTGCGCTGCTTTGTGCATGGAAAATGGCAAAAGGAAAAAGGGAGAATAATAAACAAGTAAAAGCCATAGAGATGTTTCATGGGCTAGTAGAAGAGCCATCAAAGGGGATGCAAAAGAAAAAAGGAAAGCCACCAGATTTCCCTATGCAAGCCATTGAAACCCTTTCTCTTGGCCTAAACCACAAGCACAACAAGTGACTAGTCAGCATCAAAAGAGTGTGAGTCGAGTCCTTTCGGCACATCCATCCAATTGGCGAAAAATAAACAACAATAATCATCAGGTCTAATTTGCTTGACACAAAAGAATATGCTAAAGAAGAAGAAAAAAAATGGAAAAAGGGTTAAAGCAGACCATTCTTGACATTACTCTCTGTTAAACCAAACTAAAGTCACATCCTGCAATGTTAAATCTTGCTTGTTTGTCGTTTGCTTCAAGTTACACATAAGATATCAATATCTCTACCTTTGCATATAATATATACCACACATCATCATTCTGGTATCCAAATGTCTCTATCATCAAATATCAAACTGCTCTATTGAAAGTGAATCGAACACAACACGTACATGAAAATGATGCTTGAAAATCCCAGCTTTGGCCTACCCCGTTAAGGAAGTTTTAGGCCAGTCAAAGCAATTTGTGACTTGAACAACATCAAGGATGTATGAGCTGGGATGTATTCAGGTCTACTATCAGCTAGAGTTAATTAATCAACAAACATATAATATAATGTAAAGAAAACCCACAAACATGAAAGCACGATCAGCCATCAAGGATGGCAATTTTGACATGTTTCAGAACCCCAACCTGCCTTGACCAGCTTTATGCGGAAATCATCCACCTCGCAAGCATGGGGTAGGGCAGGCGTGGATCTTCTTCCCACTCGGCCAGTCCTGCACAAGCTTGTTCTATCTCGATTACCTCCAATATTTGGTTGTATTTCTCCTATTTTGACTCCTGCTCAGTTATATGTTAAGACACAACTACAACTAGGTTCGAGCCTTCATCTATTTTGACTTCATTAATCATGTCATTGTGTACAGTTCAAACACACGTCTCGGATCGACACTACCTCGACACATGCCCCAAGCAAAATTACCCAACATGACATACTCAAGTTTCAAGGTCGCGTTTGATTAATGAGATACCCGACTTCCTCAACCCATTGCCATTCCTAAGCACCACCCTTTGCCTATTAATAAAAGTCACCCCAGCAAGTTAAGACAAGAAGCTGAAAAAAGCAAAAATATAAACGACAACATTTTTCAGTGTCACATTTGATGAATGAGATGTGTCTAAAGTGGACCAGTAGTTTTCAGGAATGTTGTGAAATCATGAATATGCATGTCGTGACACTGAAGTACAAGTAAATCCAGAAAAGGAATTGTTGTCTCCAAAACCAACCCAGACCAAAACAAATTTGCTTTTATGAGGGTGGCGCCAACCCCATAAAGCATAATACAGCTACTAAATCTGGAGGAAATAACAAATTTATAAATGCAAAAAATCTAGAGAAAATACTAGAAATGACCACCCATATATATATAATTTTAGTGCACAGCTGATTCGGACCCAAGACCAGTCATATCTTACCTATAAACAGTAGATTTGGTCGATGGTGGGGTGTTGTTCAACTTGTGATTTTAGCATCCAAGTGCAGAATCGAGTACCTTCCTTCTTTTCTCTTTCCCTTTCAGCACCGGATCCACTATAACATGCCGACTCCCCTGGAAGTTCTGGAAATAGCTGCTACATGAAGTTGAGTCAATGATAATAAGCTGCAAAAATGATTGGGAAGTCATACAACTATAGCTTATAGACATATGTTGAATCTTTTCAAGCAAGCATCTAGCACATGCCTAACAGAAGCTAACTAGAGAGAGGAGAGAGAACCTTGCAACTAATGAAGGATAGCCCTAGGGACTAGCAACTATTCCTTTTAGGAAAGAAGCTGCAAATATTCCCTACAGACTTTGACTAACGTGGTTAAGCTCAGAGAATCAAAGGTATTCGGCGTAAATTTAGGCCAACTGATCCCCTCTTCAGAAGACATTGCAACAGGTGATGTCCACTAAACAACATGACAGGGATTAGTGCAAGGAACAAAAAAGAAAAGCCTGGTAAAAGCTCCCAATGACATTTTAATTAAGACCATCGCAGTTCCCAATCTAGTTTGCTAAAGCTAAATCCAGTGCCCCCATGAAAATAAATGAATTGAAATGAAGGTGCCTGTTTGACACTTGGGGAGTGCTTAGCCCACTGACCAGCAACCAATAATAAACACACGATACAATTGGTTCCATTACAAATGAGATGCATCAGGTCTCAAACAATCAATAAAGTTAAGGGATAATTGACAAGCAAGAGACAAGTACCTAATGGATGGCTTGGACACATCCTGCCACAAGTGGCTTAAAACACTGCATAGCTTGATTATTGACTTATTGTTTCAGGAACTTAATTTAAGGGATTTTAATAGGTACAGCTAAGTTACACCCCTCTGTGGTTTTCTTTAGTGAGAGCAAATGAGAGGAATCAAGCAATAACATCAAACATAACTAGAAATGCAGGGTTGAGCAATGTAAGTATGACAAGTGAATGAAGTGTACACATTAAGAACATGGTACAGGCTTCTCTCCTTACCAGAAGCTCAAAGCCATGTGATTTCTGTCTTTCACCTTTCCAGGTTCTATACAGTCGATCTCCACTGGTATGTGATTAAGTCAATGTAATATGTTAAAATTACTACACAAAGAAAGTAGAAAGCATTATTGTTTATGAGTGAATCTGACGAAGTCAGAAAGATGCTATAAACCATCGATTAGCATTCATAATCTCACTCGATGCAAGGAACTCATTCCTTGAGAATATGAGTGTCCTTTAAGAGCTTTGAGGCATTGGTGGTCACTCCAAACAAGGAGTGGGCTACTTTCACTGCGCCTCTATCTCCTGCTTCTTAATTATGCTCTTTTTAATGGGTTTAATATAATTAGTTCAACTTCTTTTCTACCAATGAAAATAAAATAGAGAGTGGAGTATACAGTTACAGAATCCTCATAGAGAGGACTGAAACAGTGAAGCAAGTAAATCAGAAATAAAGTACAAAGACTTCCAAGTTGGGCTACTTGTTCAGTAAAATGAAAGCTGATTGGTTAGAAGGCACATATAAAAGAAAAGGGCCACTTGTACAAAGGAATTTCAATGATATTGATACCACCAACCAATACCTTTACGGAAAGCAAGTTCTGTACTACTGAGAAAAGATTAATATCTTATGCTCTCATTCAGAAAAGGGGATAGTGTTTATCTCATACAGAGGAAAGCCGGGCATTAAGGGAAGATGCATATAAGAGATTTGAAGAGGAGGAAAACTGGAGAGCAGACAAGCAGCAAAGATGAAGGGAGTGGAGGAGTCGGCGGTGGAGCTAAAATGGTGCTTAATTCCCATATCTCCATGACTTCATCCTCATTTGTATGGGTACAGCTACACGACTGAGATTATTCCTAGTTGGCCTACTAAAGAACACGTGGCAAGGGCATCCACCAGTCTTTCTTCAGTCTACAAAGATACATAATCTAAAGGTTAACTCAAAAGGGTTATTAGAAGTGTTCAGAACTGATTCCAAATTCCCTAATGTCATTTTTCTACATAGAGAAAGTAACCTAGGATTGGCCAGTCAACCCTAGGTTTTTGGCGAGTCTGCTGTATGGAAGGAATCTTTTATGTTCTTTTCTTTCAGCTATTGTATTAAGGTAGTTTGCCTCTTTATAAGATTTGGTTCAGTTTAGCTAGACGTAGCATAAGGTATTCTGAAAGTATGTGATCTATTCAAGTATTTCTTTAAGGAGTTGATTGATTAAACAACCCTGATTTCACTACCCTTCACAAAAGTGCTGAATCTAATTCCAATCCCATCAACAACACTATTCAAGATTATACATAGCTGAACACTTGTACACAAGATAACTGCATCATTTAAGGCTTAATCAAACAAAAGACACTAAAGAGCAAGAGCACATCCATATAAGAAAACTGGACAGATCTATTCAACTAGTGTGTTCCACAAATGTGGCTGAACAGAAGATTAATCATATGCTCGCATATTACGAAATTTCAAAGCTTGATAAATAAGTAATGTTTCCTTAGTAGGACAATTGCAATATAAGGTACCACTATCATCCACCTAATGTTAGTGGTTACCGGAGCTTGTTGACAATTGCTGAGAACCATTGGTCTCCCAGCCTGCAAATAAGAGCCTAAGTCCACGAACAAGTCTTTTACTGCAGACCAGCTATAATGGATTTCTATTTACATCTTTGTACAGTAAATATCTTGAACGAGTTTTACCAAGTGCAGCATACCTGGTAAGAATTAAAAGGTGGATAACTGTCTGTTATGTACCATTAGGAATACTCTGTTCAACCTATACAAAGTGGAGAAAGGTATGCGGCACTCACCACTGAGGCACAAATGGGGCCATCCAAATCGCATCACCAGCTTGGACAGGATACCTGCAAACTCAGCTTTGTTAGATAGAGCAATTTTTATAAACAACCAAGAGTTAAGGGGGAGAGCAAATTAAGTGCAGACATAAACCCTTCTAAGGTATTGCTTAAACTGCAGTAACGATTCTTGACCCTTGAGTATCATGTTCATTGAACTCTTACCAGCTGTCAGCCAGACGATATATCCCCTGTCCCTCCAATAGCAGTAGACCATGCTGGTTGTAATGGACTTCCTGCAAAACAGTTAACAGATCTTACATAACTAACATATAGAGATGGGCAGGAGTTGACTATCAGCAAACTGCTGATAAGTGCCCAAGTCCCATGGTATCCTCTTCTCATTTTGACATAACGGCATATTTAAGGAAAGCAACAGACTATGGCGATGAGCTTACACCTATCTGTTGTCCTAAGCCAAGCTATACGAGTTCATATCCTATCTCAATGGCAAATTAATTATATAAACTAAAGAAATTCAGAATCAACATTTCAAGGTAAGCACACGAGTTTAAGCTAGCCAAAAGGTGAACATGCCTTCACATTAAGGAATTCTCCTGGTTGAAAATCCATGATCTGCAAAACATGGAAACAGAAGAGAACAGTATCAAACAATTGTAGCTAGAGACAAGAATGATCAAATAAATTTGAGCAAGAGCTAGAACCAAAAAAGATAACCAAGCAAGCATGAAAATTTAGTATCAAGTAACCAGCCCAAAACAAATCAGGTAACCTCATATATGATGTGCTCCTAGTAGGAAGTAAACCAAAACAACGGGTGTAAGAAGATGGCACAGTAAGTGGCCTGCTTAGTTTTAACTTTTATGCTCCAAATTTTCCCAGCATTGATGGTTTTTTCAAACCAGGCATGCAATCTAGATTTTAGGGCACAACGGTGAAGACAACTTCCACCTGATTCAGCAGGGGAAAGTTAAGACACTTACTGGATCTAATGCCGAAGCATTTTCCAGTCCAGCAAATACTTACATACCCATATTTTACTTTGATTTATCTGAAAAATATGGCTTACAAAAGGTTTTTTATACATTACTTATAAAAACTTTATCATTCCACTAAACTTACAGAACTACTTGAACACATTCCTTCAACAAATGACGGTCTTGAAGGGATCTGCATTCTCTATCTCTATTTCAAAATAACATTAGGAATAACTGCAGAGTCAAAACTTGAAAAGTGAACTGCTGCTTACATGGATATTGAAGTCATATTGCAATGTCTGTGGAAGAAGCTTCCTAAGTTCAAAAACCTGTTAGTATATCATGTATCAGGGCAAGTTGTGCAAGCATGCACCAAATCATAACTAAATAGCCATTCAATTAGCAAATCGTAAATAAGTATCAAACCAGCAATAGATAATACGAGGACAACTCTTCTTTCACTCTGAAAATAGCCTCACATATATACCGTAACTGGATATGTACAGTAAATAACTTTTATTTAACAAAACCATTAAAGCCTTAGTCACCAATTCAGGGCAGAAGGAAGGTGCAGCAAGGAAAACTTCATAACATAGCTGATAATCTCAAAACTACTCTTATTCATCAAAAAGGGGGAGAAACTCTCAAAACTACCCTTCATATCCCTTCAATTAATAAAATGATGTACAGTAGTTGTCCCAACCCTCATTTCATGACTTACCCATTATTAATACGCACCGTTCAACATAACGATGTTGGTTTGGAAAGATCATGACCAGGGTTAGTAGTACATTTATATTCAGGCATCACAAATTCACAATATACCATGTCTGCACATTTAAGGTTGTCTACATGAATGAATGTGCTCGCGAGAGTAAGAAAACATGAGCATATGCATACATGTGAGTTACAGAAGCAACTGCTAAGAATTCAGAAATGGAAACAACAAAATCCCTTTCGCACAAAAAACTAGGGCGTCGTTTGGATTAGTGAATGTGATGAGGGATTTATGAGTGATTTTAAAACAATCTCTCGTTATGCAGGATTTTAAAATAATTCTGCGTTTGGAAAGGTGAGAGATTGTGGGCATGAGGAAATTCTAAATCTCTCATATGAGAGTTTTTAAAATAGCTGATGGGGATCAGCTATTTCACAATCACTCATTTTTTCTCATTCTTTTCCAAACTCTGCCCCTCCTTTTGTTCTTCCTTTCTTATTCTTCCTTAGGGATTAGGGATGGGTATAATTGTAACTTTAATTTTTAATTAAAATCCTTCATCTATCCCCAAACATGTTATTTGGATCAAATCCCACGTTTAAAATACCTGGGTTTTTAATTGAGAGATTTTAATCCAAATCCCTCATTTACACATTCCCTAATCCAAACGACCCCTAGGAGTAAATGTGAGATCCAAAAGAACCTCATCTAATGATCTAACCTCGCCTGGAGTTTCAAGAAGTGCTTGTTCGTCTGTAGAACCAACAATTTGCTCAGGCAGGCGGTCCATTGTAGAAGCATACCTACAAGGGTAAGAAACTCGTTTACCATTTGCAGCTAGATGTATAGCTAGACTGCAAGCACCACCAATACCATTAAGTTACTAAGTTCACACACCTTCTCTCAAAGACAATGAGAGTAGCAGATTCTACACACTCCAGTTCATGGTCGTAATTTGGAGGCAAGTAGGCATAAGAGTCCACCTATGTCATTGAGAAGCTTGCATTAGAAATCAACACCGCTGTTGCACATTGCGTCTTGCTAATAAAAGCAACTTACCATAAGATTCTGAATAGCACCTGATGCATTAGTCAGGGAGGCAGAACCCTGAACCGCAAATAGGAACCTAATAATCATTGAAAAAAACATGAGTTAGGCAGGGTTTCTCTGACCAGACTTTCATAATAAGTACAGCTTAGAGGTGTCTGAACAATTCCTTCACCTCTCTACCCCACTAGGAGGTCGGCCTGCCCTTGAATTTTCTGCAGCTCACATCACAAACCAATCAATCAAAATCATTGAGCACATGCATAAAGCTTGATATCGTTTTTGTGCCCGAGAATCTCAAAACTGGATGGTTCACACTTAACATGGCAGTATTTACCATCCAAGAACTCTAGCTCAAGCCAACTAAGCGTACCTTTCATTTTTGCAAGGTACATCACAAAGTGTGAGCCCATAGCTGGGGTGATCAAATAAGCTCCCAACGCATTTGTCCTGAAAAATTCCACAAACATCTAAACTCGAAAAAAAGAAGGAACCTAACCTATCGTCTCTAAAATTTTCCATGAAGAAACTTGAAATGTGAAAGCAGAAGGTACCACTCTGGTATAGGGCTGAAGACGTGACTTTCAGGCGTGATCAGCGCATGGTCAGTTTTGTAGACACTGCGCGTGAAACCTGGCAAATCTATTGCAGACCAGCCAAAGTACTTCAGCTCATCACAATACTTAACTATCCAGGTAGTCGGCGCAATTCATTACAAGCACAGAGAGAACTGAACAACCATTTGCATCACATGAATCTATACACTGATGATACCTGTAGAACTAATACCAGCAAGCTAATTACAGTAACTCTTCCACCCATTCAGTTCCGAGTACATCTCTACCGATAACCAACAGAACTGTTGGGAATCAACCTAGAATAGAAATGATCTCAAAAGAAAAGACGAAGGCGAGAGAATTACTGACCCCGCAGATGATCAGGAGATAGTGTTGGGTTCGTCACTTTCCAATAGAGATGTTTCTGCTCCTCTTCAGTCTCCGTCACTGAAGGCACGGAGCAGAATCCTCCATCCGCAAAACACAGATTCACCGTTGCTACAACCACCTCGCAATTACGGAAACAATTAGTTCTTAGATTAAACTGATTCTTACTGTGAACCGATAACCGAATCTCGCTGAGTTCTAGTGGTCTGTGCAAACTTCTGCCTGCTTGCTTACTTGCAGTCGAATTTTTTTTTTTTTAGGGAAAAGGAAAACGGAAGCGAGAAAATTACGTTTTAAAATTTTCTCGGGAAACGAACAAGTTGGAATTGAAGTAGAGAAGATGGCAAACGTACTTGTTGAGAAGACGGTGAGAAGGAAAAGGATCGACGGCAGGGAAGGTAGGAAGTGAGTCATCGTCCGGCGGGTCTGCAGTTGCGTTGCCCGGCGACGGAAAACGGAGGTAAGTGGCTACTGGCTAGTGGCCAGACAGACCGCGATTTTTGTGTGAAAGCGCCAGAACGGGGGCCCACGCAACTACCTAATCTCATAATGCAGCCATTTGAATATTAGTAGCTGTTTGGAGGTTAGATTCTCCCCGTTAATTTTTAATAAACTTAATAAAAGGAATTTTTTGTTTAATTTAAAGGGTAAATACAATTTAGTATCCAAACCTTTTATTTTAAACTAGCATTGGGCCCGGCCCGTTGGCCGGTGTGCTATAGACCCAGTACGTGAATTTTGTTTTGTTCTATTGATAATGAAATACAATCAAAATCAATGACATTATATAGCAAGCAAACTCGTAGTCCCAACTCCCAATTACATAATGAAATACAATTAAAATCAATGATTTGATACGACAAGCAAGCTCGAAGTCCCAATTACATAATGAATACAATAATATATAGAAACTTTCAAAATGCACATCTCAGCAAACATATAATGTATGATTAAATTGCAATGGTTATTTTATTCATCCTTTAATAAAAGACCAAGTTTCCAAGTTGTTTCTCTAATGTTGAGACCAATAGTGGATTTAGCTGCTGCTATTAGATGAATAAAGTTATTGAGGTCTATCCCTTCAACTCTCTATTCATGTCATGCAATATCACATCTTCCCTCCCAGCTAAGAAGCTAAGTCAAAATAAAATGCAACTGAAACTTCAATCGAGAAATGTCATATATTCAGCAAAGAAATAAACAATATAGAAATCAGGAAGGAATAGAAGCAAACAATTGAATATGAGTGTGGTCAATTATCTTTAAGCTAGAAAGCTCAATTGAGACCAAAAACACCAAGACTTACCAATTCCCACAAGCAAAGCAAAGAATCACATCAGCACTACAAAATTTCAAACTAACAATTTTCAGAGATTAACTAAAACTATCCACACGTACCTTCTCTTCCAAATCTGTTGTTGCTACAATTGTTGCAGCGGCTATGGCTTCTTTTCATGGATGTTCAATGATCCGCAAACTCACCAACCCATCTAAAGTCTAAACCAACCAATAAACCCGTAAATCTATTTAAACGCAATTCATGAATCCACCAATGTAAGAACCCAACTCACGAACCTAATCCATTTGCCTAGCACATTAGGAACACATAGCTTCCAGAAGGATTGAAAGAAGAGGAGGAAAACAATTGCATGTCAAAAGGATGGCATTTTACCCCCTGCAAAAATTTGTGACTGTTTAAGTAATCACCCCAACTTAGAGTAAAAACCTTTTCTTGAGTGCATGTAAAGCGATGGAACCTGCCATGTAACAGAAAATAAGCCAGAGGTTTGTTATATGGAGAATTCCCTGCCTCCTTAAAGTCGAAATCCACAAAAAGTCCTAAACTGACACAAACTTGAGCTGTTGGTGTAAATAACACAGACTAATTGAAGTGAATGACATGATAAACACACTGGCACTAAGCTGCTGCTATCATAAACACAAAAATCCATGCTATTTTCAACTTCAAATTGTCTCTAGAGTGATGAAAAGTCCAAAACTAATTGAACTCTAAAACTATGTAAACTCTCCTCTTCAATTTGACTATCGATTTGATAGCATTGACAGAACCTTTGGAGCACAAGTAGCACAAACTTCAGTAGGTTATTTATACACTCATGTATCAATTGGAATAGAGTAGTGAAATTGTGGGAAAACAAGCAATTAAGTAAGCTTTGGTATAGTAGACGTAAGAGTTACCAGAATTTGAAGGGGAGAATGAGGCTTGGTGGGAATTACGGAACCCGCTTCTTCTTCCCCATCAAACCCCGACCCACAATTTCTTGATGGTTTGCTACTCCCTTTGAAACGAACATAGAAATCTGCGAATCAGATTAGAAAGGGAGTGAGATTTAATTACTTTGGGAGCGGTGTTGAGGGTCAGGCGTGGATAGCGGTACCTGCGGTGGCAAGGGCTGCCGTGAGCTTTCCGGGAGTGCGGGAGACAGCCGATCGAAGAGTGAGAAGGGGTATGAGCGAGAACAATGGTTTGCTTGCTCGACTTCGAGGTTTGAAACGAGACTTTCGAGGGCAACGTTTGGGGGAGAAGAATTTCAAGATTAGCGGTGATATGTACGGGCTGGAAGACAGAAAGAGAGAAGAGAAGAGAAGAGTTGTGGAAGACAGGGCAGATCCTCGGCAGTGAGCGGCGGCGGTGGCGTGGGAGAGGTTCGCTTCCTGGTAAGAGATTGGAAGACCGAGAGCGATGAAGAGATAGATTCGGGATTTACACAAAAGCCTCTCCGAATTGTGCGGCCATTTCAGGAGAGGCTGACGTGGCAAATGCTGTTTTTTGACATTGTCTTATAGTATTTTGTAGACAATATAACAGCCAAACCTTTTCGAAAACAATCTAATATTCAAATCGTCAATTTTCTGTCTATTTGACCGTTAGTTGACACTTCAAAAAAGTTCGAAGTACGACACTTCATCAATATCCATCGATATCTTCTCTGAAAAACCACCAACATATCGTAGTTCCAAACCCGAGAAGTCCATGACTCCACCATGATGGTATAAAATATCTAAATATTCAGTCATCTGCAATGCCAAAACAAGAAACAAAGTTGTATTGTGACAATTTCCCCTAAACAAAGCTTTTTTGAAGTGTCAACTAACGATCAAACGAACGGAAAGTTGACGATTTAGATATTAGATTGTTTTCGAAAAGGTTTGGCTATTATATTGTTTAAAATGAAAGGTTTGGATATTAAATTGTATTTACCCTAATTTAAATATACAAAATGTAGTTAATCCTGCTGTGGAACAAGCTATTATGGTAAAACTAGGTGAATACAACCAACTATCATTAAGAATTTCGTCTTTGGACCCAAAGCAGGCGAGGGGCGGAACACCACAAAGTGAAAGAGTTCCTAATAAAAAATGTATTTAATCAATTTGTGTATTGTAATTTGATGTATTGGTTATACTCTCACCTTTTGGTAGAGGTTGATAATCACTCATTTTGAGTGATTGTAGGTGGTTTCAGAAAAAGAGGTAAAACATGTATTCTGTCACAAATTAAAAAAAAAACTACTTAATCTTAACTTACATGCATTGGCTAAATACATTGGTTGAAATCCCAACCTCCAAACAACCCCTACATATACAATACATGTATTTGTGGAATATATCAATCATAACAATTCACTCGAATTACTGAAACATGTCATATTTAGTCACTCTCCCGTTAGTTACCGTCCACCTCTATTGATGGAGTTGGACGGAAACTAACGGGATAGTGACTAAATGTGTCATTTTTCCAGTAATTCGGGTGACCAAAATTGATATTAATTTTTTTAGTGACTAAACATGACTCGATTTGATAATATCAGTGACCAAATGTGGTATAAACCCATTTTTTAAGGGGATTGCTATTCGTCGCCCTAAAAATCCTTATTCGTCGCCCTAATTGTATTAAATTTACTCTAATGTCCTTAGTTTATTTTTTATCTTTTAATCACTTAAACCCTTAAACAAATACATACATCCAATCGTTGCTGGAGCAGACCACGTCACCGGAGGCCCAATCGTCGTAGTCAGCCTCAGCCCCATCATCACCCTGCGTAGCAACTCAGACACGCTAATAACTAGGCAACTGTCGTTGTGGGCAGTGGAATCTTGCTGTGTAGGGACAGGACAGAGAGAAAAACTAGGAGAACGAGCAGAACAGAGGCGAAAAGGGCTTCCCAAGTGTTTGTAGTACTTGTCCGAAACGCTGCACACCTTTGCCCACCCCCGCGTGCTTGTTGCTCTTCAGGCCGACGTAGGCCACATCGCCGGCCGCCGTGATGGCCGTGGAAACTATTGCTAGCGTCAGCTGCAAAGCAGGGGATCAGAGGGAGTTAATGGTTTTTTCGGGAAGAAGGATGAAAGTGAGAGACATGTGGTAAGTGGTAAATTAGTTAGTTGCTATTTACTACTTATCACGTCCAAGAAGATGAAGTGGAGCAGGAACTTGTTTTTTTGCTTCCACAGAGGCTAGGAAGGTGATGATGGTGTATGGGCGGCTACGCAGAGTGTTGAAATGAAATTAGAGCTAGGGATAAATGTGTCAATTTAGTGTGTTTTAGGGCGATAAAATTTAAATTTTAGGACGACGAATAACAATTCAGTTTTTTAATCCATAGATGGGCCTTCTTAGGTATGAGGGAAAATGTACAACTGGTACACTCGGAGATATTATTTGGAATTCAAGTACATAATATTTTTCATGCGAGTGATGTGATTATGTGAACCTGAATAATAGGTTTTGTAGTGATAAAACAAGGAAAGGAAAGGAAATATTTTTAATTTTTTATACATGAACATACCAATGGATAATCAATTCCCAAAAAATGGTTTTTATGCATGCTTGGTCTATTCTATATACTAATGAAACCTTACAGAAATTCTTTTTTTGAATGAATAACCTTGCCCACGTGCATTAATTGTCAACCAAATTCAACGAAATATTTGCCGAATCAAACGCGCTTGAGGTCTTCATGCATCATTGATTTTGGTTTTTTTTATTGTTTTTTGTGGTAATTGTCTTTTCAATTCTGACTACATTTTCGCGCCAAAAAGATAAAAAAGAGACTCTATCGAAACTGTAATAAATAATTTATAAATTCTAATTCTTTTCAAATTAACGATCAACAGTGTTTGAGTCACAACCACCTCTCCTTTTTTGCTACACTAAAACATATCTAAAATTAGCTTCTCGCTGCCACTTCTATAAATCCTTCAATCTTCCCCCAAATCACAACCATCCTCCCCTCAAATCCATCCATCTACCACAATAAAAAAGAAAAGAAGAAAAAAATTAATAAAAATGACCTCCATTAATAAACACCTTCATCTCCGGATCGCAAATCTTCTTCTTCTCCTTCTGGTTGCTCTGTTTTTTTCCCCCATCGAATCCCACTCCGTCCATGTCTCAGACCTGTGCGAATCCGTGTGCCAGAAGAGCACCAACTACGCGTCGTGCATCAAAACCATAGCAGCCGACCCGCAGCTGGCGAAGGCGGGGGACGTCAAAACCCTAGCCATCCTCGCGATGGAGAAGGCGAAGAAGCAGTCGGCGACGCTGACCAAGATGTTCGACGAGATGGAGAAGAAGAACGGTGGCGGCGGCGATCCCAAGTTTCAGGAGGCGCTTAAGCTGTGCTCCAAGGATTTCAAGGACGCCAATTTCTTCTTCAACCCTCAAGAGATGGGCCCCATATTCGAGAGCGAGGACATCCACTCGGCGCTTGACTATTACCAGAATTGCAAGAGGCTGTTGAAGCGGAATGGGGATTTCGACAAGGTGGGGCCCGAGCTGAGGAAGTGGAGGCATTTTTACACCATCGCCAGCGGGGCGATTCTCAAGGGGGAGGCTGATTTCCGTGCCAAATCGGGTGATCTTCTTGCCGGCGGCAGCGTCGCCGGCGGTGGAAGCGCCAGTGCCCCCGCCAGCGGTGGCAGCAACGTCGACAGTGGAAGTGCCAGTGCCCCCAGCAGCGGCGGCGCCACCGGCAGTAGCGGCAGCACCGGCGGCACCGCTGGCGGCAGCGCCCCCATGGGCAGCATTAGCAGCATGATTGACCCCGGCGTCAGGAGCTTCTTCGACAGCTCCAGCGGCGGAGGCAGCAGCATTGACGTCGGTAGCGGCAGCGGCGGTGCCAGTAGCAGCAGTGGCAGTGGCGGTGCAAGCAGCGGCGGCGGCGGCGGCAGTGCCGGCACCGGTGGCGGTATCGGGCTTCCTCCTTCAGATTTGCCGTGAATGAATTTGTAAATTTCATAAAATTTCTATTATTTATATTTATGGTTATGTAATAATGTAGAGGTCATTTGGTTGGTGTATTTAGAAGACGTGTCATTTGGTCAAATATAGATATTTGACAATATATGTATTTTTAGATGCATTTTTTGTTTAAAAAGTTTTGATGAGTCTTTTTTCAATAAGTCGATTGTCATTGTATAACGTTACTTTTCATTTTCTTATTTTCTATCTTAATAAAGCCAGCCACGGAAACAATTTCAATTTTACAACCAAAATTTAACATATGATTTGGGTATTAGACTATTAGTTATGTATACTACTATTTTTTAATTTAGAATAAGAATTTTATGTTAACTTCAATTTCCTTACAAATTGCAACAACTCCAAAGTATATCATTTTACAACTAAAGATAACATATACTTGAAATCGGTCTAAAAAATAATAACAACTACTCGCCGTATTTGGTTTGGTATTGCTATCGCGCATGACTTCAAGAGTCATGATGATATTATGGAGGAACGTTTTTATCATAATATTTTTGCTTCTCACTTCGGACAATTAGCAATAATTTTTCCCGGACTTTTGGAAATCTCTTTTTAGATAATTGGAAAATATATATTGTTCAACAACAGTTGGGAAGTATTGAGTTTATAAAGACAAACAAACAATACTAAGTATTGGATTTGAAAAAAAAATGAGAGGATTAAAATTGGAGGAAAAATTATTCATGTAAAGATGATTAGGAGGACAATAGCCATTTGAATATTTCGCTGAAATCAAATAAATGACTTGTTTTCTTTTTCGTTGACAAACAAGTTATTTAATATAAAACTAGCTTCGTACCCGGCCTATGATTTCGTAAGCATTTTTTTGTATGTTAGTAAAAAGTGTAAATTTTAACTCAAAACAACTAATATGTATGAGCTAAATTTATAAACTTATGCAACTAAAAAATTAATATGTTATTTATAAAAAAACAGAGTTAATTTTAATTATTTTTTTAAACGATGTGATATTTTGTACGAAAATTCAAATTACTTAAATATCCTATTACTAATACATCAACTTGAAAGCCAAACATATATGGCAAGCTGATTCGAGAACACGTATTGAAGGTTGACTTATCGCTAACTCTTATTTTTATTGCATAAACATCCATACATAAGTAAGGGTAAATTGCAAGTTTGATCACTGAAATTACTAAACAATTTCACGTTTGTCACTAAAATTACTTTATTTCATTCACGGTCACTAAGATTAGTTCAACAGTTTAAGTTTGACCACTTTCTGTTAACTTTTGTTGATTTGGCAGTCAATCTTTATAGTTGACTGTTAAATGAATGATGTGGCAAATAAAAATAATAAAAAATTTAATTTAACTTTTAATAATTTCAAGTTTTCAACCTCATTATTACAATAAAAAAAACAATTAAAGTTCAACCTGTAATCTGCGAGACGGAACAACTTCGACCAAGGGTTCGTCCCGTCGACCATAAGAACTATTTCCCGTCGCGAATTCGATGCCTCCTCCAATCCTCCCTCCCCACCTCGGCCGACTCCACTGTAATCAATCTTCCGTTCACAATCCCCAGATATTCGATCGCCACCACAATTACATCCACGTGATACTCAATTACGCTCCCTGAAAATATCATCACCAGAGACCGAAAATGGCAGGGAGTACTTCTTCTTCTCCCTCCAACGAGCACATAGTGATGCTTCCATTAATGGCGCAAGGCCACCTGATCCCGTTCATTGCCCGCTAAATCATTTGCGGCCTCGCCACCATCACAATCGTCACCACCCTATCAACCTCGCGATCGACTCCCTCCGGTGCAACCTCTCCTACGAACCCACCGTCGTTCCCAGCACTCCAACAGATCACAAGTCGCTGACGACGACGACGAAAGCTCGGAAGGAGGAGGAGTTGTTCTTGATCGTGTATGGGATGGAAGGGAACAAACGCCGGGGACGGTCGCGACGTTCGTTATGAAGACGTATCAGATGGTCAACGACCCACTGATGGACAACCTCATCTCCTGGGGGAAATCCAACAACAGCTTCCTCGTCGTCGACCCGCTCGATTTGTCCAAGCGAATCCTCCCCGCTTACTTCAAGCACAACAATTTCTCCAGCTTTGTTCGCCAGCTCAACACCTACGTCCGTGAATCACAAATCACCGAAATGAATAGAATAGAATCGAATTGAAATCCTCTGTTTTTTTAAAAAAGAAAATTGCATGGGTTCAAGAAAGTGGATCCGTACAGGTGGAGTTCGTGAGCCGGTGGTTTCTAAGGGGACATAAGCATTTGCTGAGGAAGATAGTGAGGTGGAAGCAATGCAAAGGGTCGATGTCGATTGAGGATTTTATGATGGAAGGGAACGAGGAGATGGCGATGGAGATTGGGAGGTTAAAACAGGAGCAGAGATCGATGGAGATTGGAGAAGCAGCGGGAAGGGATGAGCAAGCAATTAAGGGTTTCTTTTTTTTAATTTATAATAATTAATTGGAAAATAAAAATAATTATATTTTATTATTTTTTAATTGTTATGTCACTCGTTTAACGGTCAACTATAAAAGTTAACTGTCACATCAACAGAGGATCCTCTTGGTCAGCGATATTGTATTGATTTGGAGGTTCAATTGTTGATGCCATTGGGACTGGTGGATTGTCGTAGGGCAAAATTTCTGGAATATGTAAATTGCCGTAAATTCTGGTGGCTGTGGTGGTTGACAGATACTTCACACCTGCGAATGCATTATGGTTGTTTTTTTTTATTAATCTGAATGTTCTTTTTGTATTGAAGATGAATTTAATTAGTATTTGATTACAATAGTAAATACGATTCATACTTTTATAATCTTTGACGACTACAGAAGTGATGAATTATGATTGTATTGGACCAATAGCATTTGCGGTGAGGATGCGGTTGAACTGCTCAATAGTTTCTCCACATATCATCACTTGAACCTTGTCGTTCTTGTATACAATTTTTTGAAGTGATTATGATGTAAGATATTGTTTGACATAGTATCAGATCAAATGTCATGAATTATTATGGGAATGAAAGGTCCGAATAGTTTCCCTGGGAGGGCAATTTGAAGCTCTTTTCTGACAGTTCTGGTTGTTCCATTGGAATGGCTTGCAGTTGTTGAGTACTCTAATAGACTGCCGAAGGCATATGAAATAAATATTGAAAGAATTTTGTTAAACCCGTTTTTCCATCTTAAAACGAATGAAAAGTGTCTTACCACTTAGAATCGTGATGTAATTGCATTTGTTTGTAAATTAAGAAGATTTCAGGAAGCGAAATTTGTAGTGGGGCATGTTTTCATCTTCTGTTGTTGGATGTATGATTGTCTGGTTGGTGATGAGGATTGTGAGCGGATTGTCAGTCGGTGGTAGTCTCCCTTGGTTTTATTGACAACGAAAAAATTAATGAGATACATCTTCTCTTCTTGAAGTTGTTGTTTAATCGTGTCCATCGATGGCTTTGGCACTTGTGCTAAAATGTCTTTGCCCAGACAAATTATATTTAAAACAATGGAACTCTAAATATTGACGTTGGTGTGTTAGTAATTGAAGGTATTCTAACAAAAATATCGGATTTGGTACCTTCTCATCGATTAAAATTATGTCCAAACGCTGGTTTTGATGTTGACTGCATCCCACATCCTGGAAACTCTTGTTCGAATCGTACCCTGGAAAGGTCCTTCTTGAAGATTTTTCAGCAGTGTGTTGGCCAATGTGATGCTCCGGTCTTCACCGTTGGATGTTTTTTGACGCCTCTGGCAACCGAACGGGTAAACGTTTGTAGTGGAGTTGGATGTGCAATTCCGCTGCAAATGGGTGATATATGGCTTGGCAAATTTGTCATAGACGGTAGTAGTGATTAGAGTGACTATGGCACGCAGTGACTTTGGTGGTGTCGATCATGTTCTTTAAATACTGCTCCATCATTTCCAAAGTAAATCTAATTGGTGGTTGTGTGGAGTTTGGAATGGGCGAGAAGATGCGATGGTTTGTTGGGTTTGAGCTTGAATTTTCAAAGGAATTGAGATATCCGTCGGAGAGTAGGGCTTACGTCGGAACTGCGACGGTGGGTCTGTTTGAAGATCAGGTTTACAGTGTCAGTGTGTTGGTGGTAGTGTCGATTGGGCGAAAAGATGTGATGGATTTTGAAATTGGTGAGAAGATGTGGTGGTTTGCAGGGCAGGGGTTGAACTTGAATTTTTGAAGGTATCTGATTCGTCGGAGATTAGGGTTGTAGACGAATTGCGGTTGTGGCTCTCGCTGAACTTTGAAGATAAGGTTTGGCGTGTGTTGGTGATAGTTTTGATTGTGGAGATTTTTTCCTTTAAATTATTGCCTATAGTTATAAAGTGTGGATTGCATCAAATCGAGAGGGAAAATATGAGAATTTTTCCTTTTAACATGTTAAGTAGTGTTGTATTCGAGAGGGAAAATATGAGAATTTCACTGTCATGCATCAAATCGGAAAAAGAAACATACAATAGTTAGGCGTATCGAAAATTAAGCAACTTTATTTGAGGGTGAAGAAGCAGCAACGACGGAAGACATCAATGAGGAAGATGCAACAACTTAATCATGCAGGGGATTAATAAGGTGTCAATTTAATCAGGCAGGACAACAAATATTATGTAGTCAAAAAATAATGAGTAAATCCAAATAGAAAAGTACCAAACAACCAAGCGTATAGAGGGGAAAACCCTAAGGCCAATTGAAGTGGAACTGTGGAAGTAACATAAAATAGCCAAATATGTCAATTGAAGCGACGCGATGGGGAAAAGCAAATACATGAAGCAGCATTGGCGAAGAAATACCGAAACGAATCCCTTCCCGACGCAGCAGTCTAGCGGAAAAAAGAAAAGACAACAATGTAAGAGCACTTCTACTATGCTATAAAGTATCGGTACTTTAATGTATAACTTAAAGTTGTACCATAACGTTAAATGTATAAGTTCAGGTTGTACCATAAAAGAATTTGTGCTCTTATGTTATGGTACAACTTTATAACTTATACTTGTACCATCAAATGAAAGTACAAGTTTAAGTTGTACCATAAAACAATTTGACAAAAGAATATAGGTACAATCTGAAGTTGTACCATAACGTTAAAGGTACAACTTCAAGTTGTACCATAAAGGGAAAAACCTATATCACCAATACTATATAGCATTATAAAATTCCTCACCAATGTAATAGGGTTGTAGGAACAATGGTTAAAGCATTTTGGCGACGGTGGCAGAAAGAAGATTGGGAGTCTGGGGAGGCATATGGCGGTCGGCCTGAAAGATTGGGACAATGTTTTAATAGGTCGAGGAAGGGAAATAACCGTGAATTTGCGGTTGGGAGAAGGAATGCAGCTGCTGACGTGGATAGCGTGTAAGTAGAGGAAGGATTACGTGGCATAGGTCAAAACCTTAAAGCCCTTGTTATTTTTTTAGATAGATAGATAGAAGATGACTTCTACAGATTATTTCGGATTATTCTCTTAGGATCACGAATACGGTTGCTTGAAATCTTAGACATCATTATCATATGTAATAAAATAATGTTAATATCTTATTTTGGCTAGAACTATGCTCATATAATCAACTTTGGCTCGTGGTTTCAAAAATTGGTATCATGACCTCAATTATACACTGTATATATAGACTAATTCCTCGACTCATGAATTTCCGTCAAATTAGACAGTCAACAGTATTGACCGTTAGTGAATCAACATGCTTTATTGACGTGAATGCCACGTAGACATTAAAAATTAATAAAATATTAAATAAACAAATAATTTATCTTCAACGCCCTCTGCCCCACCAAGAGAAAGGTAAATCTCTCTACATAATTGCCTCTTCTCATTCATCGCGCGCGAATCACCTCTTACTCACAAACAATACAACTTTACTCAACACCACCTTCTACGCGAACCTGGATTTCGACACGCAAGTCACCAATGCCGGCGGCGGCGGAAGGACATTCTTGAAAACCCCACGGTTCAACACCATGTTGTTGTAGCTCCGACTCGAAATCGATGACAACCTTAGGATCCACACATCATATGGTACACCTTCAATATCAGAGCCACAATAATCGCAATCATCACTCATTTTCTCGTCAGCTGCTTTCACATAGGGATCTACCTTTCCGCCTGCTACCACCACTCTCCAGCTCCACAATTTCCTCCTCATTCCTTATGCCACAAAGGGAATCCATGCTCATCCACCACTTTTCTTCACTGGAGCGTCAAAAGCCTCTAGGTAATTCCTCAAGTATGAAGGGGGTAACCCGAGGGAGTCGTTGTGAACAATTGGTGATGAGGTTGAGGTGGTATAGAGCATCAAGCAGAATGTTAGGGGTCCAAACCCTCTTTTTAGGTTGAAAACTTCTAATTCTAGGGTTTTTAGATTGCAACTCGAGATAGAGCCAAACAAATAGTAGAATCTTGAAGTGTTATGAGTCGTCATATCATTTGCACTCACAATCATCTAACATTGAGAATTGACTCGTCCCAAATATCACAATAAAACTCCAAATTAAGGCCCAAGTATAAACCTCAATTGGGTGCAATACAGGGCAAGTATGTTTAAATGTCAACCCGAGTCGGTTTATGTACCCCTACTTCTATTGTTTGTAACATTATCTAGCGATTGGGTTTTTAGTGAAAACAACGATCTATAGCTAAAACGTTTTGAAAAGTAAATGGATTTGACACTAATTGAGAAGGCTTCACCCGGGTGTTGCCCCCTTCCCCCCCCCCCCCCCCCCAGCTAACAATTATGACTTGTCGGATCGAATGGTCACGTGTGGTAAGGTGGTTGTAATCCGTAGGGAAGTGCAACAAGTAGCCAAATGCCACTCTCTCGGTATCTAGGTCAAGGGAATTCGATTCAAGCCACCAAAGTAGCTCTCTTGACCTATAGACTAAGGTTAAGACTTCACCCCTTGAATCGGAGTTTGGATGACCAAAGTACAACCAACCCTAGGTGCTAATACTAACAAAGAGGGTTGCCCTACATTAACCTAGACAGGAGACAAGATTTGCCTAAGAAAATCCAGCTTTTCAAGCCTCTTTCAAAGAAAGGGGGTTTCTCTCTACCTAGGTTAGAATGACAAATAGATTGATGGGCAAACACACAGCACAATCTTTCCTGAAAATACCTCCAAATTCACATTAAAACACATCCACACACAAATCATTAAATCCATACAAACATTCACATAATTGTAGCTAGGGTTTACAAACACTCAAGTGGAATAAAGGGACTACTCCATGCTAGGAGAAGGGATAACACAAGAGAGACTAAGGAAAACCATCATGGAGATGCTAGCCTTGCTCCTTGTGTTGAAGAGATCCTCCTTTGGGGAAGGAATTATCAAATCCTTGCTTCAAGATGAAACCTTAGCTTCTTCTCTTCTTTAGTTCGTCACTTTCTCACTCTAGAAATATGAAGAAGAAGAAGTTTCTCACACTAGGTCTCCCCCCTTTTTCCTTCAGCTCAAGCCTCCTTTTATAACCAGATCAGACTCAGATCACGGCTGTGAACTGAAAGCACAAACCGTGATCTCAAGTCAAAACGTGCCGCATCACTTAGTCGAGTTCACGGGCAATGGCCCGAGTTCACTGTCTTACGACCGTTAATTGATTTGAGTCTAGTGAGACTGAAAAATGCTCTGGACGTCTGGTGGTTCACGACTAGCGGCTCCAGTTCACGGTCTTAGTGACCGTGAACTCACAGCTTCCACTGTGATCTGCTACTGCTTTCACCCTTTGACCTGAGTTTTCGCCATTTCGTCCAACTTTCGACTCGGGAGTTGGTTCCACCTTTTACAGCCTGAAAACACTAAAACGAGGCAAAACCCTGCGTAAAACCAAACCTCCCGGAGTGCAAATGCCTCAAACGACTAAGGAAAGCGGGGTAAAAAGATGTACAATTGAGCCCGAATCAAGAATCATGGAAAAAGGCATATCAGATGACCACAGAATCGTATCTTCCCTCTGACCTAAGATCAAGGTCTAAAAAGTTGACCTTGCTGAGATTCAAGGGATAACGACGAGACAAAACTATGCCTACTTACCTCATACCTGTGTAAACTCGACTAATGTTGGAAGGGAAACTGATTAAAGTCTATAATAGGGATATTTTTCTAGACGCATCTCCAAATCGCGACAATACAGAGGTTCGAATGGCGGATTTGGAGTCAATGACGGTAGCGTTGTAAGAGCAGCGACGGGAGGAGCCATTGGTCAGATCATAGTTGACTACTACATAGGATGAACTTAACGACAAATGACCATTGATGAAATAAAACGTAAAGTCAATGACGACTGACGAGTAAGAAATGAATATTTTTTGGGCGGCTAATATGATAATCTATGTAATTTAGCTAGTTTTTGGATTTTGGGGTTATTTGGAAGTTATGATTCTAGGTGAATGATTCTTTGAATTCATGCATTCTGGAGAATCCATCGTTTTTTTTTTTCCAAAACTTTATTCAATACATGCATTTGAGGTGGCCCCTCAAATCTCATATCACCCACAATCACTCATTTTAAATCTCAACAAAAAGGTGAGATTCTTCCTTTGAGATTGTTGGCTTTAATTTGTTTCACTTTTAGCTCATAAAGTAATATTTTCTTTTCTTTAAAATTTTTGAATGACTACAACCAAAAGACATTTTTCCAATCATATAAGGGCTTGTTTGGAAGTTGTGATTCTTCAAATTGATGTATAGACAATTAGTGTATTATCATTTGATGTATTGAATCAATTGATGTATTAGGCAAATATCTTGTTTGGAGGTTTAGATTGTGTTTTTGTTCTAAAGGTAAAAAAGTTAGTTTTGAGTGATTGTGAAGAATCACAACAAAAAGTAGAGATTGTAAATCCCTCAATATTGAGTGATTGTGGTGGGACCTCCAAAAAGTAAATACATGTATTCTAGTTCTATATACGTCAAAAAAACGACTTAATCTCACAAATACATGAATTAGGTCAATACACCATTTGAAATCACAACTTCCAAACGACCCCTAATTCTTACGATCTTTGTATTTACAATAGATGTATTAATCAAATACACATATTTGAAGAATCTCAACTTCTAAGCGAACCTTAGATTTACCACTTACTATTTTGGATGGTCTTAGGGTTTAACGGAATTAGGGTTTTTAAGCTACCAGGTTTTGAACCAAACGTCTTCCAACCTTCCCTCGCCGGCAGAGGAGCGAACATCGCGCGTTATCCCTCGTATTTCCCCGTTTCTAGCAATCATGAAGTCGGGAGACGGGAACTTAATGGATTCCATAGTCTCTTCTCTGTCAAACAGCATCAAAGATGTCCCCTTGGCTGCTATACCTCCCATGCTTGATTGCATTTTGGCATCCACTGGTTTCTCTCTATCTTCGCTTTTCCCTGCACTACAGGATTCTTTCGCACTTCTCGTCAAGGTAGTTCGCTCTGCAGACGGAGCTTAACCCATGGCTGATTTTTCGTGTATTGACGACGGACATACCGACTTGCAGCTGCTAACAGTTCTTCTGCTTCCTGTGTTTACAATTTAGTTGAGCTAGAATTGTTAGTAGACTAGCTAGGTTTCTTGAATTCGAAGAATTTTACCTAAAAGTTCTTTTGGTTGTTGAAGAAATGAGATATAAACTTCAGCTGAACCATTCATCTTTGACTAGCATTAGACGGAAGCTTTGTGGTTCCCCTTCGAATTCGTATGCTAGAGATAGGCTTTGGTCACGCTTTACAGTTCTAGCTGCTTACTGCAGGATCATATGCTGAAGGACGAGAAGTTGGGTTCTGATCATTGTAATAATGTTGCATCATTGGCAGCTGCACTTTGCCATCTCCTGAAAAAACTTGGTAACTTCTGGGGTGTTATTCTTGCTCTGCTCTTGTTCATGTGGCATCCAAATCTGCACTGCATATTTTATTGCGCTCTGATACTTCGCTGGAAAGTTCCTAGCATTTTGAACCATGTCTGTAATGAAATCCAAGGCAGTAGATACTTTTTTGGTTAATTTGTTTCTGGAAATATTATGCCTGATCATGCATTGTTGGATTCCAGCATTACTGGATCTTTCATTTTTGTGGTTTTCTTTTCATTTTGTTGTTTATTGGACCATTCATGAAGTTATCACATTAGGGCCCTTCCTTTTCTGATATGAAGCGGCAAATGTTAGGGAGTTATTGATTTACCCAGTACAATGCCTCTTAATTTGATGTAGTTCTGGTCGTTGATGAGAGTTTCTTGCTGTTGCCAGGGTCTGATTCTCCTTGTATGCGGTCTTTTATATGGAGATGTTTTATTCCCTTGCTGAAGATAGCTAACACATTTGACCATGGATTGCTTAACGAGGTAAAAACTTTGTCATTTATCAGCTTTATTGGAATAATTTCCTTTTGTTGCTCTTTCTAATCACAAAATTGTTCATTGCTCTCCTGTAACATATGCTTAGATTGCAGAATCATTCTTCAGCGCCGTGAGCGCAACTAATTCCTGGACCATGCTAGAGACAACTTTGGTGCCATTTCTCTTAAGATCCGTTGGTCTTTCTATGGGCATGCAGCAACATGCAGAATCATTTTTTTTCAAATGGGGTAGTTCCTCTGCTTTCCAGAGTGGAGATGACATGAAAGATGGTCTTCATCTCGATAAAGATTTTGTGCTGTCTTCTCAGTTTGGATATGTTCCTTTACCAGTATCTTGCTATGTATTGACTCTTGTACTGGATACTACTATACGAAGTTTCCTCATGTTACCATTAGAGAGAGCTACCCCTGGCTGTTGTTATGGGAAAAGGCTATCTGGTATTTTGCTTTGGGATCTCTGCTGTTTGAACGAGCAATTGCTTTTACATAGTCCAGACCTTCGGTCATGTACTATTGCTTTTCTGCTTCCAAATATTTGCAAAGCATTCACCCCAGGAGTCTCATTTGAGATCAGGATTCACGAAAACAGCTTTCTTCTAACGAGGTAAGTTTCATCTAACAGGTGTCATGCAATTATGATCCATAATCTGTTTATTTCCAAGTTCGTCTACCATCTGTGTAATGCCTTCATATATGTGCTTACAGCATCTATATAATTGTGTGCATACCAGAAACCTTTTTCTTGGGAAAGTTTGGAAGTGCTGCAGATCACTATTTTCCCTTGGGTCATTAGAAAGACGGGACGCGTATAGTGTGCTCTCTATGTGCTCAACCTTTTTTAGGGATGGATATGATATTGCTGATTCCAACATTGAAGCCGAAGAATCTGATGTGAGGGCTGAAAGACAGTTTTGGGAGGAAATAAAAAGAGGCCTGGTACTTCATTACTGACTGTTATTCTTTTTCCTCATACAATATTCATGCAAAATCAGCTGAGATTAACCTATGCGCACTTCTCCATTGCTGCCCTTGACCACACGTACCAGGTCGATGAGGAACGCTTAGTCAGGAAGCAGTCATTAGAAATACTAAAAAACGTACTCTGCACAAATGGAGAGAGTCCATCTAGTGCTTCGGAGGCGAAGACCCAAAGTAAACTTTCAACTCCTCTAGGCATGACAAGGAGGGAACTGTGGGCTGACAAGGAAGCTAGATCTCTGGGTGTGGGAAAACTCTGCAGTTCCGTTGATTCCCTTCTGACCCATCAGCAACAATGGAACACATTTATACTTCTATATGAAATGCTCGATGAGTATGGCACTCACCTGGTGGAAGCTGCCTGGAATCACCAGGTGCCTTGTTGATTTCCCTATATTACTCTTCTTTCCGCTTGATTCAGTTACTCATAGTCTAATTAAATACCATAGTAACTGGTATGATTAGTGAGCCTAGAGGTCAGTCTATTTAGATGAAAACATTAACTGTCGTTGCATTCAAACCTTGTGGTCATCATTTTATTCTGAAATAGGAAAAGAAAGCTTGTCTATAACGGGGAAATACAATCTTAAGCTTCAAGAGAGAAGAAAGATTTTAGGAAATATGATCAGCCTCTGCTTGAAAAGCCGAAGCAATATCTGCTTTCTAGGGTTCTAGCTTCAGGAGTTAAAACCATGACACTATATTATGCTGAAGAGTTATTACTGAAACTTGGTTCCTGCAGGTGACATTGCTACTGCAGGTTTCTGCTTCACAAAACAACTTTGCTAACACTTCATATGGAATGCATCAACACCAATCTGAAACTTCAAGGGAAAGTTTTGCTTGGTTAGCAATATTGTGGCAAGTAGGATTTTGTCATGAAAATCCTCAAGGTAGTTGCGACATGTTGTCCTGGCATAGTGAGAAGCATATTTGTTATTAATGCTAATTTTTCTGTTAGCTGTATAGTGGCTATCTAGGTCTTATTTCACTTGTGGGTAACTTTGAGGACTAAAAATATCTGGTTTTGTATATCATGATTGCAGTTAGGTGCTTGGTCTTGCAGTCATTTTTGGGTATTGAGTGGGCCAAATATGGAGAGACGGCAATATCTCTTCCTGAAAGCTTTATTCTCGGTCCATTTCTCCATGCATTGAATGATCCCATCCATCACAGAGATTTCGGTTCGTCTCTCTTTTAGTTGGTAGATCAATGCATGCATAGTGCCATATTTGGATAGAAACTCAGTATGCTTAAAGGATTGCTGGTGTTATCAGTTACTCTTTTCTGGTGGTTCTCAGTGTTGAAGCTCTTACTTTTCATAATATTTTGAATCTATGACCCATATCAGAAGTGAAATTCTAATTCTTCTTTGATAGCAAGCAAGTTCTCTAATACTAGTGATGCACATTCATCTCTTAACATCACACTCAATTGATGCTTTCATCCATTTGGATGATTTGAAATAAGCCAAATTACTTGTGATCAAGCAATTTAAATATTGTTAGATCAAGATAGCTGAAGCATTCCCTCTTGTTCTTGTTGTAATGTCCTGCCGAATAAAGTCTAGGTAGTGTTCTATACTCGTTGATACAGTCCATCTCACCGATTGATGGTTATATGTCTTTTGGTTCCTTAGGTGTTAAAGGGGTTTACACTTCAAGGACAATAAAAGCAGCGGGCCAGTTCTTATGTCACTATATATCTTACCTAAGCATGAGGTAAGTTAAACATCTCGCTCTGGATTTGATGATGGGTCTCCATATCCTTCATCCTTCTTTAGAGAACAATTTTCTTACTGTGTATTCTGCTAAAGGGTTCTTGCTGTATAGGCTTGCAATTAGTAGTTCCTCTCCACTAATATGATGAGCAAACCTCTTTTCATCTTGCAATGACTTTTGGAAGCTGCTTTAATTTATTCGAACAGTTTATGTTTGAGCGAGGGAAGGGGGTTCGCCACTTAACACTAGGGTAGCCGTTGTAATTTTGTTGTTAGCTCCTTTTGAGTGGTCTTCTCCTGACTCTGAAACAAGTAAAGCAAACCCTCATTAATCTTGAAACCTGGTTCGTTTACAGTTTACCTCGATCAATTTCTATTTCTGGTAGTGATGTACTATTTCTGGAAGAAAAAAGAACGTAGTATATGAAGCTTGTGGAGTATGCCATATTAAAAATACATTTGGGCAATTAAATGATTGAAATGTGCTGCTGTTGGTCTCATTTGATTTCAGGAATGGGATTGCCCTTATCAATTCTCTGGCATCAGTTGTTAAACATCGGCCATTTGGTAGAGCTGGATTAATGGGTCTTGCAGAATGTCTTGCATCTGCTGCTCGTGGATTAGAGAAATATAAATGCGGAGCATCTGATCTGCTTGAAGAGGTGGTCAAAGCTTCCCCAGAAAACTTTTCTTCAATTGATAAATCAGAGTTATTGGAAGTTTTGAGGTTTGTTGTGGAGACCAGCAAACAACACTTCAACCCCAAGTATCGTCTTCGAGGTCCTTAATCACTCATCCCACTTAATTCTCTAATATTGTTGAAATATCCAATGCCCTTACCATAAGCCAGGATGATTCTTTCTTGGTGATTCCAGTGTCCATGAAAATTCTCGAGGCTGCTGCATCCTTGGTCTGCATCTCAGAAGTGCCACTTGAGGCTGTATTGCGGTTCCTTTCTGCATTCCCGAGGGAGTTTGCAGATCATGGGGGTAAGCAAATGTTAGCTAGTGTTAGTATCTCTATCCAGTTTCGTTCTAGTTTCCTATCGCTTCCCCACTCTCGCTTGCTACTTGATGGTAGTGGGTAACTGTAGTGTTGATGGAAATATCTATCCTGCCTCCTGCCTGACATTGAACTATAGAAACAATTCCATCTATTAATTCTAGCTTTAATTCATGAATGAGTAGGATCCCTAAAGTGGAATCACTGTGAGCAGTTGTCAAGAGGATGCTTGCAACATAATAATCACTGTTCTTGTGCTTTTGAGTGGATGGAGTGACCATACAAACTGGTACCTCATGAACATAGAAGAGGAATTTGTGCTTGTCAGAATTATATGTTTTTTGGAGGTTCCTATCAGATGCTACAATGGGGGTATATATCCTCGCGATACTACTGAAGAGATTGAGATTTGAGAATTCAGGGGATATAAAGATTGTGATTCATCTGAAGCTGTTAAAATGTGGCCTTAATAGCTTGATGTAGTTGACAAGCTATTGTGGTTATCTTACAAATCTTTATTTGTGCTTGTCATTCTTCTCGTTCTCCTTATACTCGAGTGCTTTGCGTTTTATGGGGAACTCAACTTTCCTTTAGGGGCCTTCAGAGTAAGAACACAAGAGTGGTTTCTGGGGTCTCCCACTAAACATGAGAGTTCCAGTAACTACAGCACCAAGTTTCAGCTTCTGAAGAATCTTCAGGAATTCCCCTTAAAGTATACAAGTAGACAATCTTCTGCTGGTACTGTTTCTACCTACGATGATGAAGACATAGATGCATGGGAGGCCGAAGCCAAAAGATGGGCAAGAGTTCTTTTTATTGTGATCAAGGGGGAAAATGAATTGGCACCTCTGCTGACGGTTTGTCTCACTTCTCATTTCTTGACCTGCTAATTTTGTAGTTTTTGAGCCAAATGGTAATTTACAGCTCTATTTGTTAAGAACTGAGCTGATTTTCACAGGTTTCAGTTTGTTGGTAATCAAATGGATTGTCTAGGGCGAAAGAGGCGGCGGGGGGGGGGGGGGGGGGGGGGGGGGGGGGGGGGGGGGGGTGGGAAGAATAAGTAAATGAATAGAAGTACTGTGCATTATATTGACTCATATTTACATGGCATCAATCTGCTTTTGTTGATAATTTTCCTTGACATAAAAACATTAGATACGTTGGTGCTTGTAAGTAAAGCTGTAAAATAATTATGGTTGGATCTGAGGTATGCTTCGGTGAATAGCTCTTCTTAGTCACTTTTGTCAATTGTTTGATGTTGTGTTCTGTTTTTTATTTTGCTTATTTCTCACATGTTCATTTTTGGTTCCACCTTAAGCAATTTCCCCTCTGACTGAATGATGATTACACAACTAATTTTCTGCCCTTAGAGCCCTCCTTTACTTGGTTAGGAAGAATGCCGGTGAGATAAGAAGGCCATTGTTTTTGCAGAATAAACAATCTTAGGTCCTTGAGAAATGAAAATGACGCCACTTCCATGTCGTAGAAGTTATTTTGCTTGTCCTACACATGTCCGTGGCACTGGTATGCATGATCATGCTATCTCTTGATCTTGTATTCATTTTTCTGTGCAGTATATTCATGATCTTGGCCTCAGCATCTGCAAGCAACAAAGTTCACTAGAGTGGTTGCCCATCAAATTTCTCATCCTTAGCATGAGTGTAGTTTCAGAGATTCAATTGGCGGAGCAAAGAGCTGCTGAATATTGCATTGGTGGGGAAATGGAGAGAGAAGCAAGTTTGCTTGGTTTTGGAATGACTTCTGTAGAATCTTTGGCAGTGGCCAGAAATTTTTGTGCTCACTTTGTGCTCATCTTGGTAGTGAGAGTTGCCTTAGCAAATTACTAAATGAATGTGGCTTATTGTGATTTGTTAAACATGAAACTGATTTTTGCATGCAGGAAGAGCTGATTGCTTTTGCCAATATGTCATGTCCCATATTTTGGTATAGAATTGGAGAGGATATAACTTTGCCTGGACCGGTTAGGGGAAAGCTTGGCGGTCCTAGTCAACGACGTTTGTCATCGTCTACAACCACTGCAGTGCTACAAGCTGTATAATATCTCTCTGTCTTTCCCTTATGGGGGTCTTCTATTTGATATAATATTTCACACATTGAGCAGGTGGTAGTAATACACATTATACACTAGTTCTTTTGTCCCGGCACACCAAGGATTTAACTTTTTAGTGTTCACTGTAGTTATGTTTTCTTGGGAGGAAGAGGGTTGCTCATATGAACATCTTTTAACCTTTTCATCCTTTGCTGGATATTGCAATGTTTTGGGCATATCATTACATATCTCATTTGATTGGGAATCCAGTATTTTTTTTCTTTCAATAAACCTGTTAGGAAGAGGGTTACTCATATGGACATCTTTTAACCTTTACATCCTTTGCTGGATATAGCAATATTTTGTGCATCATCACATTTCTCATTTGATTGGGAATTGATTCTTGTTTTCTTCCAATAAATCTGTGAGTCAAATTGCAAGCTGTTTGCTTTGCTATATTTGCTCCTCTAATCCGTTGAAGTGAGGAAGTAGCCGACCTATACTTACTTTTTGTTATGTTCTTGAAGTATGACAGAGCAATTGCTGCTACTTTGTTCTTTCTATTTTCTGAAACTCACTTTCTTATGGTTGATTAGATAACATCAGTGCAAGTGGTTGCTTCAATTTCCTCATGGTGTATTACCTATAGAAGTGCTCTTGAGCTGAATTCTTCATGGACTTCTTTGTGGGACTTCTTCTTCAAAACTATATCAATTCCAACCTACAACTCTGAGGTATGCCTTATGCTCAATGATTGACCCAGTTGGAAAATGTTGGCTGGTGCTGAATGCATGTTCTTTTGGGTGTTATATTAGTTATATTGTGCGAAAAAAAATTTTGATTGCTTTTTGTGGTAAACCAGACAGGAGCTGAAGTTGGTGTAGCAGCTTATGAGGCATTGTCTTATGCTTTGAAAGCACTGGCATCATCATTCTCAAAGCTTTCTTTGGATCTCATCAAACAACACAACATATCATCACACTTAACTGAAGATGAACCATGGTTAGATGTGGTGGTTATCCCTTTTCTTCACAGTGTCAATAATCTTCTTGCTGTTGGAGCACTAGCACGAAGTCGAAGGGCAGTGTTGCTGAAATGGAAGGTGCTAACCCATGTTTTTGTACACCTTTACCCTCCTTGTCTTTCATCCTTAAATTAAGCTGAGGAGATCTATAAACTTGAATAGTTTTACGGCTTTCTCCCACTTAGAAGGTTTAGCTCTTTCTACTTAAAGTTGCTTTCTTCTGAAATTTACTGATTGGTTCTTGGGAGTTTGGGGCGACAAGTATGGGTGGGCTTGATGTTGTTCACCTTTTGTACCTGTCCCTGCAAATATGGATTTGGTAAAGGCACCCGTCCTTTCCTTTTCTCCTTTTTAGTTTTGAGTTAGTGTTTTGTGGTTTTAGCGAGGGTTCGATGCCAGCCATAATGTATGGACCTAGGGTGGTTTGATGTTTTTATGTTTACTTATGCATAGCAGTGCTGATCAATGTCATGTATATATTTGAAGGCATAACTAATGTTGTTAAGTTACAAAAACCAGGCATGATGTTCCTCTTGATCCTGATTAATAATAATAATATAGCTAATGGAGTGAGAGCCCAGATTGTGTCTCGGCTGCCCACTAATTTTTTGTAGAGCTTTATTTCATCTTCCCATAATAATAATAATTATAAGTGTATTACATATGTTGATCAATTCACTTACCGAGATCTATGTTTCAGTGGCTCTGTCTGGAATCTCTGCTTTCTATTCCTTGTTATGCTCGTGGGAATGGGTTGCCATTGGAGGATGCCAGCTTCTTCTCCGATAGAGCAATCAAAGCCATTATTGATGACCTCATTGAAAGGTACTTTTGATTGATCCTTGTGTAAATGATTTATCATGAAGGGATTTTAGGTCTAATCTCATAATGGTAATGGCTATTTTTCTTCAACTATAGAGTAGGAGATTAAGTAACAGCTTTGCTGTTTTCTATCGTAACCAGTGACAGAGTTGCTAGTATTTCCTTAAATAAGTTTTGTCTCTCCATCCCTTCAATGGTTATTGCTTAGTGAGACACTTAGTCCTCCATGTAATGCTCATTTTTTATTATGTATATGTTATACATCGTTTCTTGAAGAAATATATGTTGCTGGTTCCTTCAAGATATCGATGTCAATGAGCAAGTCTGTATCGGGTTTGTATATTCTGCCATCTTCTAATCTTCATGTGTAGTTAAGGATGCTCTGGTTGAATCCTTGTGTGAATTATGATGGATATCTAAGTATGGTGTACGTGGCTCATGATCTTACATGTTGGTTCTTGGTTAAATTCAGAGAGGCATTGCTCTTGAAGCAGTTAATTAAAATAAAGACGATGAATGGTCAATATCATCTGGAAAATAACTCTGAATCCTAAAAATGCTCTTTGTCACTTCTTCCTAAAATTATGAGACATTTTACCTTATTTTTGTCCACTGAAAGTTTTAAAGCTTAATCTTATTCTACTTAAAGTTACCACTCAATTAAGCGTAGTGTAAGGTCCGCTGCTTCTTTTATTCAATCTGTAGACTCATTTAGTAAATTGTGAGTTCTCATAGTCGCTAACTGTATTATCTTCGTTTTTGTTACACGGTTCTGCTCAAACGTTTGTGGCTGTGGCTAATGTCCCAACGAGACTATATTGTTTCTCATAAAGTTTCTCTGACTGACTTGCAGCCTTGAAAATGCTGGAGAAGTTGCTCTTTTGCCCATGCTGAGGTGTGTCAGGCTGGCCCTTGGACTGTTTGCTCCAGGGAAGTTGGGTTCACTTACTGGTGTGGATGCTCAGGTATATCTTTACTCTACATGGTATGATATCGTGCTTCATATATAACAAATCTCAAGACCTCAAACTGGTTGCAAGCTGTCTTGATACTGACTGGCTGAATGCTCTGTGGATTCTGGTGCATCATTTATAACCTTTTCCCTTCTAATTGGATTCACAATTAGATCCTTTGGATTGTTGGAACATAAAGGGTTTGTGATTTATAATTATAAGCATAAACATACTCCAAAACACAAGGCAACAACTGGTGTGGTGGTGGTTTGGGTGTAGCCATGAATGTCATGCCTTTAGGAATTATACGAGACTGAATCTGGGAAGTCGTTTCCTCTTTCCTGTTATTTATGTTATTAGACTTCATAAGTGATTCTCTTTTCATTTCACAAACCTTCTCTTGTTTATGTAGATGATGTGGCCTTTGGTCCGTTCCTCTTGGGTATTGCTTGTCAATAGCAACAAGCGGAGGGTTGCATCTATTGCAGCAGTTCTGTCTTCTGTCTTGCATGCTTCTGTGTTTGCTGATCAGGTGATGCACGTAGCTGGTGATACCCCGGGACCTTTGAAGTGGGTGCGTCTACATCCTCTTTCATGTGCACTGTGTTTTTGTCTATCAATTGCAACCTATTTTTCATAAGGTCCACTTAACTGGAAGGCAGTTTCTTGAACAAGATGGCTATTTTTGCTGTGTTTACACTGCAGTTTATCGGCAATTTACTCGAGGAGGGTACGAAAAGTCCACGTACGATTCGCCTTGCATCATTACATCTAACAGGGCTCTTACTCTCTCACCCTCGGATAGCCATGTACTACATCAAAGAACTGAAGTTGCTGACACTATATGGTTCTGGTGGGTATCTAAAGAAAGCATTTTTGCATGTGAGGGGTATAGTTGGGGCTTACTAATTTGTACCGATATGATGCAATCTTTGCCAGTTGCCTTTGATGAGGACTTTGAAGCTGAGTTGGTTGAAAATTATGACGCGAGGACTGAAGTTGCACTCTTGGCTAACAGCCCTGACCCCGAGATAACTGAAGTAAGCAGTTCGTTATTTGTTTCCATCATATGTCATTGTCTCTTTACTTGTTTGGAGAGGATAAAGACATTGCCTATCTTTAGTATTCCTTGTCCATAGATTTGTTGGCATAATTTTTGTATGCTAAAACCATTACAAAGGACGTTAAAGTTTTGGTTGATTTATTGCGTGGAGATATTAATTTTTTTAGCAGATTTGATGGGTGTAACAAGTCTTATTAGGACAAGCTTTTTCTTATCCACTTAACTCTCAGACTTGTAGTGGTAGGGGGTGGCGGGCATATTCTTTTAAGCCACTTGGAATGATCAAAGAGACTTGCAGATTAGTAATATTGAGGCCTTCACACAGCTTTTTTCATATATTTGGTGTCCTGCGTCGGCAACCTGCTTGTTGTCTGATTGCATCCGAATTTAACAATAGTGGCTTGATATCTCTATATCGTTTTATGTAGTATTTAACAACACAGAGTTGTATTGCTTTCCTACTTTTCTCTGCTAATCTGCTTGTTTTCCTTATGCATATTTTTATGGTAGGCATTTATCAACACAGAGTTATACGGTCGTGTATCTGTAGCTGCTCTCTTTCACAAGCTTGGTGAGTTGGGTGACTTGGTCGGAACAACACATGAAAATGAAGATTGCCATTCTGCTCTTGAATCTGGGAAATTGTTTCTCTTTGAGCTTCTTGATTCCGCGGTATAGACCAAGTTTCTTTCTGCACTATAATGTTTATTATACATATGTTTCATTATGGCGCGAAGTAATTTGTTGATGTGACACAAATCAAATTGCTTCGTTGATCGAACAGTAAATAACTGCTTCAATTACCTGTGCAGGTCAACGACAGGGACCTTGCAAAAGAACTGTATAAAAAATACAGTGCGGTAAATAATGCCTTTTCGCTTGGATCTACTTCTGCTAGATGTACCAAAAATGACAGAGACAATGCCAGTATTATCTTCTCTCATGTTAATGTTCTGCAAATTGATATATTCACAGATCCATAGGCGTAAAATACGTGTTTGGCAAATGATATGTGTTCTGTCACGGTTTGTCACTGAAGATATAGTTGGGGAAGTTACGAAGAGTATGCATGTTGCTCTCTGTGTGAGTCTTTTCTCCTATCTTTTTTTTTATTTACAGTCTTTGATACATGCAAAACTTCTAATCTGTCTAGGTTTATTTCATTTTGGGTTTTGTGCATGCTGACATTAACAGTCACTCCCACCTTGTGGTTGCAGCGCAACAACTTGCCAGCTGTTCGCCAATACTTGGAAACTTTTGCAATTAATATCTTCTTGAACTTTCCAGCTTTGGTAAGATTCCACGTCCACAACGGTTTCATTTTTCCTTTCTACCGTCCAACTTTCAGTCCCTAGATTTATGCTAACTTTGAGAATTGCAATAACCTAAAAATTCTGGAATTTTAATGGGTATTTTCTGGTTAAGTCGGGTGGAAAAGAAGAAAGCTGTAGCAATTTCACAATAATGGAACATAGGCATTAGTCACATGCGAAATAGATTTCTGATTCAGGTCTGTGTTATTATCTTCTGATATGTGGTATGGCAGTTCGCATGAGCTCTCTTGAACAGTCCTGTGTACCGCATTATTATACCTTCATGGCAGCTTCTTCAGCTGTACTGTTAGGAAGATAAATTTTTTTGAATGATGTCAAAACAAAGTTGATTAAAAGGGCTTTCACCAAGATAAAGTCATTGCTTTATTTGGATCATGCAGAGAAATTGAGGGACAAAATATATTAACCTTTCTGAAGTTTGCGAAGTTCTTGATTTCCTCAGTAAAATTTAAAAAAAATGTTATGATAATGTGCTTAGCATTCCAAAGCTGAAGAAACTGTTCTTGTCTAAATGGTTGATTAGTGGGCATTTTGTTTCTTCGTGTCTTCCTGGCTACATGTGGTGGACCAACGAACTGCATATGACAAGAAACGCTCTATGCTTATGTTCTGCAGATCCTGAGTATTGAGGGGTTTCCCTCTTTTCTATGGATAGATACTTGAGCTGAATTTTTAGTATTGGCGAGTAATATTTGTTTCCTACTTTTCTCAGCTAGAGTAACTGTTGTATATGCAATTTCGGAGTGCCTTGGTCACTACTTTGGTGTACTTGTTGCTTATAAGCTATTGTGTTATACTATCTAGGATGAATCGAATGGTCTTCAGAAACGTATAGTGTATGCCCTAGTGCCTAGAAAGATTGTCTCCTACAAATGAGAAAGAAATGCTTTATCTGTTTCTTCGTTGAGCATTTGTAATATTTGAAGAGTTAATACTGTTCTGATGGCATTGTTTTGCTTATGTCTCAGGTGGGGAAGCAACTAGTTCCTGTTTTACGGAACTTTGAGATGAGGCCTCAGGTATTTCATTGTGGTTCCTCTGATAAGTCATAAGGAGAACCCAGAAATAGTATTCCGTGCTAAACAATCTATCTTTGAAATGCAGGCACTCTCTTCCTATGTCTTCATATCAGCAAATGTCATTCTCCATTCATCTGAACCTCTTCGATCTAGGCATTTGGATGACTTGCTTCCTCCAATAATTCCATTGTTGACTTCACATCACCACAGCTTGAGGGGTTTCACTCAGGTTCCCGTCCCTGTAACGCTCTTTGACCTCCTGTTGCTGTGGAGTTCATCATTTTGAATTCTCTCTTGTTTCTGCAGTTGCTTGTCTACCAGGTTCTCTGCAAGTTATTTTCCCATTTAGGCAGTCAGTCCGGTGAAAATGATTTATCAAAAAGGTGCTTTGAAGACATAAAGTTGTATCTCGCCAGAAATCCTGATTGTAAGCGGTATGGTACTTCTCTGGCAGATCTTTGACTAAAAGTATCTGTCATCTTAACCTCTTTCAAGAAAATCTTTCTCCTGAAGTTTCAACCGCATAACATATTTTCCGCGATAGATTCTCCGGACATGAGTATTATAGATCTATAACTTTTGTACTCTTTTCTGCCCAGAGAATTTCTGTTTCTTCAATCTTGAACTAAATTTATGTGGATTATCTGACCGAAGTCATCTGGTCATTCTTCTGCATGTACTGGCCCGCTTTTAACTTTCCACCAAAACCGAAATACCCGTCTAAATTTTCCACAGGGATGAAAAGTTTTGTAGGCTGCCTGTCAGTTAACTTCTACCTACTTTTCTGAATACATGGCAAGGTTTAGGCTGCAGCACATGTTCCAGAATGCCATTTGATTAATCTGAATTAAGGATGCTGCTGGTTGATGTTGTAAGTAATTAATATCTATTTGGTTATATGTGTAAGTTGATTTATTTTCCTTTTGTAGCTTACGAGAATCAATGGAAGGATATCTGGAGGCCTATAATCCCATCTCCTCCTCTACACCTGCTGGAATTTTTGTCAACAGGGTAGAGGTAAGAATATAATTATATGTGTGATTATGTTTGCTGAGTTTGAAGATTAAAATAGAAGTTTGAACCAAAGGTTAAGTGTGTTAAGGTAGTTATGTGAGCACGTTATTGAACTGATGGCAGAAACTTGCTCTAGAATGATTTTGTCACAATATTTCTTCCCTCAAAAATATTTTTTTGCAGCCATGTTTCTCCATCAGTATTTTTTTTAGTTGTTCTAATAGTTCATCTTTTCTAAACTGACAGCAGTTCAAACAAGTACATGGTCTTTTTTTGTCATATTGTTGTTTTTGCTAAGGGTCAAATATCAGAATTCGAGTTTACTGTCTGCATATATATTCTGTTGTCCAATCGGTGCTTTATGTTAGTGAGGAATTATTGTCTAGGTTATCATTGTTTCTTAATTTCTTTGTATTTTTTCTTTTTTGCCACAATGAAGGAACTGGAATTTGAATGTGTTCCGACGTCCCTAATGGAGGAAGTGCTCAGCTTTCTAAATGTAAGCACATACTTTTGTTTGTGAGGAGGAACTTGGTGCATACGTCCAAGGCTACCCTGGCCCCCATGACCCAGCAAACCTGCTGGAGTGGGTGAGCCAGGCTTCAAGCCCAGCCAGTGACCATCAAGGGATTTTCCTCAGAATACTTTACGGGGGTTTTCCTTTTCTTTTTCCTCCCCTTTTGGCAGTCTCTTGACTTTGATCTTTTTGCAGGACGCTAGAGAGGATCTCAGGAGTGCAATGGCAAAGGATCTTGTGTCTATTAAGAATGAGAGCATGAAAATTGATGAAGTTCATGATTCTCAGAGGGTTTCAAATTCTGGTCTGCCTCATGAAATGTTGGATTTCCAGAAAAAGATTACCTTGACTAAGAATGAAACAGAGGACAAGGACCATGCTACACATTCAAGTAATAATAATGCACATAAGCAACTTTTAGGTATATTCCCCTTTTCTTTCAGCCTCCTAGAGTAATCTCCTCATCCTTTTCTTTTATTTGTTATTTTCAGCTCATGGTGTTGCAGTTTGTTTTTGTGGCCACCCGCTCTGGTTTCTGTTCTTCCTTTAATAACAAAATCACTCACGAACCTTTTTCCCCGTTCTGTAATAAAATAGTTTTTGGCGCCTTCACATCTCATTGCTCTTCCCCTTCTTAATATTATGTTTCCCATACAGTTAAATATCATTCCCACCACGAAAATGCTGGGGATTCATATTTTATCATTCATTTATCTTATTTTGAACTTCCTTCTTTCTGCAACGATATAATGAGTACCATATAGAAATATTCTATTATTAATATCAATGTTCATTGCAGCAATGGAGAAGGAAGCTGAGCTTCTTCAGAATGCATTCCAATCGAAAAGATTGGCTATCGAGAAAACAAAAGAGAGATACCAAGAAATTATACTTGTGGCTTCCTTACTTGATCGGATACCAAATCTTGCTGGATTAGCAAGGACATGTGAGGTATCCCTTAAGTCCTTTTCTAGCTGCTGCTAATGAAATCAGTTAGTTTTCTGATTATATAGTAGTTCTATGCTTTAGTCAACTATTGTTCTCTTGATTTGTCATTTTTCTTGTAGATATTCAAAGCATCTGGACTAGTCATTGCAGACGCATGCGTCTTACGTGACAAGCAATTTCAACTGATAAGGTTCTCATTCCGTGCAACTCTACTATTTTGTTCTTTACACACATGCAGTACACATAGGTCAGTACACATAGGTTAGACTTGTATAGTGGATACAGTTTCAAATTTACTATTAGGGCATGGATTATCTTCTCATGCATGATATGTTGAAATGAGGAAAATAACAGTATCTGTGTTCCCCATTTTCCAGATTTTGCCTTGCATAGCTATGTTAGACTCTTCTCTAGTTGATGACTTTCTACCATGTCGTTTATCCATTGATTTTGATTGTATTCTTGTTTTCCAGTGTGACAGCAGAGAAATGGGTTCCTATAATGGAAGTCCCAATACACAGCGTGAAACAATTCCTTGAAAAAAAGAAGCGAGAAGGCTTCTCTGTGCTGGGATTAGAGCAAACTGCGAATAGTGTGCCCCTTGATCAATATACATTCCCTAAAAAGACAGTAAGTCATATTTGAACTTGGTCACATGCTTCAGTATCCAAAAAAAAAAATGCTTATAGAGGCACCATCATGATATCACTACACACATTTGAGAAAGTTGTTTGAAAATTATGCCTTAATGCATTGCTGATGTCTCAATGTGTTATTAGGTCCTTGTCCTTGGACGTGAAAAGGAAGGTATACCCGTGGATATTATTCATGTACTAGATGCTTGTATAGAGATCCCGCAGTTGGGAGTGGTTAGATCACTCAACGTTCATGTCAGTGGTGCTATTGCTCTGTGGGAGTATACTCGACAACAAAGATCTTGATAGTTGTCAACCCTCCGCTGCAACTCGTGCCATGTTTACTACCTGCATAAAAGAACAGGAAAAGCAGAGATATGTCTTAGATCTAATTTCACAGAACAGAATGCCCTCACTGAAATCAGTTAGTTACCTGTGGGATTCATTATTTAGCATGATGTTTGTAAAACCTTTTGCTCTTCATTATCAAGGAAATGTTCTACACTAGTGTGTCTTCTTATTCATTTTGGTCATGTTTTGGATCTCTGTTATGCTCATTTACTTGTTTCGGTTTTCACAATTCCAATTCGAAATCACATACATATGGGGGAAGGAGAGACGATTTTTATCTACTTGAGTCCAAAGCAGTTAGAAAATGAGAAAGGGATGAATTTTGAGCTACATCTGCATGAGCCCTAAGTGGTTAGAAAACAACGATGACATGCATGTTCCATACTCACAGGTAAAGTGGGTTGGTTGCTAGTTTGCAAGTTGGCATCTCCTCAGTAGCTAAAAATACAGTATGTGCTATGATCTCTAAATTGGTATTGTAGTGCCAATAACAGATCGAAAACTTGTGTCGTCGCAAATGAACTGTTCCTTCTCCATGGCTTCCATTCCTGTATTTGTTTCCTTCATGTATCTGATGTTCAGCCTATGCATAGTGGATGCTAGAGTTTTCATGATACTAATGGAAGATGAGCCTGTTTTCTCTGTCAAATCCAATACTACAAATCTCAGGTTTGTGGATCTTCCCTGATACTCTCTCTCAACTTATTTCGCTTTACCAACTTGCTGGTGCTGACGAACCTACAAATGTTAGATATTTCTTTGACTGTTCAAATGTATTCTCTAAGTGGCTGCTTCACTTACATTTTGTAGGGTTGAGGAGGCGACCAGAGCATACAAAGAGCGGCTGATGATTAGCCATGACATATTCTTGGAGTCTATCCTGAAGCACAATTACACAAAGCTCTATAGCTATACTCATTTGCTGAATGGATTTGCAGTTAATGTTGAGTCAGATGAGGTAAACTGTTCTGTAACAACTTTCTTACACAACCTAACCCTCCATTTTGAATTCAACTAATATGATACTTCCCTTTCATACTTCAACAAGGATAAGGAGTTTGCTAAATTTTGCAGGCCCTCAGTGCGCTCAAGAGAGCAACAGGAGTCAGAGCTGTCCACGAAGACGTCAAAATGCAGAAGCTAACAACACACACACCTTCCTTTCTGGGGATACCTACTGGTGTTTGGCCAGCTTTAGGTGGTGCAGATAGTTCTGGTGATGGGGTTGTCATCGGCTTGATTGATACTGGTATAAATCCTTTGCATCCGAGTTTTAGGACAGGCTTGCCCTCAAGGTTTAACAAGACCACAAAATTCAAAGGGAAATGTGCCACTGGACTGCAGTTTCCTTCCACATCATGCAATGGGAAAATAATAGGGGCACAATATTTCGCTCGAGCTGCAATTGCTGCTGGTGATTTCAATGCTACCCGTGATTTTGTATCTCCCTTCGATGCTGATGGCCACGGAAGGCAAGTACATTTAGATGACTGTGAATTCTATTTCTACAATGCTTCAATTGTTACTTGAATCAGTGTATTTGTTCTGTTGAATTGTTTATTCAGCCACACAGCTTCAACAGCTGCTGGCAACCATCAGATACCTGTGATGGCCAATGACTTCAACTATGGATATGCAAGTGGTATGGCTCCCGGTGCTAGGTACATTGCTGAAACTTCTCTCGGCTTTGCCTAATGCAGTGGCCTCCATATTCTATAATGGGTTGTGTTAAAATTGGTTGGTGGGTTGCTGGGGATCAATGAAAGTTTCTTCAAACTTTGGTGTGGTTTGGATGACAAAACCCATCATTTGTTAGGCGCAAGGGCCAAAAGTTATAAAAGTTTGAATTTGATGGATTTTAAGTTGGCTGGACTGTTATTTGCCACCTCTACTTCCATCTCTTTTACTTTATTAGTAATCTTTTCCCCCTTTCAATTGTCGGAACAGGATTGCTGTATACAAAGCTCTATATACATTTGGCGGTTACATGTCAGATGTTGTCGCTGCAGTTGATCAGGTATAAACAGTCGTATATACAGCTGAAGTTGATAGCTTATATAACAAGAACAGTAAGCTTATTGTTTGTCAGAAAGCTGAGAATTTGACGTGAAAAGTCGGCTACTTGTTTTTCTTTAGGCAGTGGAAGATGGAGTTGACATATTAAGCCTTTCCATAGGGCCGTCAAGTGTCCCTCCCGGTCCTTCTGCTTTCCTCAATGTCTTAGAAATGGAACTTCTGTTTGCTACAAGAGCCGGCATCTTTGTGGTTCAAGCAGCAGGCAATGGTGGTCCTTCTTCTAGTTCAATCCTTTCTTTCAGCCCATGGATCACCACCGTTGCTGCATCCATCACCGATCGTAGATACAACAACAGCATTATTTTAGGAAACGGACTGAGCTTTTCCGGCACTGGCCTTGCTCGTAAGTAGTTCTTCTAAACTCATATTTGGCGCTCTAATCTCTAGCTCCAGTACCCATTTCCCTTGTCTGTTACAAATGAGTTGTCAATGTAGTTAGAACCGCATTCCTAAAGTTTTGGAAGTTCACCCTTAACTTGCGATTGTGATTTCACTGAGTTCACTCATGTCTTGTGGTATCACAAGTTGTAAGTAATTCAAGTATTACTTCAAATTTCAAATATAGATCTTCAAATATTATCTACTGTAGTTTTCTTTTTGAATGATTTAAATATTTAGTATACCGTGGTCTATTATATTCTACTCTTACGGTTCTGATTTTACTTGAAATCGTGGTCCTGACAGCATTAACCATATCTAACACTGAACTTGGAAAAATCATGTAGCGCCAACAGCAGGAACATTGTCCGTCCCAATAGCAGCTGCAGCTGACGTGTCTCAGAGGAACACCACCAGTGTCCTGGAGGTTGAAAGCTGCCAACATCCAGAACACTTCATCCCGTCGCTGGCTCATCAGAAGCTCATCATCTGTACGTATAACTTCGATTTCGAGAACGAGGCTGCAAGCATTGCTACTGTGGCAGATACGATACAGAAGGTAGGGGCTTCTGGTTTCATAATCACAATGGACCCTGCCATGGGGTCAGAGCAAGTGAAAGGTACCACAATGACCTTGAAGATTCCTGCCATTATCCTCAACAACATGCAAGCTTCAACGGTATGAAAAGCAATTGCTGGGAAATCAAATTCAAATCTCCAAATTTGTTGGGAAATCAAATTCGAATTTCTTTTTCCATTCGCAGGCTTTGTGGGAGTATTATAACTCAAATACGAAAAGAGGGGCCAATGGCGAAGCGACAGTGTTTACTGCATCGGCAAGGATAATGGGCGGAAGACAAGCATTCTACACCGCGCAGGCGCCTGTTGTGGCGTCCTATTCATCTAGAGGCCCTGATGTTAACAATGCGCTATTGCAGACTGCTGATGTCCTCAAGCCAAACATTATGGCTCCAGGATCTTCGATTTGGGCTGCATGGAGCCCCAACAGTGAAGGTGACCCTTACATAAAAGGTAATGGCTACAGAAACTTACATGTGTGTTTGGTTCGGTTTATTTGTCAATCGATATTGGATGTTCATTGCATGTTATTTTGTTATGCATGCTCTAACGTGATGCGAGGTCTATTTATCAAAACATTGCTAAATTGAATGCATTTTGGTACTGCAAATTGGGTAGCAAACGTGAAATGGACATGCGGCTCACATGGGGGAATTTGTTTGAATACTCTCATACCTCACAAGTATTTGGAAATTGAAACCCCATCATTTTGTTGTATTTGAAATCACTTTATTCTGTTGCATCTACTGTCAAGTGTCAACCATGTTATTCCAAATGCACATCAAGAGTCCCTTCAATACCAAAAAAACGATGATGCTATCTCTTCAATTAAATGCTTTTCATAATGATCTAGCACCATGTGCCAACCTTTTTTCCAGGGCAAAACTTCGCGCTAGTATCAGGCACAAGCATGGCCACACCACACATTGCTGGAGTTGCAGCTCTCATCAAGCACAAACACCCCAAGTGGAGCCCTGCAGCCATCACATCTGCAATGATGACGACTGCCGACAGAAGCGACCTCTCCGGCTCCCCTATCCTTGCACAATCAGCCAACCAGCTAGGTCCGGCCACTCCCTTCGATCACGGATCTGGGTCAGTGAACCCAGCACGAGCCATCGACCCCGGGCTTGTCTTCAATGCCGACTTTGATCACTATGTCCAGTTCCTCTGCTCTGTTCCAGGTTTGTTCCCACGGACCATGAACCATTTGTTGTCGCATCCAGTTCACGTGGTTCAGCATTTTACATATTTCACACATTGGCCTCAATGAAAATTATATTTTTCTCAGGAGTAGACGATGACTCGGTGAGGCGAGCAGTGGGGACTGGTTGCCCACCGAGGCGGCAGTCATGGTGCTCGGACTTGAACACACCTAGCGTGACCATCTCCAACCTCGTCGGGTCGAGGAAAGTGATCAGGACAGTGACCAACGTGAGCGGGATGGACGAGTTCTACAGGGTGACCGTGAGGAAGCCAGCAGGGGTCAACATCACTGTTAGGCCGCGGTTCTTCGTTGTTAGGGGCCACAACTCGAGGCGGCTCAGGATCGTGTTGTTCGCCACTAATGTGACGAGGGCTTACTCGTTTGGGGAGATGGTGCTGCATGGGAGCAGGAGGCATGTCGTTAGAATTCCTATTGCTGTTTATGTTAGCACTTTGTTGCCGAGCTAGAGAGAGACAGAGGAGTCTCTGGTTACACTTTTAGCTTAACTTTGAGGTTCTGTCCTCTTTTTTGGGTTTTTTTTTTTATGACTTTCGAGTTTTCTTTATTGGCTAGTTAACTTTTGGTGGCAAAGTATTGGCTCTCTTGTCAAGAATTATGCAGCACTGGAAAATGTTTCGATGAATTTTTTTAAGGGGTAAGTGGCTAAATGCATATTAGTGACTGAGTTGAAGTTTGGAGGAGCTATAATCTCCTCAATTTTGGAGTATAGGTAAAATAATATGTAACTTTCGTAAATCAATTTAGAAAATATTTTAGTTCGTAAGACTTTAATCCCTTTCCTCAACTACTATAATTCAAATCACCTCTCATTCAAATTTTTGGCTCTGCCCGTAATGCAAATAACAATGATAAGACGTTTTTCTAAAATTATTAGTCTTTGAGGTTTGAAATAATGAACCATAGAATGCCACACGTAAGATTTCAATCGAGGGCATTATCAACTATGCAACAAAGCAAACTTAACAAACTATATAAAAGGTAGGGATGGAATCATCACGTTGCAATGTTGCATGTATGATGTTGATCTCTATGAGTTGGCCTAATGATATAGTACATGTCCGAAGTTCATATCCGAATGTTGCATAAGAATAAGAAAAGAAATATGTATGAAATAATACATTACTCATTGTGAATCACATCTTTGTGATGGCTAGAATTTTTCCAATCACTATTATTTAATAGAGAATCCCACGAATTATCAAATATTTCAATAAAGTCTCAAAGTATATGAAAGTCCTTCATTTTGTGTGTTACTTTCGCCTCGTAAGCGACGCGAACAACTTTGCGAAGAAACTCTTTTTCTTCCTCTTGCTATTATGCATCTAATCCAGCACAAATCAAAGTTTGAGCAGAAGTTAGCACACATTCGTTAGAATCGATTAAACTTACTCACAAGAAAATCACACTATCGTCATTCAATAAATCTTTCTCCACTAATTGTAAATTCTGTAATAAGTGTCTAAAACTCAGAATCTTGACTCGTCATACAACATTTATGCAAAAAAAAAAAAAAAGATTCTTCGTAAAATATATCATTCAGTCAACTCGATTCAAGAAAAAAATACCATTTTTAAGAACATCTTGACTCTATCTTATCCAACAATAAATAACAAAATCAAGAGATGAATAGAAGATCGCATGGCATGCCAGGGGATCAAGATTTTCTATGTACACATTACCTTGATTCCATTGATGATAGATGTCACTGGATTGGCAGTGGTAGACGCAAAAGAATTGGATTTAGCACCATTAATCTTCCTGCTCTTGTTGCTGCTATTTTTGCACCCACCAGCTGAAACTATAATAGACCTGAAGAAATTCTGAAATTTCTGAGAAGAGGTTGCGGAAACTTTGCTTGGTCTTCCTCGCACAGCAAGAATCTAACCCCAATTAAGAACACCATGAAGTATAATCAGATTATCAGAATCAAAGAATTGTAAAACCGTATTGAAGGTAATTATACCAAAAAAATCAGCAGTGAAATATTTTATGTTGAAATTATAGTTTATCCATGATTAAAGCCCCTAATTAAATGATCCCTCAGTAATAAAGGAGGTAGGGGTGCAGAAACAACAAGGAGGTTTGCCTAAAAGTCGCCACCCTTGAAAGAGTGCGTAATAGCTCACTAATCAAGCCCTCTTGCGCCGTAACTCGATATCGATTTCAATCCAATAGTAGCTTAGTTTGGCCCTGCTGTAGCTTTTGCAGAAGCAGCTTCTGGCTGTAGCTTTTAGATAAGTACTTTTCAAAGAAAGCAGTTTAGCGTTTGGCTGTAAAACTATTAGAAGTGCTTTTTAATATGAGCGGTTGTGTAAAATGACTATAAAGGACTTATAATATAAAATATAAATAAAAATTCTAAACAATAAAAAGTAGTCAAAATGGATCTTGTTAGATTTCTTTTATATTAAATAATATGATTTTATAATTTATTTTATTTTTAAAATAATATAAATGAAGGAAAATTATATTTTCTGAAATAAAATTAAAATTTAGTATGGATAATCTTGTATTTTCAAAACAGCTTTTCGCAGAAGCTCCAAATCGGAGCTTCTGCTTTTATGTTATACAAAAGCGCTTTTCGGCTTTTCAAAAGCCGAGCTTTTAGAGGTGTTTGGCCCTGCTTCATTTTTTGAAGCCGAAAAACACTTCTAAAAGCCGGGCCAAACATAGGCAGTAGATGTTTTTGGGTTAAACCATCCATATATGATACGATTTCACGAGCACCGATCAAGAGGACAACGAGGAAACAAAACATAAACAATTTGCTTACACCATTGGACCCCTGCCGACGATGCTGCTGCTGAGAATCGCGACCATTCTGGCTCTTGGGAGGAGGAGCATCGTCTCCAATTCGACCGGCAGCCTTACCACCACCACCAACACCGTTGCTGCTGGCATGAGCAGCGGCGGACTCGCGGAGGCGCCTGGAGAAGTCAAGGAGATGGGCTTTCCGGTCGACGGTGTGGTGGACGTGAAGGTGGTGGTGATGGTGGACGACGTGGTGGACCTTAGTAGAAATGGATGCGTTGCTTTTTCTTCTCTTGGTGGCCTTCTCTCCGTACACTTTCACTATCACTGCCTTGTCCCTGCAAAGCTTCGCCATTTGAGCAGGCATGGCGATGGCGGTGGCGATGAAGAAGGAGGAGATCGAGGGAGTCGTCTACCTTAAATTGCTATGGCTGCTCTCTCTCTCTCTCTCTCTCTCTCTCTCTCTCTCTCTCTCTCTCTCTCTCTCTCTCTCAAGAGACGGAGATATAAATGGCAGGAGAGCCAGCCATTGTTGTCTTATTTATTGTTTTATCCATCCAAAACCAGGAGGAATAATTAATTACTCAATCAACGACAGGATGGAGAACATAAACAAAATTATTTGGAATTTGATGAAATGCCTGATAACAGTCTTTGGGAGATTCAGTCTCATATTCATACAAAGAAATAATATAATATATAAAAGGTCATTATTAATAAAAGTTTTGATTGATGATGAGAAAAGGTCATTATGAGACGTGTTTGTAATCTTGGTATAATATCACGGATATAACTTGCAATTTCATTTTTGTCGAGAGATTTCGTTTGAGGTTTCTATAAATGTAGAAAAATTGTAATGTTCAATGATAAAACCCGATTGTATTTGCACTTTTGTTATATGAAGAGGAAATCTAACTATATATACATATTGTCACTTTTGTGAAGAAGCTGTGTGTAATTGGCATCCCATGCACGCATGCTAGCTTGTAGTTAAGTTGAGAATTTTTTAACTTGTCATCATAACTCGCGGAGTTATTGGGACAAATTGAGTTTTCATGTGTGCATGTTAGTAACTAAAATATTATTTCTTTACCAAGAAGTAGTGTATGTCTGATCGCGAGTCTCTTGCTTCTTATTCAAATCGTATATATGGACGAAGTTGGTTCTATCATAGTTTCCTGTGAATCATGACACAAAACAACCAGGAAATCGACCTTGAAGACATAGATGTGGGCCTCAAGACCATTATTGTTATTAGAACGGATTGAGAAATTGACAATGCAAGAAAGTAAAGAACACACGAATTTGTATAGTTCACGAACACAATGTGTTTTACCTACATCCACAGGCAGGAGAGAGAGCAATTTCTCAATACTTGAGAAGATGTAGATTATAGTGATTGAGAATGTATATATAGGCACTTCTCCAAACGGCATAACCTAATCCAACATGAAAAAAGAAAAGGTTACAGACCATTCTCAAAATAATAATAAAACAAACGTGTATAATCTCATACAGGGGCAGACCTAGGTTAAGGAGAGGTGTGTGGCACATGAGATTTCGATGAAAATTCATGGTTCGTCATTGTAAAGATTTGAAACTAAAATCTCCAACACACCTCCAAAATTTTAATTGGCACATCCTTTGCAATTTCAAGTAATGAAATGAATTGTTTCCTATGAGTTTGATAAACAAAATGATATATGAAATAAGATTAGTAACCAATTTATCGATGATTAGTGGGTTGTATGCAATAAAAAAATATTTGAGTTGCAAAATAAATAATAAAGATATTTCACAAATCTCTCGTAATATACAAATTTATGGCTCGCGGTGAAAACCAATGAAATTATGTACTCTATGAATGAATTTATTTAGTATTAATATATTTTTATCGACTTACACTACTTTCCAAAAATCCTGGATCCATCACTCAAGCTCATACACCATGGATCAGTGGCATTTCCCTCGAACCCCCAACCCGAACTATTCGCCCCTATATCCCAACTTATTGACTGAATATCGAATCCTTCATAATTTCCAATCGATGACATATAATCTGTTTCAAGTCATTAACAAACGCCATAATAACCGTCTGGCCACCACGGAAAACAGATTAAGGTCTCGATCAATCTTAGGTAGAGGCCAGCAGGTTTTGTATTCTAATTTCCAATTAGGACGGTTTGAAAATGAAATGGAAAGTTGTTAGTGAACATATATATATATGCATATACGGCTGGTTTGGAATCACAATGTAGCCTCCAACGTGCATGGTGACAAATATGTCGTTGCGTATTGAAAACAAGTGTCGATGGGCTAGCAGCTGCCTTCTACCTAATAATAATATAATATACATACGGTAATTATGCAAATTAGGTGGGGATTGAGAAGGACATGTTTTGGACCAATTTCCGGGGAAAATTCTTATCTCCGCTCTTGGTTGGATGCAGAAGTTCCAACCATCCAACGTGTCGATTTTGTTATTGGTGGATTCACCTTCCTTTTTTTCTTAATATTTAATTATCCTAAGTAAATCAAGAATTAAAATATTAAAAAATGATGAAATCACCAATAACAAATTGACACGTGGTTGGATGGAGCTTTTGCGTCTAACCAAGGTTGGAGCTAAGAATTTTCCAATTTCCGGCATATATGCAGTTTTTTTTGTCGACTTTGGAAGGCACTATTGGTTCCATCCATTTCTACCCATGAAATAAGACCACATTTATAGGAATTTAAAGTATTGATGTTTTGAGATATAAATTGAAATTGTAATATAATGTTAAAAATACAAATTTGGGTTGTATTATCAAGGGGATTTGTACGGTTAAGGGATTTGTACAAAAAATATAATTACAACCTGAATTTGTATAATAACGATAAATATATAATTTCAATTCATACTATAAAAAAAATACTAAAACACAAATGCTTTATAACATTATAAAATTCCTTATAAAATAAAGGCTAGCTAGAAGTTTTTGTTAAATAATATTACTGTATTAATTAGTTGAAGTCGTCACGAAAGAGAATTCGATTCTTAACCCCGCCCTATAGGATTTCACTAATATTTAGATTTTGAGAAATAACCCTGCATTTAGAGCCAAAATTAAAGATATTCCACCATCGAATAAACATGGCATTTACTTATACTATAATTTTTTTTGGGTAAATACAATATATTAGCCACAACTATTGTGAAGTGGGGAATTATAGCCATAACTATGGAAATTCAAATTATTAGCTAAACGTTAACTATTTGTTAACAATGTCGTTAGTAATATTGACTAAAATTTTATGTTTCAAAGTTATAAATTAAAAGCAGTTCGACGTGGCTGTTGCCGTGGCCGATGATGTAACCTTTTAGTTAAAAATTCAATAAAAGTAATGGACAATTAGCCATATCTTGACCCGCAACAATAGTTATGGCTAATAATTTGAATTTTTATAGTTGTGGCTATAATTCCCCGCTTCATAATAGTTGTGGATAATATATTGTATTACCTTTTTTTTTTTTCAATTTGCTTAGACTAACTCCAACCCATAAAGGGGAATTTAGCTTCCCAAATGGCCAAATATGGCTTTTTAGCTCCCCAAACCCACTTTTCACTCCAACCCTATAAAAAGCTAAATTTAGCTTCCCATTTCCATTTTTCAATTTATTTCAATAAACCATACTTATTTGACCTCTAATTTTTATATTTCACTTTAATTTTTTCATAACTCGTTATTAGTTTTGAATACAAATTTTTCGATGTAATTTTTTTTAAATTCCGAGATAATTTTTTTTTTCAAAAATTAGTCGTTAAAATATATAAGAAAAAGTATGGCCGTTAAAATATGACCATTTTTTCGTCACTACATCAATTATTTCAAATTGAATCACAAACAACCAATGAGAATAGAGAAAAAAAATCCAAAACAAATTCCCTCACTACAAAAGTTAAAAGAAAAAAAAAAGTAACAGCACGTCAGCTGCGGGGGCGCGCGTCCGGCGCCCTTCTCCGCATCTGACAAACAAACCCACTTTTTGGCAGCCAAATATCACTCCCCACCCCAAACCCCAGCCAAATTTCCCTTCCAAAATCCCAATACCCATTTTTTGCTTCCCATTTTTTTGTGGGTTGGAGCTTGAAAAAGAGCCAAATTTGACTTTTTAGCATTTTAGCTCCTTGGGTTGGAGCCAGCCTTAGTGCCAAAAAGTAGTTGCTTTGCCATTTCCGTGAATGAGTCCATCAAATGGGAGATTTGAGAAATATAAAATCGTGCGGTGAATTGGAATCTAGAGTGAATTGAACTCAGATTTTTGGAGGAGAGGAGGCTAATAGCATACCGCTAGTCTTTTTTTCATATGTCTAATTAATTAGCATATGAATCATATTTTATAAATTATAATCTATTACAACTTACTCTGAATCATATGTAGTTTCATCAATAGAAATGTTTAGAGAGCACGTCTAGTCAGTAACCTATAGTCTACAAATCATTAATGTCATATCTCGAGCACAATTAATTATAGAAGAAATAAGTTATATCTTGTCAGCATAATTTAATAGAGTAGGACAACTTCTAGACCTTGTTGTCTTATCAACCAAAATATTATAGTAGTAAGCTTAACTGTTATAAGAGGCACACCTAAATATCTAACTGGTAAGGTTTCACGGGGAATCCAGTACATTGAGATCATTTTCTTATCTTCATATGATATATATACCAACATAAAATACATGACACTTAGCAAAATTAAACCTAAGCCCAGAAATTCTATAGAATGTTTCCATCAACCTTCAATCTCACACATAACCGTCACATATCCGTTAGATAATACAAGAAAATCATTAGCAGGGTACAAGTGAGTAATCTCTAGTTGTTTGTACCTAGAGTAATAAGGATACACTTAACATAAGAGTTGATACACATGCCTTAAGTAGCCTAACGATAGCAGCAGTGAATACTATTGTAATTAGAACATTAAGAAGAAATCTTTAATCAATCGAATCAAAGACTTTCATAATATCATTTTTCGTAATGCATTTATGTGTAATGGATGCCATATAATAATTTTTTCTTACTAGATGATAATGTTTTTTTTTTACTGAAATCTGAGCGTTATTAGTGATAATGTTGTCACTAATAACGCTCTTATAAAAAAAAATAACGCCGGCTCAAGCCCAATAACACATGATAATATGCTTAATGACAGGGTAGTGAATCAAAGAGTCAATCCAGTCCAGCCCAACACCATATTTCCTAGTTAACCGGCCCAAACGATACACGAGGGAAACCCAAAAAGCAAGGGGGAAATTAACTCGACCAATAAGTAGGTTAAGGAAGACAAAAGAGCTGGCTACTCCTTTTTTGAACTGCCAGTGTTCTCATCCTTCCAAGCTGCCTGCCATTGCTTGTCATAGAAAGTCGTCTCTTCCACCAGCTTCTTCACCGTCTCGAGATCCTCATTCTTTCGAATCACAAGCACTCCGACGACTGCGACGAACAGCAGGGTCTTGCAGAAGAAGTTGCCCATTTGGTCGACCAGGCCTACCCCGGTCAAGCTGTCCACAAAGTAAGCCATGAAGAACCCGATCATAGCAGCACGACCTGTGGCAGAACAATAAGAAGCGATAAAGTCACTCATTCTTATCACAGGAAGAGAACAATGCGCGTTTTGGAAGAAACAATTAGTGACAGACCATTGAGTAGTTCAGCTTCAGGCAGGTGGTATCTTTTCACCCAAGCCCACCATGGTATAATTGATGTGTCAAATACGATAAGATCGTCATTGCTTGTTGATTCAGGGTTCGCCTCTAGCCATTTTCGCCTCCTGGCCTCTGAGAAAAGAGAAGATTGCATAAACGGGTGGATTGGATCCTTACGTATAAGAGAACCAGCCCTCATAATTTCAACATGACCATACAGAAAGACCAGAGCTAAGGAGAGTAAACACTTGCAGCATACACATGACTCATTTCACAATCCAATAACAATACCCTGCCATTCAAGGAATCCATGGAGCTCTGGTTTTCAGGTTGAAGTACTAATTTGATCAGTGAACTCAGCATGCTATGTATCACATTGGGCACCTGAATTCAGTATTGACACTACTAGAACAACCAAACTCATGCTCTAACAAATCACCTTTAGATGTCTCAATAATGAGTTCAGGATTCACATGATACATATAGGAGCGATCAGCGTCGAACACTCTGATATTGACTATCAGTATACTGGACAATCACATAACATTGGCCTAAGGAGCAAGGGAACAACTAAGAAGACAAGACGAGAGACCCTGACCACCCAATCCTACAAACACATAACATTATACCAGCAATAAGCGCATAGATAGCTGCTGCTTGAACCATCGGTTAACCATGAAAGTAGCCGCACAGTCCTTCACCAAACACCCATTTCTTATGCAATTTTTTTTATTTTTTATCTTGGGCTGCTTCATCTATATACACTCATGAAGATACAGACTTTCTCCCTTCAAATCCATACCATCAGAACGTAATCTACCTAGTTCCTCCCGAAAAATGATCCGAAAGCGTACTTCTTCCTAATGCTACAGATCGATTGAACATTAGGTTATATCATATATGGAGCCCCCAGCGGTTCTTTCCAAGAGAATCCACAGGTATGGCCAGAGAAATTCCCAGGAAAACCAAACCGACGTTTGTGTGGACAATTAATCATTCAGGATCATAAACAGCCAAACATAAAACCGAGATTTCGAGAAAATTCTCTTACCAGCGTCGATAACGGCATCCCAATCAGTCTCCATCGACCCATCCTTCTTGAACTGCTTCAAGTCCCAAGTCCCGCCAATCCATCTACCATCCACGAACTTGCTCGCAGCCGCTCCGTTGGAGCTTTCTTTCTCTGCTGCTTCGGGCTTAGCTTTCGCTGGCTCCTCGACCGCCACGGCGGCGGAGGAGGCGGGAATTCCGGCCCCGTTTTCGACGGAGGCCCTGGGGGCGGAGAGACGGAGGAATGTGGTGGGTCTGAGGAAGAGGGCGGGCCGGGTGGGGGTGTGGAAGAGGAGGCGCGAGGTGGCCGTCGGCGGTGGAGAGAGGAGCGTCGTGGAAATGGACATTTTTGGCGGTGGAGGTGGCGACGATGGTGGTGGATGGTGGTTGCTCAGTAGCTCATTCTGTAGCGAGGACCGGGTTATCTATCTTCAACCCCGGAGCTTTTTTCAGCTTTTGTACTTCGTGGCAGATGACACGTGTACGGTTGTGAATGGTTCATAGTCACGTGGGCTTCACAAAGATTTGGCAAGCACAAATATGACGTAGGACATTTTTTTAATGTGAACTGGGCCTCGACCAACTTATGGGCTTACCGTTAGCCTAACACACGATGGGCCTCGATCCGATGACGGAGCTACAAACAGGAACAAAGTACACTGGGAGTGTCTGGGGACACTACTACAAATCTACGATCAGAAAATTTAAATCAGTATGGAGGTAAGACTTTACTAACTAATAATATTTCTCAAATTGATATAAAATTTACTAATGTAGTTCCCTTGCCAGCCGAGCAGAGGAGGAGCAGGGGAATGGCGAGTCCCTCAATTGGAGAATTGGAGGAAGATGCAGTGCGGCCGCTAGCTCACTTGGAAGAAAATGAGAATAGAGAAATTAGGTTGAGGTCTATGGGAAGTGGGAGAATTATGATATTAATTATGATATTAGGGTTAGGGGGTATGGACGGGTATTCACGGGCGGGTACCCCAAACTCGAACCCGTCCCAACTCGTTCAACAGGACACCGGGTTCAAACTCGAACTCGGTCAACACGAGTTTTATCCGTATTGATCGGGTACCCATGGGTCCGGATTTGATTGTTATCCCCACTTTCGGTTGTATGCCTACGCCAATCGCAATACAGATCCAGATTCGAGACTGTCAAACGAACCCGACCTACTCCATAATTGCTCCCGCATCGAGTTGAACTCAGATACATACTTCTCCAATTTTGCTACATCAGTGATGAAGACAATAACTTCTCTTCCTAACTAGCTCTCATGTTTGTGATATCGTACTGTATTGTGATATTGTACTGATTGAATCGGTAAAAAAATTCCAAATTCAAAGCAACAGTAATAGAAGTTGTATGTGGGCGGTGGACTCGAACTCCCACATTTTTATACTAACATTTTGGAGGATATGTATTCCTCCTGAGTCATATTTTGATAAAATGTTTTCAAGTGTCTAACATTTGATGAATGTAAATATTGTCGCATGTTCACTGGTTTGTATAACATGTTTAAAACGGACTCCAAGGAGTTCTAAAACATGGGTACATCCGTACATGCGTGTATGAACTAGGTCTTCACGACATGATAGGAGCACACTATTATGGTATAATATATATGTGAAATTGGTTGTGTATAGAATATCATATGTGATAGAGATACAACACAGAATGAACAATTTCAAAAGGAAATGAAATTGCAGGGATCCCCAGATTTACATGAATGAATCAAACAAACCCGCCGCCCGCAATTTGGAACAGCCATTGGTATTGCAACGACCCATCCTGGCTTTGCACGTAATAAACCCCATCTTCTTTGATCCTCCAATGGCAAAGGGTCCCGCATTTCCTTGTCACCAAGTACCCCCAAAACACCCCAAAATAGTCATCCGTCACCTGCAGGTAGCACCACACCGCCGGGAACAGGATGTCCTCCACCGTCCACCACACCAGCTCGCCGGGCATCAGCGTCGTGATCCGCTGCTCGGGCTCGAAGTTGCACATCAGGTCCACGGCGTGCTGCATCTCGTTCTCGAACGTCACGTTCACGATCGGGAACAGGTCGGTGGAGGTGGCGAGAGACGGCAGCAGGAGGAATGTGATGATGAGAACAACCATCTTTAATGACGGTCGTGCGAATTCGTGTGATTTGCTGCTCTCGATCATTGTGATACCCGTGTGGGGGGCCTCGTCGATGGGGAATTGATAGACGGGCGAATTAAAAAAAAAATCTCTCTTGCAAATATTTTTTTTGTGTGATTACCCTAGATTGAACAATGATCAATCACCAGTACTCTCAGGAGGAAGAACATACAACGTTGTTCCGTTGTTGTTCTTCTCCTGTCCTCGAAGCAGGAATCAGATTCCCACTTCGAGGGAGCGAATGGAGATTTATCAAGAACAATTATATTCTTGCAACGAGGGAAGAAGAAGAATGTAGCAGAATGATGATGATTTTTAGGGTATCCGGATAGCAATTTGAAGAGATTGAATCAAATGAATATGTTCAAAAGAGTTTTCTTGTTATTTGAACATATTCATTTGATTTGATGCTCCATATCCGATTACCTGCTTTTGTAATCTAATTCAATAATTCTAAACAGATTTTTTTTAATAAAAATTGTAGAAATTGTGTTGAAGGAGATTTTTATGGCTACATAATTATGGATTTTGGCCGTCTACCGTACGTGCTTTAAGCAAATATAGGTAAGAGAGTTGTCAATTATAAATCGGTTTTTTTATTCTTATAGAAAAAAATATCTACTCTACACAATCCTTCCTAACAATACTATATAGAGTTTCTTCACCAAAACCTCTTTAATCCTCCTTTTCTAGCTCTCTGCGCATCTCACGGAAGGAGATTTTGGGTAAATACCATTTTATCTCACATGGGCGCCACCATATAAGAGTTTACTGTGGAGGCTCATAATTATATGAGTCTAATTAATGAACACACAAATTCCAGCAAGATGTGGGCTCATATTTTTTTACGGGCTGTAATATACATCTGGTAAACCAAGAAGCAATTTATGTGGTTTTATATATAGTTAATAAATACTTCGTTTAATAAACGTATATATATTCGTAGGTATTTTATTCAGATAAAATTTACATATTCGTATTATTGTCAAGCCGTTTCATTTTTTTGGTTTATTTGATGACTCCCGTACTAAACACATATAAAACCCGTATAACAAGTTTAATATCCTTATTTTATGAATTAAATTGTTAAATTTACTATTATTTTTATATTTATTTAGTTTCAAAATAATTAATGTTATATATTTATGACTATTAATGTACTGTTAAACGTAACATTAGTTTAGAGACGTAGTAATATACCCGTACGTATTTTCTACGTAACTTTCCCGTACTGTATTTTACTAACTATACTTCTGGTAAGGATGTGGGAATATAATTAATATAAATAGGGTGATCCCTTACTTCTACCCCATAACAGCAATACTACAAACGTGATAGTTGCTTTCTTCTTCTCCAGCATCCGGTTCTTCTAAAGTATAAACAGGTACACTGACTTCCTCAGACTATGTATTAGCTATAAATTCGTCGGTTAAAATTTGAATGTAAGTACAAATATTTTTATTAGCATAAATATATACATCTTACAATTTAATGTGTGTCCATGCCATGTGGTATTCAGGGAAAAAGAGATATTTTTATCCCATCAGAAAGTAGGGTCGATTCTAATAAGTATAAACAGGTACACTGACTTCCTCAGACTATGTATTAGCTATAAATTCGTCAGTTAAAATTTGAATGTTAGTACAAATCTTTTTATTAGCATAATTATATACATCTTACAATTTAATGTGTGTCCATGCCATGTGGTATTTAGGGAAAAAGAGATATTTTTATCCCATCAGAAAGTAGGGTCGATTCTAATAAATCTCTATCTGAAATGCAAAAAAAAAAGAAGAAAAAAAAAGAGTTTGTTGTATGAATATCTATGAATCATCAATTGATTGTGATCTCTCTAACAATTTCACACTGCTTAATCTTACAAGACCACAACTATCCATTTTATTTTTCAGAAATTGACGCACCTAAGTCAGAGTTGAAGATAATTGATCAACCGTACCATTGACCAAAATAGTAAGAAGAAAATGTGCTCTTTATATAAGGCAAAAGCGTGTATAATGCATATGCATTGGTTGAGGCTGAGCGTTTGGATTGGATTAAAAACAACCAAACAAAGTTGAGACAACATAATTACCAAGGTCTTTTGAATTCTTACTTGAGAGCTGATTTGAATACCAGTATGAGTGGGAAACATGTGATTTTGACTTCATCACATACACGTAGTACTCGATAAAAGTATGAAAGCTTCCAGGATGCTATGGCGATTTGTAGATGGGCAGGATATCCAAATCTTTTCACTACATTTACTTGGCCCGAGATCCATTACATGCTTGATTTGATAAGGACTACTACCATGAGTTGATGTCTTCGCATGAGTTTTCAAGCTAAAGCTACATCAATTGTTGAAAGAGATTATGAAGTAGAAAATTTTCGAGAAAACGTGTGCATGTAAGTGCTATTCAATAGTTTTACTATAAGCATCTTCAATATATGAATTGTTCGTGGACTATTATTTTCCTATTTTGATTATAATTTCTTTTATTTGCAGATGTGATTGCAATTGTATTTCAAAAACGTGGTTTACCTCATGCTCATTTATTAGTCTCCCTAGCTGCAGAAGATAAGTTATATAGTCCATCGGAAATAGATTCGATTATATCCACTGTAATTCCAGATCCTCAAACATATCCTAAATGTTATGAAGTAGTTGCAAACTTTATGTTTCATGCGGCATTCAACGACCTAAAGCCCCATGTACAACTAATTGTGTATCTTCTAAACATTTTCCGAAGGAATTCTACAGCCAAACAACTATTGATGGCAATGGTTTTGCAAGGTATCGTCGTAGAGAGAACAACATATAATGTACGATAGATGGGGTCTCACTAGATAATCAATTTGTTGTTCCTTATAACAGATACCTATTACTGCGATTTCAGGCACACATCAATGTTGAATTTGTCTCAAAATGATATCAAATAAAAGGTAAACAATAAACAACAAAAATTATCTATGTGATTCAATGCCTTGAGAATTATTGATACGCCTATTTTTTAACCCATTGTAATGATATTTTGATGCAAATTTCCAAATGGCAAATCAATAACTTCCAACCCCTGTTTCGGGATCAAAGTGTATACACTATAAAGAACTTTAAGGTCAATATGACAATGGGAGATTACAGCTCAATCCCGAACAAATTTGTCATCAAGTTCCAATCAAATACCGAGGGTGAAGCATGCGAAGATATTCCAGAGATACCAGCTTACAAATTTTACTTCATCGAAGAAGATGAGATCGAGAGGAAGTCCAACCAAAGGAAATTTCTTTAAGGTATTAAGCAATATTCTCGAATAAAAAATATTTTGTTGCGTGAACAACCAAAAACTTACTTTCATCAATTATTTGTTACACATATTTCGTCAGCCAACTTATTAAGGATTCAGATTTAATGATATCTACTACACTAACCCTAAAGGTTACACGCAGAGAGTTCCAACTAAAACTTTCCAAGTATGTAACTCTTTTTATTCTTAATTTTACATATCATGAATTTTCTTAACTCTAATCGCAACTCTAATATACAATTTGACTATAGGGGATTGGTCGTCAAGGTAATTCTCTTTGGTAGGATAGTTGTCCAACTAATTAAATTCAATCGTTCAAAATGAGGGCAACCGACCTCTCATCCTGGTCATTACTTCCTCATGCATCGTTCCATGGTAAGGCGGCATCTTAATTAACTTATTTTCATTGATCAAACATTGACACTAACTAACCGACATTTAATCAAACGACTGCTAAATTTGTAGGTACAGTTAATTTCACCTCTTGAGGAGCGACCTTACTACTCGTGAAATCAAGAATTTCATAAGTAATTAATTTTGGGCCAAGGTGAAGTTCTCAAACATTTACTCACCATATTTCCTTGCAGGTTATGAGTTTGATGTTGAACAAACCAAAACGAGAGAAATTATCATTCCTTTTGGTGATAACAGTGACGACGATGGACCAATTCCATGGTGAAAAGCATGAAAGCACCTCAAATGAAGGATGAGGACGAGCACCACACTGACGATGAGTAAAGATAAGGGTTATTCAGAACAATTTTTGAATTCGATCCCCTGGTAAAGGGTTTGTCATTGACATTTCGTAAATTAATTATATTCGGTGAATCGGTTAGGGTGTCCCAGAATACTATGATGTTCGTATTTTAAATGGATTAAGTACTTTAATAATTTGGATTTTTTTACGCTACCAAGAAATTTACATTTCGATAATTTCAGCAACATAGATTTTTGTAAACTAACAAAACAGGCGAAACTCATGCTACTCCTATTATGTATTTACACGATTCGCAAATGAACCCGATATTGATACCTATTTAGTATTTACGCAATCTAGAAATGAATCCGGCCAACCGGCCGGGCCATGACTAGTAAATAAAAACCAACTTGAATCCCCATTTCAAATTTCCTGCATCCAGAGTGAAAGTAGGAAGAACATTTTGGTCTTCACAATTACTTTTTTTTATTCATTAAAAAAACACTTACTAGGATTCGAACCATGACCACTTTAAAGAAAAACAAAGATCATAACCAATCACACTAAGTACATTTGTTGTATTTTTTTAAATTAAAAACATATAATCGCAGAGAGGAAAAAACCCTTCCCCCATTTCAAATTCCCTGCTCCAGGAGCGTTTGTAGGAATGGCAGAATAGGGAGTGTCAATTTTTTTCTTTTTCCTCTCTGTAATGGGTCAACTTACCGTACACATGCGGATTTAAACGGGTCCAGGAGTGTCAATTTTTTTATTTAAGTCCTTTTATTTCTCCGTGGTGGTAAAATATATAGGAAAAGGCAAAAACAATACTCATATTTATTGCTAAAAAGAAAAAAATTTAACAATAAACTAATGCATGGATTCTAATGGGCTAACCGTTAATCATAAAATAAAAGAGTTGAATGGGCCTGACCTACACAGGATTTTTCCATCAAATAAAACAAATGAACATAATGGGTTTGCCATTCTAAAACAAGCTATTTTCTCTAGCATAATATATATTATGCTATTATTTTATATCTTAGTGGCTAAAATATAATGTATTTTAAAGTTATTCAATGGTTCAACCTCGACCAACCCAATTAGTCCAATTTTTATCATTTCAAATATATATTATGTAATTATTTGATATCATAATGATTAAATTATAGTGTATATTATAGGGAATCGTTTGGTATTTGTTAGTAAAAAACTAAACAGAAACATCTATTTGGTTATTTTTAACATTAAAACGATCCTAAATATTTTCAGTTTCCTTTCAAAATTCTATAGTTTTATTCTCGAATCAATGATGTGCAAATGGCGAATTGCAGTAATCTCTTTTCTTTCATTATTTTTTATTTTCAAATAGAAAGTTTAAAAGAAAAGAATAATTAGAGTTTGACATGGGTCGGTCAAATAGGTTGAATTTCAAGTTTTGGCCCGTTTTGATCAAGTCTAATTTATAATCACATGGTTCCCTGATACCCGATAAAAATCTCAATCCAAACCAGTTTGGCAGGTGAGTCCATGTTTACCACCATTTTCTAGGGATACAGGAATGGTGGTTCCTATCCCAAATCGTGTTGTTCATTCTTGATTTCTTTAGATTTTATCATGGCTTGGCAAAAAACCAGAAAGCACAATGATGACAAGATGAAAGTTTTATAAAGCAAATTAATAAAAGCTAGCAACGATAGTGAGATGCTCATTTCCCGAAAATCGGCGGGATAGACGATTTTTATTTGATTTTCTGGAATTCGGTTTCTATAAAACTTAATCCACCTCATCATATTACAAGAAACAATATTGTTTCACAAGGTAACAGGTACTTGATTTTGGTTCATAAGGCTGATTTTTGATTCGTTGCATCATTCATGTCTCTTTCCTACTAAAATTCACTATTTTTATCACGTGTTTCTAAAAAAAAAACAAAAACAAAAACTATACAACAATAAGCTATACACCTCATTACATTATAAAATTTCATACTTCACCTTCCTCCGGCCAAATGGCCGGGCCCACGCTAGTTTGATGTTAGTTCTGTTTAAAAGCAGCTGAACTTTTATCTTGCCACTAGTTGTTCAATAGGATTTTCTTTTTTAAATTCGAAACTATAATTTCAATATGAGTTCCTGTAAAACATAGAGTAGTAAAAGGTAATTTGCTCTTGTCCACCCAATTCCTAAAGTTGGGGATTGCTAAACATCACCCTAACTTTATTTAAATCCCCCTAATTTAATATATAAAATTACCTTTATATACTTATATATTTTTGTTCGTAAAAAATAACACAAAAAATAACCTCTCCGTGGAACTTCCCTGCATTCATTGAGTCTAAATTAAAACAATTACTGTGGATATTGTTTATGTCCGGGAGAAAGTGGAAGTCATTCATTTTTTTACCCAAAGTGTTAAAGGATGAAGAGGGCGGTGTTTTGGGTGGTGACGGCGGAATAATCAATATGGTGATTCGTGAATCTTCCATTGTCGACCAGAGCCGCCACAAATTGTAGATGCAACCGCAGCGCAGAAGGGTTGCCACTGATAGCCGGAGGAGAATGTTGGTCACGAGTTTGAGGGGAAGGCGATCGTGTTAGTTTTTTATTCGCGAAGGATAGACTAGTAATTTACCCTTTTAAGTTAGAGAGATTTAAGTAAAGTTAGGGCGACATTTAGCCATCCGGTAAAGTTAGGAAGAAAGCCCTAGTTGCAGTGTTATTTAAGCCGAGCCGAGCCGCTCGGCCCGAATGGTAAAACTGCCACCCGGTCACAAAATCGGCTCGAAACAGTCTAAAAGCCGCTCTGTTTTTATGTAGTGGTTGGCGAGCGGCCGAGGCAGTTAACCACTCGAGCCGATCAAGCTGCTCGTCCGGGTTTTGCCATTCGATCGTTAAATTTAATTAAAAAATTGTAAAAATTGAAAATTGAAATAAACCAACAACGTCGGGCTCTCAAACTGAATCCTTATTTCCATTTCACAATTTCGAAGGAAAGAGACGAGTTCTGATTAATAAATGTCCACTATTTATACAGATAACGTTTGTTAGGTACCGGTTCTCTAATGATTTTTAAACGGTCTATTGCCGATTAGACCACTAAAATGCAAACCGTTCGCATTTTCGGGTCATGCTCCAATTCGGTTCTGACAACATTGCCTAATTGGAATACCAGCTTCGAGCCCATTAAGACAGTCAAAAGCCCATCAATATACCTGACATCGAGTCCAAATTATCTTCTTTCAAAAGTCCATCAATATAACCTGACTTCGAGTCCAAATTATCTTCTTGCTTCTTCTCTTAACTCTCTCCTTGTCAGTCGTACATTGGCAAAAAAAAAAAAAAAAGAACACAGAAAACAAAAATGGAGGTCGCCATAGCAGCAGCTTCAAGCGTTGCGATTCCGAAGCTCACCTCGTCTTTCCCGGCAGCTACTTCCAGGCCAATTCAACGCAACAGAGCTCTTTCAATCTCCTCGTCGCCCTTTTCGTCGACTTCTCTCTCGACAAGCACTGTCTCTCCCTTCTCGTCCGGCGCCGTTGGAGAATCGTATGGAATCGGAAGCAAGCCGGGCGCTCTATATCCAGCTCCAATTCCAAGCTCTAAGGCCAAACGAAGCGTCGTCGCCATGGTACTGTTCTTTTCTTTTCCTGTCCTGCTGACCAATTTTTGAACTGAATGCATTCTTTGTTGCATTTGCAATTCGGTTTGTTTAGTTGGATAATTGAATTTTGATCTCGTTAAGGGCTTGGAAAGCAAGTAACAAAGCAGGCCATGGTGGATAGCTAGACAATGTTTATGGTCTGGAGCTTCAATCGAGTATACTGGTGGACAGGTTCTGAATCTGATTGTCGAACACTGAAAACTGGAAGCAAGATATTTTTTATTCCATAATTAATGCTTCCAGTTTGGGTAATGAGGTGGCAAAGGGATGGTGGATTCCCAGTATTTGTCAAAACATGTACTCAGTGAATGGAGGTCGAGTTGGTAGTCAGCAGTTAGCCTGCTTTCTCTAAAAAAGAGGTTTCCAATGCTTAGAGTACCTTTAAATTAGAAAAGAGACCACCTTTTTTCTACCATCCTTGAAAAGTGTTAAAATTTATGTAGGCATTGCAAGTCTGAATGGCAAATTTGATGGAATGATGTCTGACTGTTGGTACATCTTTAGGACAATAATGAGGGTGCCATGTCCTTATTCTATGAAAAATTCCTGCTTCAGTGAGTTGCTGTGTTTCTTATATGTATACAGCATCACAGTAGATTCCTCTGGTTATAACTCTATTGTTGCATGTTTCTCTGTACAGGTTATTCCTTATACGAGGGGAAGTGCATGGGAGCAACCTCCACCTGATTTAGCATCTTACTTGTTCAAGAATCGGATTGTTTACCTGGGCATGTCCCTTGTTCCTTCCGTCACAGAGTTAATACTTGCAGAATTTCTTTACCTTCAGTATGAAGATGAAGAAAAACCTATTTATCTTTACATCAACTCGACAGGGACAACCAAGGCATTCTTTCCTTCCCCTTAACGCCCTAACTTTTTGTTTCTTGGAGTCATCTTATTACACTCTAAATAATGGCAATTTCTGGATGTAACATACATATATATGCACTCATAGTCCTTGTATATGTCCGTTAGAATTAGCATAATGTTCCGAAGCTAAATTAGATTAGCATCGTAAGATATCTTGACCTTTCCTTCTGAGTTCCTTGGCAATAGAGATGCACTAAGTTGGTGGCTTCTGCGTAAGTCTTTTCTGTTAAAATATGGATACTCATGAAGGAAATATCATAGTTGGCTTTCTTGGCTTCCTGATGAGCTCTCTAAGTTTTCACTACTGAAGGAAATATCGTAGCTGGCTTTCTTGGCTTCCTCCATTATATTCTGTTGCAGCTAATGCCTTAGGAACCCTAGTTTGATGCTTCCATAGGTTTGTGAAAGAGAAAATATCTAATGATCTTGCTAACAAACCTGCCCTTTTTAAGAATCCTTCTCTGCATTTCACATAATTCTCATCCCACTTGTTTATATCTAAAGAATGCATGTAGAGATATGTGCATTTATAGCAAGTCATAAAGAAATATTCTGTCATCCTGGAGCAATGTTTCAAGCAACAGTTTGTCTTACATGCCATTTGTCTTGTTAACTTGCTTTGTTCTTTTTTTCCAGGGTGGTGAAAAGCTGAGTTATGAGACGGAGGCTTTTGCTATTTATGATGTTATGGGGTAATGATTCTTCATGCTCTTCTGATTAATGCTTCTTCCTTTTTATATAATCCACACGCTCCTTAGTTCATTGATGCTCCAAATCTATAACCTCATCTTCTTGATGAGCTATTGTGTGGTCATGATTTCTTTTTTCATCATCCTTGTCTCACAATATATTGTGTTTAATCTACTATAGTTGTTTCTTTATGCACGCAGACAATTATTTTGATCTGAAATGACTAATGCTCTGCTGCAGGTATGTAAAGCCACCAATATTCACTCTCTGCGTTGGTAATGCTTGGGGAGAGGCTGCCTTGTTATTGGCTGCTGGTGCAAAAGGAAACCGTTCTGCATTACCTTCATCAACTATCATGATTAAGCAGGTAACTGGAGATAATAAAGCTATAACTATCATCCAGGTGTGTTGTATGATTGCTACCTAGTTTTTGGCTCATGTCCATATTGAAGTTTATCCTCCTATCTACAGCCCATTGGCAGATTTCAGGGCCAAGCTACAGATGTTGAACTTGCAAGAAAAGAGATGAATAATGTTAAAGCAGAACTGGTGAGCCTCTGGTTACGTATCACAAGTGATGATAATGATCTCCTTGCTTCCAAATTCTTAACATGCTAATCCCTTTTGTGGGATGATAAAGTATTGCTGCTAGACTTCTAGTAAAGTTTCAATCTTCCTAAGTTTCAGCTAGTTGGTTGAACCTTGTGCTCATTAGTCAGCCCATATGTGGATTTTTCTTCGCCCAGGTCAACCTATTTGCAAAGCACATCGGGAAGACATCTGAACAGATTGAAGCTGATATCAGTCGGCCAAAGTACTTTAGTCCGGCTGAGGCAGTTGAATATGGAATCATTGACAAAGTACTTTAGCTTACTCAGTTTTTGTTTTAACATATATGCTTTATCTGCCAGACGGAATAGCTTACCTTCCCTTCTTTTCTTTTTGTGGTATTTAGGTCTTGTACAATGAACGAGGCAGCGAAGATCGTGGAGTTGTTTCTGACCTTAAAAAGGCACAGCTTATATAATTGCTGGGAGATGATGATCAGTGGCTTTTGAGATGCGTGAGGTAAGATGCAATTGCATGTCAGTCGTACCAGGTTATATATATGTTTCAGGCTAGCATATGGCAGGCGTACATTGTACGCCCGTCGAGTTTTACAAGCCAATTTGGCTGCCTTGAGATTCAAATGTAAATGTAAGATTAGTTGAATACTTTCCATTCAGAATACTACTCAGCCAATGTGGTGGGTTGATGTTTAACAAGCTCTGCAACGTGCTTTACATACTTAAATGGATTAAAACTGTTTAGGTAGAGAGCATATACTCTCAACGAATGGTTGGTACCTTGCCTTTTTATAGTAATTAATTGGTACTTCATTTAGATCCTTGTTATGGTAAGCAACCCATCCTGTTTAACCAATGGGATACCAGGTTGTCTTTTCTAACTAATTGATAGTAATAGAAGTGTTAAGAACAAAGAAGCCACACAGTAAACTTTGTCTGGGAGTGAAGGGATATTTACTATGCACCGTGCACGAAAGATTTATCACTATGAAAAATGAAATAGAAGTGCATGTACCACAATTAGTTGGATAAGACGCCAACTTTACAGTAAAATTATTGTGAAGAAACGAAGTAATCAGTAGGGATAGGTTTTGCCGTTGGAGTGAAGGGATCGATCTGTTGTTAACCAAAGGCTAGCAGTCAGTTTGTTATTGAGTACTGATGCATAATAGTTTGGGCTTGTGCTGCCGGTTAGATGCTAAGCACTAGTTGGTGCTTTGGAGTAGCATTTGATTTAGTTTTCTTAGAAACTTAAGGGAACAAGGCCTGGTCAATTGCTATATCGAGTGGTGACATAATGGTGGACCATTTTAGTTGGTATAGCTTCGCTTGTCTGGCTCAGCAAAGGAAAGCATCACCTGTCTGGTAAAAGATGTAGACAGCCATGAATAGGCTACATCATGAAGCACTGGATGGTTGTCTATGCTTTTCTGTTCTTTCTTTATCTAGGTGCATGGCTCTGTTAATGGTGAGACTGGCCCATTGCTATTGGTCCATTTGTTGCATAATTGTTGTAAAATTGTTTTGTCTTCCCATTTACGATTTAACCTAGTGCACTCAGTTGCTTCTTGATTGTTCTGTGTTACATACTGAGAAAAAAGACGCAACATATTTAGTGGTAGTTTTTAGACTTAGTGGTGTTTCTTTCTTCGTTTGCAAAATGTATGGAGATGATGCTAAGTTCTAAGCAGCTCTGTAAAGATGTGAACCGTACACATAGAAAGATCACTCAACACTGAGTTGGTCCAAAGTTGAGTTTTGCTCTTTAGCACTATTTGCCTGAAAGTGGGATATAGCTATTTAGCGTGATACTCATACTTGCACAAAGCCCCATTAATAGTCACTTTTCAGAGTTGGGTGGTGCAGTTAGTTAGGGTCCTTTTATTGACACATGTATGATGTATCACCATTACTATATCTTGCCTGCTCTTGTGGTTGTCACCATCTCATAGCAAATCTGGTTCTCCAATTTTTAGGTAGAACTTGTTCTATTTGATTCCTTGGAAACAAAGAAACAAATAGATTAGAGTTGAAGCTAGTCTAGCGGAGATCGGGTTGAATGTATTGATTTGGATTCGATTATCCTCTATCTTTCGTGTTTTTCAATTCGCTCTGATGCCACTTATTTTCAATTCGCGTCCATTTTGCATGGTAGAACATGATGGAATATCCTCCTTTCTTTTTGCTGCCTAGGGATGAAGCTTCGGAGATGGGAAGGTGCAGTGCAATAGAGAAGAGACAGGCAAGAAGCTTTTCCAGCAATGGAGGAAAAGGAACTCTGAAGCTTCCTCCCCCCCTTTGTTTTTAATATACGTGGGAACTGAACTGATGGTGGGAAGCATTTGTGACCAAAATGTACTATAGTTCAGACTTCCTCTTCCTTCAGGACCCTGTATCCTCAAATTTCAACACTCGTGGTAACGCTGACATTAAGCCTTACTGTTGAAGCTTTAGATATGAATGAATTCAGGATCGAATTACTCAGTGGTCATGTCATTGGTCCGTAATCAAACCATCATCAGCAGGTAGGGGTGTACATGGGTCGGGTGGTCCGGGTTCAGACATTTTAATCACCCGATCCATGCACTACGGTTTGGGAAATATCAAACCCAAACCCACCCAAAAAAATCTAAACCCTACGGTTTGTTTCTAATTGGGTTGGGTCGGGTTGACGATATTTTTAAGTAAAAACCCAACCCAACCCAAAATATGTAATTATTCTACACCATAAAAATATTTTAGAACTAATTAAAAATTCAAACGAATAAACCGAGGTGAAAGGTATCAAAATTCACAAATGGTATTTGAATTTTAATAAAATTTGATTTACTTCAACTTATGTCTAGTTTTTTTCACGACATTTGTTAAAATAGGCTAAAAAGGTTACAAATGAGTGCATCCATAATATGTTATTCTATTAAAATTATACACAAGAAAAAGAATTATGTGAATCATAGCTATATTCAATTTATGTCTAAATTTTAAGCCGGAGAATGCATTAGATTAGGCGGACCTTAAGAGAAAAACATGGCGAAATATCTCAATTTTCTCATAAGTATGACTATATACGACATAAATATTTTTTTTGATTTGAACTCATACCAATAATTGGAACACGGGTTGGGTCGGGTTATACGGGTTGTGTAATCCAAAATCCAAACCCAACCCAAAAGAGGCGGGTTATACAAAAGAAAATCCTCACCCAACCCAAAGCCTTCGTTTTAGCGATAAATACGGGTGGGTTGGGTCGGGTTGGACGGTTGGGTCGGTTTGCGGGTGTGTTTGTTCACCCCTATCAGCAGGTGTTCAATTAGTGGCAGTGCAGTTCTTTACTGCTGTGCTGTGCCTTCTTCCTGAACTTGCAATATATTTGTATGAAACAAGTTGCTGCCAAGTGGGTGGTGATGATAAAAAAAACAAAGGAGTCACCTACCCCAACTTCTCCCCACTTCTCAAACAAACCAAGGAAATACTAAAGTTTTCATGTACGATCATCATATTATACATAGGGGTGGAAATTGGGGTGGTCCTCACATTTTGCGGATACTTACACTCACTTTATACTATCCATAACTCGCATCGCAGTGGTTAGTGGATAATCATTACCCATTGCAGGTTGGTGAGGATTGGGTGTGGTTATCCTCAAAAATCCATATTTGCAAGTATAAAGTTGAGGCCGCCATCAACGTATTTGGTCTAGATCGAGAGGTAGGAGCACATATCAAAGGTCATACCAAATACTATGCAGTCTAGATTTATACATACCTTTCTTGCAGTCTTTGAGGTGGTTGGGTCACTGGACTTCACTTAAAAAAGTTCTAATGAACTTGAGAGATGTGATCTTCGAGACGAGAAGTCCTTGTGGTATGATTTAATATCAGATTTGTGATTCGGGTTTCAAAAGAGCTATTCGTCTACTAAAAACATTTGGTAAACATTACTCGTCTTTGCTAAGTATGTCTGATTAACTACTCAGATGGAGTTATTGAGCATGTTTCTGGAGGAGATTGTGGAGTTTATAGGTAAAATTGTAGTATTGGGCATTTGTAAATTGGATCAGCAGCCCCTTAGTGCTCCCTCACCTGACATATGCACCATCCTTTTTTCAGATTCCTTAAGTTCTGGTTTTCCTTTTTCTTTCTTATCTTTTTGAATTTTGATAGGTTCCTTATTTTCTTCTTCATGTGGAAATGGATTGACAGACACAGAGATATTATGGAGAGCAAAATGCTTAGCAAGTTTGACATGGCAATCTCTAGCTCAGTGCGTTCCAACCCAACCTAGCAGATATAATGGCTGATTATTATTAATTGGTGGGCACAGTCCAGTCAAGTTGCTGATTTTATTTGAATGAGTTGAAGTATGAAATCTGAGAAATCTATTAGTGTGTACAAATCCATCACACATGTGGTGCATAGACTTGGATAACAAAGGAGAAACCGATCTACTGGACGACGGTAAGTCTTGACTCAACTTATCCCAGTGAAATGTAAAACTTAAACTAAACACCCGCGACCACACGTCTTGATGGCGTCCCAAGGACTCGAGTACCCTCTCAACAAACTTGAGTTGAAACCACTTACTGAACCTTACTTAAATACTCCAATATCGTTAGACATAAAGTCCCTTAGCCCAAATCAAAGCATTCCTTAATTTTTTTTCTCCATCGACCATCAAATAACCAAGCAACATATGAGCCCCTATACGTGGAAGACATCATATAATCACATATTAACTATTTGGTACAAAAAACTGAAACCCAATTGGAACTTGGAAGACATCATATGATCACATATCTCAATGGATTAAGAATAAAAAAAAAGTTAGGCAGATTCTAACTCTAAAAATCGTGTAGTACCCACTTGCACTATACAATAATAATCAACACATGTATGCAGCTCATTGTGCCTGAAAACTAAATGGGTCAAATTGACCTTAAAAAAAAAAAACAGAAAGTCGGCATGTAAATATTATTATTGCAACACTTCATCATCCCAAATTCACCCCAATAGCAAAGGTGGCAGCAGCTGCCTTAACAGTAAAGGCTGGCCAGCCAGCCAGCCAGCCAGCCATTCATCACCACCTATAAATATGAGATTGCCACAATCCCCCAGTTTCCCACATCCCTCACTTTCTACTCTTTCTTCCTTTTCTAGCTCTCCATATTTGCTGAACTAGTTTGTAGAACTATGGCTGGCTGTGCACTTGCTTATGGGTTTGGCCTTGTGGTAGCAATGCTGTTGCCTGGACTAAGCCTTGGGGATGACTTCGTCTGCACAAGAGCTACTTACTACGGCAGTCCTGATTGCTTAGGGACTCCAAGTATGTCTCCATATTGTACTTTGGCTAGCACTGTTATCTTGTTTAATTGATTCGAAACTATGGGCAAAATGTAAGAACTCGTGGTTAGTCTGGTCGTACATGACATGGTGACAACGTGCAATGCGTGAATATGAGATGATGTGATTGAGGTGTCACTGCGATTTCTTGTTTGAGTTTTTTCACGTCCTTTATTCATAATGGTAGTTTTTCATAATAAGGATTTTATGCATGTAAGTGACAGTTTAGAAGTGTCTTTGTCAACTATGCAACACAACTTATGTCACGTTCGTTTTTGCATACATAGTACTAGCTAGTTATCGTTTCTTCCACTGGACTCACTATGTAGTTTTTCGTATGATTAACTAAGCCTATAAATGGATAGTGGGATTAACTATATCGTGGGTTTTCAGCTGGAGCTTGTGGGTATGGCGAATTTGGAAGGAACGTGAATGATGCTAACGTAGCTGGAGTCTCCAGACTTTGGAAGAACGGCACAGGATGTGGCGGTTGTTATCAGGTAAATCAATAAAAATTTAAATAACATATAATTTTTAGACTTAAATATAAAAAGAAGTAGTGTAAACTATAACTTTAAATTTAATTACAAATAGTGCTAGTAACCATTGGTTCATGGATTTACATAACACCAAAAGCGATGTGGTGAAGTTACTAATTACATTATTCATTAGCTACCAACCATGCCACTAACTAGACTATGAGTCTTAATTGTGTTAGTGTATGTTTAATAACTATAGAGTGACATCAATCACTTTTTTTATGCATTAAGAGAACCAACTTAGTGCTAGATGATCTAGGCATGAATCATGATGATGATGGCTAACCATATATAGTTAGCACTTTCAATCAAATTTATTATCGTAACACGCTTCAAATGTTCATTTCATATATTTGTTTCAAATTCGTGATCATTTTAGAATGACTTTGTATATTTTTGAGCACACGTACAGGTGAGGTGCAAGGCGCCAGAACTCTGCACCGACGAAGGCGTCAACATAGTGGTGACGGACTACGGCGAGGGAGACCACACGGACTTCATCCTCAGCCCACGCGCCTACGGGAGGATGGCGCGTCCCAACTGCGCGCCGGAGCTCTACAAATACGGCGTCGTGGAGGTGGAGTACAAGCGGATCCCTTGCCGCTACGCCGGCTACAACATCGTGGTCAAGGTCAAGGAGCACAGCAAGTACCCTGACTACCTGGCCGTCGTGCTCCTCTACCAGGCCGGCCAATACGACGTCGCCGCGGTCGAGATTTGGCAGGAGGATTGCAAGCAGTGGAGAGGAATGAGGAGGGCGTACGGTGCCGTTTTCGACGTCGTTGCTCCGCCGAAAGGCGAACTCAAACTGAGGTTCCAATTGGTGAGCAGCGTCGAGACGACATGGGTTGAGTCCAAGAGTGCCATTCCTGGGGAGTGGAAGGCTGGGGCTACTTATGATTCCAATCTCCAACTTAACTAAACTTAAACTATATTATGCCATGTGTAGATAATTAATTGTGTTTTGTTTAAGTTGGGGAGTTGTTTGTTGGTGTTAATTTTGTAGCTTTGTTTTGGGTTTGGGTTTGGCTTTGGGTTTGTGAGGCGTCAAGAAATAATGATGGGCCTTTCTCTTTGAGCTTTGGTGAACGAAGATATGGGCCTTTAGTGTACTTCTCGGGCATTATTGTCACGTTTTATGATTTTATGAATAAAATTTGCAGCGCCTTTGGGCTGTTGCCTGTACTGTTAGTAAAACTATATTCTGGCAATGGAATGTGAATCTGAATGGTAAAAGTGAAATGTGGGTTGCTTGGATGAAGTAGTTTTGCAATACGATGAAACTATATATGGTAGTAGTTAGTATAGGTGTCAAAACATAGTCCGACCCGATTAACCCGTCCGATCAACCCGACCTGCAACCCGACCGCAATCCAAATTGACTAAAAGTCAACAACCCGTAACCCGCCCGACCCGCAACCCAACTAACCCGCAACCCGATTAACCCGCAACCCGATTAACCCGAACCCGACTGACCCGCAACCGGATTAACCCGAACTCGATTGACCAGAACCCGACTAACCCGTAACCCGACCGAATCAACCCGAATTTCATCTAATCCACTTGAATAATTATAAAAATATACAATACATAGTTTTTCAAAATAAAGTTTTTCATTCTAAACTTAAGTAAAATTATTTTTTCATTTCGTATAAGAAATTATAAAAATATGAAACTCACTTGATATTACGTATTTTAAGAAAATTACAAAAATTGAAACGTGAAGGTCACTTGAGATCATGACAATATTAATATAATATATAAATTAAAATTTTGGTTAATTTAACTATTCAATAAAATTATCAATTAAATATAAATAAAGTAAAGTAATGTATTTGGTAATTTGATGTTTTTAAAAGAAGAGGGAAATTTTGGTGTATTCAAGTTTTTGGGAAGAGAAAGAAGAGGGAAATTTGGTTCTTTGAATTTTTTAGAAAAGAAACAAGTGGGAATTTTGGTGGTTTTGATATGTGGGAAGAGAAAGAAGTGGGAAAGTTTAATTTTTTTTTATTATGAAAAAGAAATAAGGAGGGAAATTTTTGACTTTTCAACTTTTTGTAGAAGGAAAGAAGAGGGTAATTTGGTTATTTCAATTTTATGGAAGAGAAAGAGGAGGGAAAATTGAGTTTTTCTAATGTATGGAAGGATAAAGAAGGAGAGAAATTTTAGTATTTTTTTGAAAAGAAAGAAGGAAACAAATTTGGTGTTTTCAATTTTTTGGTTTTTCATAATTTTAGCTTTTGAAATATGAATCTTTAACTTTTATATGGAGGGCATGACTAGTTAAAATCATTCTTTTATGCTTTGAATGCTAATATGTATATATGTATGTAATTTTTTATGGGCTAATAAATAAATTAACCATTAGTTACAATAATTTATACTAAACTTGATAAGTAATCTTTGACGGTTCGTTGTTTAGGATATAAAGTATATGGTTAGGGTATAAGGTATAAGGTACATATGGTTTAGGGTGTATATGGTTAGGGTATAAGATATTGATGGTTTTGACGGTTCTAAGTTTTTTATTAACATATGTTTACTTGAAGTCATTTGAAGTCTTTAACGGCAGGAGATCCCTTTTTAATTTATGTTTATGGTACGTGGTTAGGGTACAAGGTATGTGGTGTAAAGTATAGGATATATGGTTAGGGTATAACAATTAGCAAATATCACTTTTTATCTATGTTTTGAAAATCAAAGTATGAATTTCACTTTTAAATTAACTATACTAGCAAAATCACAACTCAAGGACATATGATTAGGGTATAGGTTATGTGGTTAGTGTATAATGTATTGATGTGTTTAGGGTATACAATCAACAACATATACTAACTTAATATTGTTGATTGAGGGTAAAGCTAAGTGTATAGGATATATGTTATTGAGTAAGTTATGATTGAAGTCACAATAATTTTACTAAATTTGATAGTTAATCTTTAATGATTCAATTTTTAGGATAATTCGAACAATTTTACAAATAACTCGTTTGGCAACAGTTTACTAAAGTTATTTGGACAATGAGTTATTTTGAAATAACTCTTTTTATCTATGCTTTTGCCAAATACCACACGCCAAATACCAGATTTGCATGGTTATACCAAACGAGAAACTTTAATCCAATTACTACTTAATTAATACTAAAATATCAAATAAACAATTAACGGTGTCTTTTGGTTGCAAATATTGATATCACCATTACTATTAGCTATAATACTTTACCAGTTATGATTAATTACATAACAAGTTTGCAAGTCATACAAATTGATTTAACATTTTGACTAGTTTTTTTTTTCAAAAAAATAAAGTATATATATACGAGGTAGAAATAAATTGGTTAAAAAGTTGAGAAAATATTTTAAATTAGTGTAATAAAATGTGTAAGTTGGTAATGAGTTAAGTTACTTGATGCGCTGGCCCGAACAATCCGAAACCCGACCCGCCCGCAACCCGCCCGACCCAAAACCCGATGAACCCGCAACCCGATTTGCCGCAACCCGATTGAATCTGAACCCGATGAACCCGCAACCCGACTAACCCGCAACCCGTTTGAACCCGAACCCGAACCCGTTGAACCCTCAACCCGACTAACCCGCAACTCGTTTGAACCCGAATCCGATTGAACCCAGCCCGAACCCGCCCGATTGACACCTATAGTAGTTAGTGCCTTGTTAGAGTGGGATAATTGGTCGGAACATGTTATGTTATAGTTGTTTTCCCGGCGAGAAAATGCTTGTATTGATATTAATAGGTGCATTTTTTTATTACTTTTTGAACAATCTAAATGATATGGTTTACACCTTTTCGAACAAAATCCGAATGATGGTGTTTGGTGCTTTTTGATGGATTGTGGAACAAACTAAATTAAGTTACTCTACTTTTACAAAAGCTCGGTGAGAGCTCCGGAAACTAAAAGATATGCCTAGATCAAGATTAATATAAAGTTCGACATGAAGTGTTAAATGTTGACTCTCGAAACCCTTTCGAGTCTTCATTTCTCCTATTTATAGGTATCGGATGCAATTGCCTCGAATGACCTCTCTTCCAAGTTCCAACCATCACAGTACTTGATGTAACTTGTTTGATTCTCTCACTCCACTTACTTGCATGTGAAGCATTTGCACTCTCGCTACTCATCAACTCGAAGCCAACGAGTCATATCAACTCAAATTATTGAGAGATCATATGATTTTTTTCATTTTTTGTGCAATTTAATACTTCCATCTCCTCTTTCATTATGCCCAATCACCCAATCTCTCATCTCGGGTCTAGCCAGCAGACACACAGTTGGAGCGGCCTGAACCTGAAGCATTTACTGACGACCATTAGTACTTCCAGTCTCTCACCTCGAGCCTAACCATTCTATTAGGACACTGCGTAGGATCACGAGACATTAAAAATATCGTCAATTCCAACAGTAGAAGAGGTAGAGGAAAACAGGGGACGTAGAGGGGAAGAAACAAGAACAAGAATAAACAATTAGATAGGCAGGCAGCAATGAATACGAATGAAGATAGAGAGGTGGGTTCTTGGTAAATGGGAGAGAAGAAAGAACAGAAGAAACTGACCAAACTATGTCCTCCTCTGTGCCTGTGGACCATTTCCCTTTTTACATTTCATCAAACCAAACAACAAAAGTTACAGTTTTGGCCCACTGAGAACCATAGTCCTTTCCTTTCATTGATTGATCTTGTTACCTTTGCATAACAGAGATCCCATCTCTCTATGCTTCTTTCCTCTTCCATATTCACCATGAGTCTTCTTGTTCTTCATATCTGTCTCCTTTCTTCTGTGTTTCTCATGTTGCTGCCTGCAGCAACTGCATCATCATCGTCTGAGTTTCGGAGGTCGAAAGCCGAGTACTATCGCAGCCCGGATTGCTTGGGCACATCAAGTAAGAACATAGCAGCAACATTCTTCTTTACTTCCTTCTTTTTCTTTCGGTTTACGGCATAAGTTATATAACCTAATGGGTTGGTTTGTGTAGCTGGAGCTTGTGGTTATGGCATACATGGAAGCACCATCAACAATGCACTGGTGGCTGGAGTTTCCGGGCTGTGGAATAACGGGATCGGCTGTGGAGCGTGCTACCAGGTATGAACCCTTCTGAAACCTGAAATTCCAAACCAGACCAGTAAAAGAATGTATGATTCAAGAATGAGTAAGCTGTAGACTTGATGAAATGATGGATAGTCGGTTTGATATTACAGAAATGAATGAGTGAGTTGCTCTGGGCTAGATGGGAAAAGATATGTATGTTTCAGCTTTTAAGTCAACAGCTGAAACGAACACTCTTGAGTTTATGATCATCCATCATTACCAGGTGAGATGCAAGGCTGATAACCTATGCAAAGAGGAAGGGATAACGGTGGTGGTGACCGACAATGCCTCGGGAGGGGACATTGATTTCATTCTCAGCGCACATGCCTTCGGAAGCATGGCTCATCCCGGGAAGACTGCCGATCTATTCTGGAAAGGGGTGGTGGACGTTGAGTACCGACGTACAACGTGCCAGTTCCCAGGCTACAACCTCATATTCAAGGTTGTGGAGCAGAGCAACTTCCCTCACTACTTAGCCATAGCCCCTATGTTCCACGGTGGGGAAAACGATATCTTTGGCCTGGAAATTAGCCTGGTAAGCTATATTTCTATTGACTGATTTCCTTTTTGATGAAGTAGCATTTAGCCCACAAGTTACTGGCCACTGATATTCAACTCCCTTCTTTTCGAGAACCTAAGGCTATCATTTATTTCATGTTTAAGCCCCAGCGGTTAATTGCTGAACTAACACCGTCAAGTCAACTTAATATCATAACAATGGGTCCTAATAATCCAGAAGTTCATGAAGTTCACATGCATCGCAACTTAATTTTGGTTTTTGTGGAATGCAGGAGGGTGGTGAGGAATGGAAAAGTATGAACAAGGCGTGGGGTGGAGTTTGGGACTTGCCTAATCCGCCATCGGGTGCTCTAAAAGTAAAGGTCAAAGTTGGGACTAGCAATGGGGAACAGAAATGGGTAGAAGCAAATAAGGCCTTACCGAGTTCGTGGAAGCCTGGTGCTGGTTATGATTCCCACGTCAAGCTTGCTTGAGAGATCTTCCATAATTATTATGGCTGAAAAATACTTCCTTTGGTAAATATCTTGCGTCATCAATGAAAAGAAAACTACGTCAGTGATTCGAAATGTTTGCTACTACGTTGCTACAGATCCCACATGTAGGCAGATGAATAAAGCTGGTAGTTGCGAAAAGAATAGACGAGAAACTAATTCACGAGTTTTTTACTCCCACTCGCATAGGCATGCATCAGAAGGCTCTAAAAGTTCCAGATTATGTAAAGTATCAGGAGAACCTAAGTTTTGGAGACTTCATTGATGCAACACACCAAGCGGGCTCAAACTTATGCATTCAGATTGAAATGAAAATCAAGAAAAAGAAGGTAAAAGCATATTATGAGGATATTCAAGTGACAGTGACTATTTACATCAAGAAGACCTATATTAAACTATATACAGCTAGCAAAGAAGTCCAATTAAAAAGTGTATCTCATAGGCACAATGACATGAAAATTATTTTGACAAATAATTAGCATAGAAGTTTAAACTCAAGCATTTCGTCATAGGGAAAACTGAAATTCGCAGTCATTTTCGTATCTAACTTGTGTAAAGAAAAGGGGGCTACAATTCAGTTCTTCACAAAGCCAGAGACCGTCGTAAACATGCACACTGTTAGTTACATGATCAACCAAGTAGACCAGAGAATAACAGCCGGCAGAGATATCAACAGCATGGAGATTCTTTGGCTTTTGTAATCCCTATAGACATTTGCATCGTTAAACATCTAAGTACTCGGCCATAAATAAGAAGAATACACAGAACGCGGACTTCAGGAAGCCCACAGATCATCAAAATTTTATGAGGACTAAGGAGTGGGGGAAAATAATCACAGCAACAACTTACAATTACTGAGCTAGCAAAACCCGGCAGCTGCTACTTTCAGAATCTCCATAACATATCGGCATTAATACATCCGACCTGTGCACTCTGCAGAACCACAGTAGCAATTCTTCCTCTTGATATTGCCATACGAATCATAAACTTGATCTATCTGATAATTATAGTGGTAAGTCAATTCTCTCAAAGGAGGAATGTTCTCAGCAGCAAATAACATTATATGAGGAAACTTCCGGTTCCCATGATCATACAGCACATTCTGGGCATAAAGATTTGGGGAGCAACTATGGTTGATGAACCTCCCCACATTACCAAACTCTGCAGCATCAATTGTGAAGTTAGAGTCCTGCACATCTTCTTCATCACCACGTCCTCCAATATCAAACAGATATTCATCATTAGTCCTTTGCTCGGCCTCATTGTCTTCAAGAAGTTCTCCGACATACTCACAAATGAAACTTCCGGAAGAAATCGAGTTCAAGGATCGAACACCCCAACCCCTTGAATGAGTCTTGAAAATCTCGAGCTGGAATTTAATTCCATGCTGGCTGACTCTGTTGTAGCAAGAAGGTGGACATTTGCATGAAGGGCCACACTCATAGACAAGATCCTTCGCTTCAACAATTGCTCCATTATGATTGTATGGAATATGTTCATCGTTCTTCGCCACACAAGCGCATGAACCTGACTCAGTGCACCCATTTCTACAGTTGCAACCACCAGGAGGGGTGAGGCTTTTCGGATATATCATTTGGGTGATGTACTTGAATGCTGGTGGCTTCTCATTATCTATTGTGTTCACAGCACATATAGGAATCAACTCTTTACCTTGTGAAATATCACCGACACACAAACCCTCCCGGACTTTGGATTTTTTAGACTTCTTCACCTGTTTCCAAGCTAGCTCTGGTTGACCCGGAACTCGAACCATCCGAAACTTGAAAACTAGCTTACCATGTGGCCCTGGCTCTTGCCAATACTTTTCCACAGTGTATAAACCATCATATACATAAACCTTCGACAATTTCATTTCTGCGCGAATCACTCTTACAGGGTTCTTTGCCTTGATGCTATTCTTCAAAGCAAGATTACCTTTTTCAAGCTTCTGATCTTCAGCTTCCTTATCTCTAGAGTTCCCACCTTGCCCTGTGTAATCTAAGACATCTGAGCTATCTAAGTTATCCTCATATCCACCTGATGCTACAATGCTGACTGCTAATAAATCTTGACCTTGCTGCATACAATCAATACCAGCTTGAGTGTGGCGATGAAAACCAATGATGTTAAGCTCAAACCGGAACAGAAACTCATCACCAACTTCAACTCCTGGAAAAGCTCCAATGATACGCCGGCCTTCATTGAGGCACATTCCTCTACTTTTCAGCTCTTTGGCGGCCAGACAATCAACGCGCTTGAGAATTTTTCTTTTGTTGGGGTTAGTTTCTGCTTCATGAACCAACTTCCTACAAATAATGTGGAATAAGCGTAATACTTCCCTCACCTTTTTTCTGGCACTGTTGGTGCCTTTGGGAGTGGTAGTTCCGAAAGGAGTCAGGTTAACACTTAAATTAGTCCTCCTCCTAACTAATTGGGAACCAACACATTTCTCATTATCCTCTGTATCATCCAGTTTATCATCCGCCCTAGAAAATTCATGTCTTGTGGGTTTACAAGATGGTTTTACCTTGGACGAGGCAACTGGTTTTCTTTGTTCTTGTGCTGTAATTTGTTTTTTGTTACTATTGCTCCTTTGACTTCCATCACTGAGTAGGTTATTACCCTTGGTCGAGGAATGGCCAGTTGAGGCCATATGACCAAACACCACCGCCCTTTTTGGTGCAACCTTGAGATCATCAAACTCTTTAGGGACAGTTAGCTTTGTACTGTGTCTTTCGGAAGCAACCTTCTGCAAGTGCCCCTTCAGTTCTCCTTTGTTATGAGACATATGGACTACCTTGGACCTTTCCCCAATCTGATAAGGCAACCGAATGCCTCTATCAAGTCCACATTCTTGACCAACCCTTGCAACCTTCCCAGAAAAAATTTCAACATCATCTCCACTCTTTGTTGCTTTCTCACTAGAATATTTCACTTTCAAACGAATCTTCACAGGCTTCTGTTCCAGGACATTGCTTTCAGACCTGCCCTTGTGAGCTCCGCCATCCATACTAACATCTTTAACCTCTTCCAGAACAACAACTTTCTCTTGTTCTTGCTTAGTAGGAGGTTTAACATTTCTTCCACAGTTTGGTGGGAAGCGCCTAACAGCTGAAAATTTTCTCCTCAGAGGATATTTATGCGTGGTAGATGCTTTGAATGAACCACTAACATCTTCGTTGGAGGAATCTTGTGGTGAACCAATAACATCATCCTTTAGAGCTTCTACTGGTCCACTCATCGCTGCAACATTCCGCGACTCTGATAGTGAAGTACCAACAGATTCCGGCATATCTGCTAAGCGTCCATTCATATGATCAGGTGACACTGTAGGACTCTCCAACTTGGATTTGACATCATGCATTTCCCCAGTTATATCTGTCCCGCCCAAATTTTCAGACATTCTTAAATCACGGGATTCAATCTTAGCCGCAGGATGTCCAGCAAAATCATCACGAACATCATTACTGCATCTCTCCAAGAGCAGTGGATTTATAACGCCAGAACTTGACAATCCCAAGTTATCATCTGGTCCTAAATCCAGAGATTCAATCTTATTTGCAGAAAGTCCACCGGGATCATTATCACCATTGCCAACATTAGAGACTCCTGCTAACCCACCTGGTCTGGGAAGACTGCGAGGCCCACAATTTGGCGGATAACGCCTGACACACCAAACCCTCGGCGCCTTAAACTTAGCACCACCACCATCGCCACGACCACTAACACAGCCGCGGGGAGCACTGCTGCCGGACGATGACACCACGTTCGTCGATTTAGCTTGCATCATGTTGTCCACAAACCCCATTTTTCAAGCTTTCCCCAAAGAAAAGACTCACCAAATGAGACACCAGCAAGCCCTAAAACAACCTAGACGAAAGCAGAAAAGAAAACAAAAACCATGAATGAGCAAAAAATCGAGCATTTCCGAGACGCAATTGATTGAATCGTCAGTTCAGAAGAACCCTAACCCAGCTCAAGTGGCATGCATGCAAAAGGGAAATGAGCAGAAATTGCAATAGGAAACTACGGAATGCAAAGATCAAATAGGAAGGGACGATCAAATTTGAGTGGCTGGGAGGAAGGAATCGAGCAAAAAGCTTACCTAACGGCGAGATGGTATTGTGATAGTGAGGGGCGAGGAAGGAAAGTGTGTAGTGAAGGTATAGACATGGCTGGAAGAAGAAGAAGAAGAAGAAGAAAGACGTTGGAGGGAGAAAGGAGCGGGTTCTTTATGCTGCAATTTTGGGAACGGAGTATGGTGAATCATGAAATTTGGCTTTGGGCTTAGTAGATTCTCAAATAGACCAACGTTTTAGGTCTGGCCCAAATTGTGGGCAGCCTACTCAATCTGTAGTCCAGGCCCGTACTCTATCCCTTTAAGTTACAAGCCCTCATAGTGATGGCAATGGACTGAGCGGGCGTGTACCACAATACCCATGCTCTGCTCCACGCTATTGTGGGTCAAGGCGGATAAAATCCGCGCAGGTGCGGAGCGAGGTGAGTCGACCCACTCTTACATGTTATTTGAAAAAATTACATGCACATTTTATTTTATACGATAAAACGAAGGGGAAAACACTTTATGATTGAAAAATAGTGATAATAGAATGGATAATTGAGTCTAACATATTGAAAGATTGACTCTAATTAGTAGAAGAAAAGTAAAAATAGGAGAAATATGCATAGATGCTGTAAGAAATTGTGATAAAATGGGCCAAGAATGGGGCGAGGCAGGATGGGTCGGAAGTAGATATCCATGTCCCGTCCCATGCAACTGCGGGTCGAGTAATACCTGCCTCATCGCGGGTCATGTCGTGTATTATTCGTGGGGAGGGTTCACATTGCCATCACTACCCTCACAGTCCCTTAAGTTACAATTTTACTTTCAAATTATCATAATGACTATCTGTGTACAATGGGTTGGTCCTACATAACGCATCGAATCAAATTGATGTTTGGATTGGATCATATCGAATCGAATATAATGTGATTCGATCGTTTGATTATGTGAAATTTATATTAAAAAATGAACCAAATTGACATTTGAATTGGACCAAACTGAATCGAATATACTATTAGTCAGGTCCTTGGTTCTAAAATATATTTTTAGACTTTTACTATTAAACCACGATGGGTTAATACCCTAGTTTGGCTCGAAGTTTGGCGTGAGTGACAGTTTTGGCCCCATTTTTCAAATAAGACATTTATTACATACTTTTGAAACTATTGGACAAATTTGGCACAAAATTTTCTTTGACCGTTAATATTGACGGTCAAACATTATTCCGTTAGTGACTCACCAAAAAAACTGATGATGTGGCATGCCACGTCATTAAATAATATTATTTTAATTTTATAATTCAATTAAAATAAAAATTAACAAATTAAGAAAAATCCCCAAAACCACAAATCCAAACCCTAGTACTTAACGAAACTCCATCGCCGCTTCACCTTGGGACGAGCGGCGGCGGTCGCGGCATGATGAACCTGGTCGTCTGCGTCGAGATCCTCCGTACAGAATTAGGGATTTCAACCTCCCTTCGTTCTAGCCAATCAACTAAAGTCGCGACTAAGCTGCAATCATTCTTCAGGACCCGACTCGGGAACAAATTAGGATTTTTCGGGAGGCTATTATTGAGGTGATTATTCCTCTGCCTCTTCACCATAGCACTCATCATTACTCTGGAATTCGTAGCTAAATGGGACGTCGTCAGAGTTCTTGGTTTCTACATCTTCTCCTTGACCTGAATTGACATCTTGCCAGAGCAATGGCATCTCCGTCTGAGAATCCATTTCTTCACCGACCCTCTCTTCTTCTTATCATCGGTGATGGAAACCGGAGGATGCCTCACCAACACAGCCATGGCCCCTAGCGAGTTCGACAGAACACAACAGCCCCGTTATGCTATCCCAGCTAGCGTCACGACCTCCCCTTTCTCTTTTACTTTACCTTCCCTTTCCGCTCGGGTTCCGTCTTCAATGAACCCAGATCCGCTGGTGGCGAGGGGAAGGCGAGATCCGATGAACCCAGATCCGGTGGAAGAAAGGAGTAACCCAAGCGCCAATGTCTAAAAATGCAAAAATTCACCATGCGATTCTCTATAGAAGAACCCAGAAGAAGGCTCTTCGATCTGCTTCTTGGTTTGGACTTGTTTCGTTGTCCGACAGAGGAAGGAATCAGAGTAATCATAATTCAGTTTAGGAGAAGAAGATGAAGATAAGTAACGTAGTTTTTTAAGGATTTTATTTAAATTGTTTTTAATTTTTAATTAATAAGTGATGTGGATGCCACCTCAGCACTAGATGTTGAGTCATTAACAGAATAAATGTTTGACCGTTAATATTAACAGTCAACATAAGTTTCGGGCCAAATCTGTCCAATATTTTCAAAAGTAGACTATAAATGTCTTATTTGAAAAATTAGGCCAGAACTGTCATTTACGCTAAACTTCGGGCCAAATTAGGGTATTAACCCAACCACGATTAGTAACACAACGCATTACTTGGAAAAAAGAAACATATTCTAAACTGAATAACAAAATATAACAACTACAATGCAGAACTTTACAAATCACCTGAGAGTTTGTCTTTCAATTGTTGAAATATCATTTTTTAGAATTTCCTTCAACGATGACTCTATGATGACGAACTCAAACATATCAAAATAGTAGTGCGTCAAAAACCATCAAAATTTTAATAAAAATCAAAATAAAGCTACCTCAGAATAAATCTCATAAGTCATGGAAATCAAACAACTTTGGAAACGTAAAATTATGCTAGTATGGTCCTTCAATCTAATCATGAACAACAACAATTAAATACGAATATTGAGACAACACTAACTTGAGAATTGGATCACATCTTTTTTTATGACGAGGAACATTTTCTATGGTCATCACCTTTGATAATGTCATAGTTGGGTCAAACTCCCAGGATCTTCACCAACAATTCGGAAAAATTTAAGATGCTCACCATGATAACGGCGAGAATCGAATCTGGGACCTCTCGATCACCCGTCCGCCTCCCTTACCACAAATTTTCAGAAATTTTCTCCTTTCAATAAGATAGCTAAACGTACTGTCGTTTCTTTGTTTATGGCGGTACTCGTGTCTCAACCAAAACTAATAAAGCAAAAATTAACCCGCAAAAAAAAAAAAAAAATGGGAAGAAAGGAGAAAAATACGAAAGCGGGGAAGAAGAAGAAGAAGACCAGGGAAAGAAGGAACTTGAGAGTTGAGAGCCTTCAAATTAATCGGATCAATCCGAGAGCATCACGGCCGTTTCTCTTTCTTCGTCACCAATTAACCCTAAACCCTAATTTTCTTTCCGGAGGATATTATCGCTCAATTCGCTTCGCTTCCGTGCTCCAATTCTCCGGTCACCTGCTGCGGTTCAGTGCTCCCTGAGCTCAAGAGTCGTCGGTCGAGGGGAAACTCATGGAGACGCACTACAGCCACAACCCGTTCGACAGACGCCCGATAGTGACTTCCAAAACTCCCGCCGTTAAATGGTTCAGAGAATGGTAATAGAGTCTTCACCTTTGAGAATTGTTTTCCTCTCTCTTTTGTTTAGACAATCAGGGTTTCGCTCGGTTTGGTGGTTTCGTTGAATTAATTTGTTGTTGCATGTGAAGAGATGGGGGAAAGTTCGTTGAGTGTAGGATAACCCCATGGAAGTGAGCTTCATGCTGGGCTTCCCTCTGTTTACTAAGTGATTGGGCTTGCTGTCTATTGGTTTACGGAAATTTAATAGGACGGTATCCGTGGCAGATGAATGAAAGATGAGATTATTAGAGTTTAGAACTGTTGAACTCAGAATCGGAAGTTACAGTCTAAATTGTGGGGGAAAGTTATCCTGCAATGGTTTCGATTAGGTGCATATGTTGGTATACTGAAACATGAGATCATTAAAGCAGGAATAACTTTGAAGTCTTGTTTGAGAAACTGTTATAGCTGCAAGGTACCTGTAAAGTTTCTGCGTGTTTGTTTGGTTGAGACATGTGCATATTGCTTCGCTCCAGAATCCCAGATAATGATATGATATTTTCCTCTTTAGGGTGCCACAGGATGTTGTAGCTACAGGTGGAAAGTGTTCGGTTTTAAGATGGGTAACAGGTAAGTTCTGCTACTTTCGGCTATTGTTTCTTTTACCTGTTTCCATATTGTGTAGTGTTGCTTCGTTTAGTTGTGGTAGCAGTGTCAATCTTGTTTAGATAACAACATCAAACTTTGATGGTCCGGGATTAGTGGAGCTACACAGCTGAACTGGAAACTCAGATTGTGCATACAGATAGATTTCAGTCTGTAACTTTTTTTCTCACCCTTCTTTTCTGTGGATGCATCATGTATGTATGCAGAGAGCCAATCGAAGGCCTTAAAAGAGAGAGCGAAAGATCCACCAACGCCAGAGCCAGAGCCAGAACCTACGACCGAAGTTCTGTTCCTTTGCAGTTATGATGGATGTGGAAAAACCTTCATAGATGCCGGTGCTTTGAGAAAGCATTCTCACATCCATGGGGAACGCCAGTATGTTTGTCACTGGGAGGGTTGTGGCAAGGTACGAAAACTGAAGCACTATTGTTAATTTGAAGTTATGTGTGTTGAATTGTTGAATGCATGACTGAAGGAGCGGCTTATATTGAGTTCTAAGGTACAAATTGTCACTCCAAAAGCAGTTGTTTTTCCTTTAACAGGAGGCCAAAGGATTTCCAGTTTGATCTTTGTTTTCCCTAATTTCCTTTTGGTAGTGATTGAACTACAACACTAAGACAGATTCTTGTTTATGCTGCAGAAGTTTATTGACAGTTCAAAGTTGAAAAGACACAACTTGATTCATACTGGGGAGAGAAACTTTGTGTGTCCACATGAAGATTGTGGAAAGGTAATTTTCATTACCACTGTATCATCAAAATGGGTGATTGCACGGATGTGGGAGTTTTCTACTCTTCCATACTATGCAATAGAATTGATTATTTATCTATGTTGGAACTGTAGGCCTTCTCCTTGGACTTCAACCTGAGGTCACATATGAAAACACATTCACAAGAAAACTATCATATATGCCCATACCCAGAATGCGGGAAGAGATATGCCCATGACTACAAGCTACGGAACCACATTCAATCCCAACACGAAAAGGTTGGTTACGTTCTGTCTCAAAGTGAAAAGGTGGGTTCTTTCTTTCATCTACTTGAGTGATTGGAACCTGTGATTGTTAGAATCTGTTCTGTAGAATGCATGCTTTGACAGAAGTTTATTGCAAGATATACACTGCTTAGACGTTTGGGGCCTGAAATGTTCGTCGTTTTAGGGTCGATTACTATTTTTTGTCAGAAGCGGACGGTAAAATTTGAGTATTAAACAAAAGGTTAAAGAGGAGAAGACTAACTTGCAGAATGAAACATTTTACATCATCTTCTTTGAAATGCATGCATTTTGTTTATACATTATTTGAATCTTTTGTTCCAAACTACTCCTTAGCCGATTCAGCCAAAGATTAGAGCTTTCTTCTAGTTGCCACCATTCTCTAATTTGTTTAACAACTGGGTTTCTCAATTATCCTTCTTTTCCCTAACTTTTTTTAGCAGAATGCAACACCACCAGTCGAGATGGTGAGGTACGCAACACCACCAGAGAGACCAACCATCAAAGCTCCAAAGCCACCTTCATCAGCTCCTCCCTCTGCAACACCCGCATCTACGGCCTCTGCATCAGTAGGCCGCCCTTTCGGCTGCCCTTCCGAGACATGCAGAAAGGCTTACATCCACGAGTACAAGTTGAAGCTCCATCTCAAAAACCATCCGGACCACAACGTCGAGGAGACCACCGACATTAACACCATCATGCCACGTCGCCATCACGCTGTGGATAACAATGACTCGGACGAGGGCAGCGATCAAGATGGCAGCGGTTATGGTGCCCTCAAGCGTGCGGTGAATGGCCGGAAGAAATCACAGAGTAGCAGGGTGAAGCCGAGCTTGAAGATGCCTCCTGCGAAGATGGCGCAACGCAGCAAAGGGTCGAGCCCGTTGGCACATAGCTTGAACGTGGCGAAGAAGCCATGGCCCCCGGTGGCGGTGGGATCCAAGGGAGGAGAGGTTTACGGTGGGGAGGAAGATGATAGTGAAGAGACGGAAGAGGAGGATAGGGAGAGTGGAGATGATGGGTGGAGATATAGGGATGATAATGAGGATGATGATGAAGAGACTGAGTATGAAGATTGAACAAAATGAATTAGATTAGTGAGAGGGCTCATATCGTCCTTAGGCCTTTTTTTGTTGTGGATTTGAGCATGGCTTCTCATGTCTCTTCTTTTTTTTTTTCTTCCTCCTTTTGGTAGGAATATCTCTTGTTTTTAGTCGATTCTTCTCTCTATGCTGGGATATACAAATGGAGAAAATAGGAGATTGGAATTCTCTCTTTTTACCAAATGACTTCATTGGACGGTGGCAGGTTCCTCTCCTCTTACTTTTAGTTCTAGGTAGAGGTCATCTTGGCTAAAAGCCAGGGCCGACCAGGGTTCTGCACAAGCCTTCCAAATATAAATAAACGAAGGAACCTCCAATACAGGTCTATTAGTTTATCCATATATTATCGAATGAATTTGTAGATGTGGTGTATAATTTTTTTTTTTTAAACCCTGCTTTTTTTAGATATTTGGTGTAAATCTTACAGAGTCATCTTTTCTCAATAAAGAGACTAAAAAAACAGTGGTCTATCCATCCAAATCTCCTCTCCTTCCCATTCACAATCGGTATGAGCCATGCAGTGGGTTGGCTCGTTGAACTTTCGGCCCACAAAATACCACCTAACCGAGCCCAGAGCATGGGCCTTTTCCTTCACTTCGGCACAGACGTGGCCCAGTTCTAGCTTTGTGCTATGCTCGCCACGTAGGATCTTCGTCATTACCTGACAATCAGTCTGGATCTCGGCTGGGAGGAAATGTAGACGACTCGCCAATTCAACCCCAAAACCCATCGCCATCGCCTCAGCTATCTCTGGCTGCCAATGGCGGCGAGTTCTTCTGACCGCCGCCGATGTGATGTATAATAGATTATGAGTATAATTATAGAATACTGGTATTTGTCATAGGTCAATATTCTCATGTATATACACGAGGCAAGTAGATTTATTGTTAAACTTTTATTTGTGTTTTGAAAGTCTTATTTTTTATTTAAAATGACATAGATAATCCTTACTGGATTAGTTGTGACAACTGTTAAAAATAATTTTTCAGATAACCCAAAAGGCCAAAACTGAAGAGCTCATAGATAATATTTATTTCAAATTATTTTTAAATAACATTGTTTTATTTATTTTATCATATATAAAAATTGAACCAGCTCTGGACCAGAACATTCACGATTCATTGGACGGTCTTGCTAAAAGCCATAGTCTTTCTCTTGGTTCCTTTTTTTCTATTGCATACAACTCTAAAACTTAGGTTGAAAGATGAAAGATGGATCATAAAGTATAATGTGATATAGGCTTAGAGACTCCAATGGTTACATGCATGTGTTGATATATATATAAAATCATAACTAATGTTTGACATGAAGATTCTTTATTGTTGATTTGAATCGAAAAGTAATGCAAATAATATGTTGAAATGGCAATTCATTATAACTCAACATATGTATAAGTTGTATGCTTCAAAGGTTAAGCATAATATAGTTCATCCAATTGTAATTTGAACCTCTTAAATTGATAGTACTCTTTAGAAATTATGGATTATCTTTTAAACAATCTCGAGATAAACTACTAGTACAAGAATTTTATGTCAATTTGATACACACAAATATTCAGTCAAGTATAAATTCTCACGAAAAAAATATTGTAATGAAGAATAATATTTTCATTTCTTGCTAACATTTATCTTGGATCACCGAATTTACACCAATTGTGTTCCAAAAACCCATTCATTTACATCGAGCTGATAGACAAAATTGAAGCGTGGGAGCATCACTCCAACTTTTTATTCATTCACACATTGGGACAAGAAGAAGAGAAAAAGAATTAGTTGCACTTAGACATAGGGTTGGGAAATGGTGCGGTGTGGTCCAGACAAGACTATATATAGCAGTCTATGGTTCAGATCGAGAGGCTGAATGCATGTGCGGTTTGGTTCGGTCTGGTCTGGTCCAGATAGATCACACTCAACGAAAAATGAATGATTTATTTAGTCAACCACACAAAAAATTGAACCAATAACCAAGAAAAATAATTGTTATTTGCTTTAAAACATTAATCTTAACATGCATGAATAATTTTGATACCCTAATTCTTAGTACATAACAAAGATTTGAAGTAAAAGCATCCCAACTTGCATCATAACGTCATAAAACATTAACATAATGTCATATTGAGACACGATTATCTCTATTCTCTGGTTAAATGTGGTTGTGAATGAAGAAGAGACGAGATTCACAAAATTAAGTGTAGTGATTTCTAATTAGACATTGTTTAATTGATTAGGGATCACTTGGTAATTTACCCTACTCCATGTTACACGAGATTAGGAGTTAGGGTTAGCCTTCCATATATATGTAACTCGACTCCTTTCTGCGCACACAAGAGAGGTGTAAGACGATCATATTAGTTTTTCTCCGAGAGCTCTAAACTCTCTGTGAATTAGTCTCGTTCACATTGAACGGGGATACCACGTAAATCCTGGTGTCTCGTGTTCTTGCTTTCGTATTATCGTATTTTACATGGTATCAGAGCTGGTCTAAGCTCACATGTTCGCTGTCATAGTTTCCGGAGAAGAAGAGTCTGGGAAGGCCTCAATGTCGACGTCGACCAAACCTGCGACTAGTGCTCTGGTCGCGCTGCCGCCTCATCTTCTCCTTCATCAATCTGATAGTCCGAGTAATTTGTTTGTGGGTGGGGGGGGGGGGGGTCTCCTTAGCGACGTTAATTATGGTGAACGGATCGTCGACATCACCGACTCCCTCATTGCAAAAAACAAACTATGTTTTGTTGATGGAACCCTCCCGGCACCCCAAACTCCCGCAGAGATAGAAGCCTGGAAACAATGCAACGCCATGGTAAAAGGTTGGTTAAAAACCTCCATGACAAAGGAAGTTTGCAGTATAGTGTTCGATTGGCAGCTACTGCGCGTGAAATTTGGGTGGACTTACAGTCCCATTTTGGTCAAGGATGTGCGGCTCGACAGTACGAGCTTCGGTACACGATTGTTGGCCTCCAGCAAGAAAAATCGTCGGTGTCGGCGTTTTATACTAAGCTGTGTGGGCATTGGGACGAGATCCAATATCTCACGCCATCTTTGGATTGCACATGCTCTGGTTGTCACTGCGATGCAAAGAAAAGGCATCGTGAGGTACGTGAAAGCATGCGGTTATTTGATTTTCTAATGGGTTTGGATGATCAATTTTCTACAGTCAAATCCCAAGTTCTAGCTATGAAATCCGTACCCATCCTTGCGGAGGCATATCAAATGGTGATAAACGATGAGCAGCAACGATTGATAGCTAGCAGCCGCAGGCCTCGTTCCAAAGCAGCCGCATTTCAAGTTTAGGGGGAGAGGCGTGGCAAGCGGTCCTCCAGCCGCGGCGAGCGAGATGATGCTGACAAACCTCACTGTTCTCATTGCAATCGCATTGGGCACGTTAAGGAAACCTGTTACAGGCTCATTGGCTTCCCGTCTCGTGGGAATGACAAGGGAGAAGGGAATCGGCGCCCAACACTGCGCGCTGATCGTGCGACGCGCCCAGCCCTGTAAGATGCTCAAGTGGACGTTGCGGACAACCCTCTTCCAGGTTTGACAGCGGCGCAATTTGTGCATCTCAAGGCTCTCTTGGGCTCGGATTTGCATCAGTCACTAGCCTCGTCCTTCGAGCCCTCCTCGAATATGGCTGGTACGTTTCCCCTTTCCCCGTCTAAGTCTGTTACTTGGGTTATTGACTCGGGATGTAATGAACACATCATTAATCATCCTTCTATGTTGGATGTCGAGTTGGATACCTCGCCATCTTTACAGGTGAAAATTCCAAATGGGACAGGAGTTAGGGTTCATAATATTGGATCGACGCAGTTGTCTAAAAATCTATTATTGTGTCGTGTTCTACATGTGCCTGATTTTCAGTGCAATCTTCTCTCCGTTAGCCGGCTTACCGCAGATCTGCCAGTTGCATTGATCTTCTTACGTGATTTATGCGTGATACAAGACTTACCCTCCAAGAAGCTGATTGAGATGGGCAAGCACGTTGATGGATTGTATTATCTCCGGCTGTTCGATGAAGATCATCCTGTGGCGAATTCGGTTCGGCGGTCGTTGGATATTACAGAGTTGTGGCATGCTCGCCTAGGACATCCATCTATGGCAAAGCTGGATTCATTACAAAAACTCCTAGATTATTCTTTTGTTAAGAATAAAGAACCTTGTCGGTCTTGTTTGCGTGCTAAGCAAACTCGGGATTCTTTTGTTTCTAGTAGTATCACGACACAGTCATGTTTTGAATTGATACATATGGATATTTGGGGCAGTTACAGGACTTCCTCCACCTCTGGGGCTCATTATATTTTAAACATCGTTGATGATTACAGTCATGTAGTATGGGTTTTCTTACTACGCCATAAATCAAATGTTGGTCGTCATTTGCTGTATTTTTGCAACATGGTTAGAACCTAGTTTGGTGGACAGGCTGATAATGGGCCTGAATTCTTGAGCACTCTCTTGCTCGATTACTACACGGAGAAGGGGATAGTTCTGCAAACCTCTTGTACAGATACTCCCCAGTAGAATGGGGTTGTGGAACGCAAACACCGGCATTTACTCGACACTGCTCGTGCTTTGCGGTTCCACGCAAATTTACCCATCAAGTTCTGGGGCGAGTGTGTGCTCACTGCGTCTTTTCTTATCAACCGGATGCCCCTAGTCTCCATCGGGAATAAGTCTCATTTCCAAATCTTGTTCAAGAAAAATCCCTCGTATGCCCACCTTCGCAGTTTTGGTTGTCTGGTATATGCGCGGGATACCCACCATGGTTTGCATAAGTTTAGCGAACGTGGTCGAGCTGGCATTTTCTTGGGCTATCCATCATCTCAATGTGGCTATCGAGTTTACGACCTCGAAAAGAAGACCATTTATACTTCACGGGATGTTAAGTTCCTTGAATAAGTTTTTCCCTATCGTGATTTCGAGGATTCCAGGATCAACCCAGTTGCTGTGTCCATTCCGCAGCATGGCATTTCCTCTCCTCCC